AGAGTCCAGAGACTTCAGATTGAGAACACAGAAAATCCCAGAAAAATACATAAACCCAAGGAAACTATCTAAGGAATGAAATATTAGTTTTCCTTCTTACTTTGACATGCGCAATAGCCTCCACTGATGCTTCATGGCTGACTGCAGGGGAAGCTTCCAATTCGCACTCCATGTCACTATCATCATCCTGCACACGCAGCATTCGTTTAAAAAAATTGTAAACTAGATCAACGATGCAGACAGCAATTCCTTCTTGTACTCATCGATCCCTAATGCTACCAAGAAGTTTAAGTTTTTTTTGCAATTCATCAAAACTGTATAGAAGAGAGACCAAAAAAGTACCAGGGGTTGAGCATCATCTTCCACAGGGAGGAGAGGATGCCGATAAGAAAGATGGCGCCATAGCGACTGGTACTCTCTAGCATTGGTAATTCCGGTAGTAGTCTTCTTCACCAACTCATTCCAGTCCATCTTGATTTCTGAATAATAAGCCATCTCCTGTAGCATTTTCAGTATCGTCTTCATATCATATCTGCATCAAAATATCAAAATCCCCACACTGACTTACGTTTTCGGAAAGAGAAAAATAAGTCAAATTTACGAATTAAAAAAAAGGAGATATTTTTTACCTCTGCAAAAGAGTGGCGATGTCGCCTTCAGTAATGATTCTCTTCCTGCTATTGCTACTAGTATCATCAACCATCTTCGTCGTATTCAATTCTGCAGACAAGTTTCGGCTTAGAACAGGACAAAGGAATCAAATTTCACCAAAAAACTGGGAGTTATAAATGAAACGACAGAGACTTACGCATGAGGATGCCCAAGAAAGGAAGCCGCCGATAAAGACAGACGATCGGAGAAGAAGATGACTCACGACTGTTGAAACGCGTGGAGAGTACGCGCGTGGCAATGGTGTTTCGGAAGAGAGAACAAAAAAAAAAGGGAACGAAAAGGAAAGAGGTAATTTCGACTCTTATTTATTCTACAGTTATCAGGAGCGATATATATGGGCTCAAATATTTTTTACATGGGCTCAAATATTTTTTTACATGGGCTCATGAATCAATTGTGGATATAATTTATATAGGTTTGTAATTAAAAACATGATTAGTACATGTAACAAATCAATTAAGAACCACCTTTATTTGTCCTTGAGAGAAAAAAAAAAAAAAATCAGTAAAGAGGAGGAGGAACGCGAGGGGAGAGAGAGGGTTTTTGGTGAAGCGCTTAGCTTAAATCATATCTCTCGGCTTCTTCGCAGCAGTGTCGAGAACAAGTTTCTTTCTTTCTGGCTCTTCTCATCGCCGTGCCCTACTAACTATTCTTCGTCTCTTCAGCTACATTCTGCTCGTGAAAATGACCGCCAATGATGCTTCCTCTGGTGAATTACCCCTTCTTCTTCTTCTTCAGCATTATGTTTAATTCAACATTGATGGGTTTTTTCTTTCCGGGTTTCAAAATTGAAACCAGATCATGCTTTTTCCCTTTTTTTTTTGTCTTCTTGCTCAGCTCTTTCTTCCTGGAAATTGGATTGTAGTGTTTTGATTACTTAGAACTTACAAGTGTATCTGTCCCTTGTGGGTTTAAGCGTAGATCTCTCTGGCAAAAGCTTTCAATATTTTCCATAAAGTTCGGAATGTTTGGTTTCGTTTTCACCTCTCACTTGGCTCTTCTTCGGGATGTGTGATATGTCATATATGAGAGCATCAATTGGGATGTTTACTCTTTTGAGATGATGATTTATTGACTCAATTTGTTAGGAACATAGAAGCTTGGTTTAAATTGTCACTCCCCTTTTGGATAAGTATAGTTTCTTTGAGAAAGTTGTCAGCTTTATGCTTGCCTTTACATTTGCTATTCAGGACTCTTTCACTGCTGTTCCCTCTTGTCGTTTTGAGCTTTATTTGTAATTTGTTGCTGCAATGGGTAGCATCATCACTGTTTCTGTTTTATCTTTTGTCTCATTTTGAAGCGTTTTTCCTGTTCAGGTGTTTCCAATTGCTATGTTTTCAAAAGTCGGTTGCAGGAGTATGCTCAGAAGTACAAGCTCCAAACGCCTGTTTATGAGACTGTCAAAGAGGGCCCTTCACACAAATCTTTCTTTCAATCAACAGTGATACTGAATGGTGTCAGATATAATTCTTTGCCTGGATTCTTCAATCGTAAGGCTGCAGAGCAATCGGCTGCTGAGGTTGCTCTTCAGGAATTAGCAAAATCCAGTGAGCTAAGCCAATGTGTTTCACAACCTGTTGTAAGCACCTCATCTTTCTTCTGTCGTGATTATTGTTAAGTTCATTGCAAAACTATTGCAACTAGCCTGCCTAGGGGTTGAGCAGCAAATTGTAGCTTTGCCATCTCAGCAGCAGACCTTTTGCTTAGTTTGAAAGTTAAAGGTTTAAAAGGGAGATGTGAGAATCTGTTACCGAGCATTCTGTATCTATCAAGGGTCTTGGTTTGGGTATACATTAATCAAGTATCTTCTGTGGTGTAGTTCTGTGGTGAATTGAACCTAGGAGGAGTTTTATCTTATCAGATTTATGTGCATAACCAACTTCTAGAGGGAAGATTCTTGGGCTATTTCTGTGTCATATGTGCTTGTGGCTAACTTTGAATGGCTTATTAATGCAGCATGAAACGGGGTTATGCAAGAACCTTCTTCAAGAGTACGCTCAAAAGATGAATTACGCGATTCCATTGTATCAGTGCCAAAGGATAGAAACTCTTGGGAGAGCTACACAATTCACATGTACTGTAGAGATTGGAGGCATAAAGTACACAGGAGCTGCAACAAGAACTAAAAAAGATGCTGAGATAAGCGCTGGGAGAACTGCTCTTTTAGCGATCCAGTCAGAATCTAAAAACAACCTTGCCAACTACAACACTCAGCTTACTGTACTTCCTTGTGAGAAGAAGACATTACTGGCACCGATCCCACTTAAAGAAACCATCAAGACTCCAAAAGCCAGGAAGGCTCAGTTCAAGAGGAAAGCTCGGAAAGTAAAACGCAAAGTAGCTATGAATCCTGAAGATGTTATTATCCCTCCTCAACCTACCGAGCATTGTCAAAACGATCAGTCTGAGAAAATTGAGACAACGATAAATCTGGAACCTTCTACATGCATGAACGGGTTAAAGGAGGCAGCATTTGGGAGTGTGGAGACAGAGAAAATTGAGACAAAGCTAAATCTGGAACCTTCTTCATGCATGAACGGGTTAAAGGAGGCAGCATTTGGGAGTGTGGAGACAGAAGCAAACCATGCATAACAGTGTCAAGATGGAGTCTTGAGAGTTTGTCATAGTAACTATTTGGTTATGTAACCATTTTGTGATTCCTATCTAGTCTAGTGTTCACAGATTGAAGAGAAGTAATATTTGAGCGGCAAATCGAAACTAATATGATTGATATAAACTATTTGGTCGATTGAGTTATGAGGTTGCTTTGTTGTTGTTATAGAACAGAAGTTCATCTCTACATAAATTAGTAAATTTACTCTCTCACTTGCCGTCAAAAAAAAATAAAACACAATTACACTCACTCTTCATTATTGGTGGGCCGGTTCTAAAAAATAGAAGCCCAACTTTCTGACCCAACAGGTCCGTTTACGAAACCCTAATCTCTCAAAACAGAGATATAAATACACTCTGCCTTCCTCATTTCATTTCTTCGGCGATCTAGGGTTTTAGTTGTCGCACGAGGAGAAAAAATGCCGGCGGGTCATGGAGTTCGGGCGAGAACGAGGGATCTGTTCGCGAGGCCGTTCAGGAAGAAGGGTTATATTCCACTATCGACGTACCTGAGAACCTTCAAGGTCGGCGACTACGTCGATGTGAAGGTGAATGGTGCGATCCACAAGGGTATGCCTCACAAGTTCTACCATGGTCGTACTGGTCGTATCTGGAACGTCACCAAGCGTGCCGTCGGTGTTGAAGTCAACAAACAGGTCTGAATGATGAACTCTCACTTCCCTCAAAACTTTTTTTCATATAGAATTAGGATTTGAGCTTCTTGTTTTGCTATTTGGATTGTTGATTGATTTATGTTGAAATGTGTGATTGAGTATTGGTTTGTAGAATGTAAATATCATCCTATGCTAAAATTGAGCTCAGATTTTGAGTTTTATTTTCTCAAAGATCTTACCTTCTATTATGCAGTAGCGTTTGCTTGATCCAGTTTCAGATTCGAAGTTTGATTGCTTAGATTTAGTATAGTCTTTAGCCTTAGCATGCATTGTGTTGCATCAATTTGACCCTTTTTTGCATCACAGTTCCGGCTCAGTCTCTAGTTTACATCTCCATTGATGCAATACTTCGACTCCTGTTCATTGTACTGCTAGTTTGTTTGGTTTCATGACTATCACATTGCTGTAGTTTGGCTTCAATTGACCACAAACATTCGTATACTAAACTTGTTTCCATAAGTCTCTAGAGATGTTATTGTGTAATGTGGATTATCCTGTGACAATAACACTTGCCTTTTTGCTAGTACCTATCTTGGGTATAATGACTGACATATGATGGTGGGGTGTTTCAGATTGGCAACAGGATCATAAGGAAGAGGATCCATGTGCGTGTGGAGCATGTGCAGCAATCAAGATGTGCTGAGGAGTTCAAGCTGAGGAAGAAGAAGAACGATGAGCTCAAGGCTGCAGCCAAAGCCACAGGCGAGACCATCAGCACCAAGAGACAGCCTAAAGGACCCAAACCAGGATTCATGGTCGAAGGAATGACCTTGGAGACTGTCACTCCAATCCCTTACGATGTTGTCAACGATCTCAAGGGAGGCTATTAGTTCTATCTTCCAGTTGTTTCTTCCGTATTTGAGTTTATCTTCATGTGTCTTACCTACAATTTCTGTAGAATCTCCAGATATTCTATGAAGCAAAACTTTTTTTTATCGTTTATAACTATCAATATCCTTATCTCCTTGCTTTACTAACATATAGTATCTTTAATTTAGTGATAATCAAATTGTCTTCTCTTATGAAAAGTTGACATTTTCCTTTCCAATTGCATCTTATCACAACATTCTTCCTCGATTAGCTTCACATGATAAATACATTGAACCGAAAAACTAGACGCTAACCGTTGCGAACCGGCCTCGCAGAAGTCCGGTTACTTAATAACCCGACTTTTTCATTCAAAAGTCACTCGAAATAGCCGGCGCCGGCGAAATTGAGAGTCAAAGAGTCAGATATGTTCAGAATCGAAATTCTAAGAAGCACACTCTCTCGATCTCACCCACAGAGATTTTCTCGTGTATCGTCGTCCCTCTTATCGACATGGTACTCTCCAGAATCTATCTCAGCAGACGACAACAATGACCCAGTTCTTGTCAAACTCTCGGTTGCCATCAGAGATTCTTACAAGGATCCGCCATTGGAATTCTCTTCGTTCGCTGCCTGCTCTTCTATCAGAAACGTCCTGCCTTCGCTCAGCGTTCGCCATGTTGTTGATCTCATCAACCGTAACCCTCTCTCCCTCCCACACCGTTCTATCTTCGCTTTCTTCAAATTCATCTCATCTCAGCCTGAATTTCGTTTTACCGTTGAGACTTACTTCGTCATGGCTCGTTTTCTTGCTATTCACGAAATGTTCGTGGAAGCACAGTCACTTATCGAGCTCGTCGTCTCTCGTAAAGGCAAAAACTCGGCTTCTTCAGTTTTCATCTCTTTGGTAGAAATGAGAGGAACACCTATGTGTGATTTCCTTGTTGATGCTTTGATGATTACGTACATGGATCTAGGATTCATACCCGATGTTATTCAATGTTTTAGGCTATCTCGGAAGCATAATTTCGTTGTTCCAATTCGTGGCTGTGGCAATTTGCTTGATCGGATGATGAAGCTGAATCCAACTGGGACTGTTTGGGGATTTTATATGGAGATTTTGGATGCTGGGTTTCCCTTGAATGTGTACGTTTTCAATATTTTGATGAACAAATTTTGTAAAGAAGGCAATATATGTGATGCCCAGAAGGTGTTCGACGAAATTACTAAAAGGAGTTTGCGGCCTACAGTGGTTAGTTTCAACACTTTGATAAATGGGTATTGTAAAGTGGGAAACTTGGATGTAGGGTTCAGGCTTAAACATCATATGGAGAAAAGCAGAACACGTCCAGATGTTTTCACCTATAGTGCCTTGATTAATGCACTGTGTAAGGAGAACAAAATGGACGGAGCACATCGCCTGTTTTATGAGATGTGTGAGAGAGGGTTGATCCCAAATGATGTTATTTTCACTACTTTGATTCATGGTCATAGTAGGAATGGACAGATTGACTTAATGAAAGAAAGTTATCAGAAGATGTTAAGTAAGGGTCTTCAGCCTGATATTGTTTTATATAATACTTTAGTAAATGGCTTTTGCAAGAACGGGGATTTGGTGGCCGCAAGGAATATAGTTGATGGGATGATCCGTAGAGGTCTGAGGCCTGACAAAGTTACATATACGACTCTTATAGATGGATTTTGTAGAGGAGGAGATGTAGACACAGCTTTGGAGATAAGGAAGGAAATGGATCAGAATGGGATAGAACTTGATAGGGTGGGTTTCTCAGCTCTTATTTGTGGAATGTGCAAAGAAGGAAGAGTCATTGATGCTGAAAGAGCTTTGAGAGAGATGCTGCGAGCTGGTATGAAGCCGGATGATGTAACCTATACAATGATGATGGATGCATTCTGTAAGAAAGGTGATGCTCAAACCGGTTTCAAATTGCTTAAGGAAATGCAGAGTGATGGGCATATTCCTAACGTTGTGACGTATAATGTTCTACTGAATGGACTATGCAAATTGGGACAAATGAAGAATGCTGACATGTTGCTAGATGCCATGCTTAATGTAGGGGTTGTTCCGGATGACATCACATACAACACCCTATTGGAAGGTCACCATAGACATGCAAATGCATCGAAGCATTATAAACAAAAACCTGAGATAGGGATTGTAGCTGACTTGGCTTCTTACAAATCACTAGTCAATGAGCTCTATAGAGCTTCAAAAGATCACCGGAACAGATAACATCCGACTGTTTGTGTCTGGATATACGGCCTAAATTTTTTAATTAATCACCAGAGGTCGTTTCCTTACCATTGGTAATATACGGAGATAACTGTCACACTATTCTTTCCTTGATTCTTTTTTTTTCAATGTTTGTTCACATTGCCGAGTAGAATTTATGGGTGCAGGCGATTGCCAATTAGAAGCAATCACATCCTAAGTTGTTCGGTCAGCTAGAGAATCATGATAACTGATCTTTAAGGTTGCTGTTGTTTGATTGATCATTGCAAACACCTGATATGCTTCGGAGTTGAATAGTGATAGACAATGCTGGTAGTTTTGGTAAAGATATATACTGTGTTACTATTTGAGTTTCTGCTTCTATTTCTTGGCTAACAATAACTGAACCTCCCTATATTTGACATTGATTCGGTATATGACATTTTTCCTCTAGGCTCTAAAGGAAAGCTTGCATGTGGCTGTCAACTACTACTCTGATGATTGAGAAACTATAATGCTTCCAGTTTATCTGTTGCGAAACACGACTTTGCGAGCCATTATGACCACTTAAGGTGAGGCCACAATGACTCCGCTCACCATTTGATCTATGTATATGCCTTTTAAATGTTCCATATCGCATATAGACTTGTAAAAACGTTGGTTGTTATGTTAGTTACTATGTATAACAATGTATCACTCTTGGTCAATAAAATTGTTGAGTATGAGTTCTTCTTTGTGACTGGAGCTGAAAATGAAAACGAGCTCTTCTTATATTCTTTTAGATGCTGCTTTGTTTCGTCTGAGGTGTCTGTCAACATAGCAAGTGATTATGTATGGAAAAGGAAAATGAAAAACATCTGTGGAATGAAATTAGTAAATATAATATGCGGATGAAATTGTTAGGATGGTGTGCTTGGAAGTTGGAATGGACCCTAAAGTCATCGTGTAAGCTAGTGGTATGTTGAAATGAAATATATAGTAAACCAATAACAACAAAAATGGAAATGAGATATAAACAAAACTATTGAGGAAATGTTTCTTGTGTTGGATTTGGTCATCTTGGCTACATTTACGATTTTATTCTGTTTATGTAACTGTGAGAGGATTGATCTCCCATTTCCTCAACGGCCACGACGACGACTCTTTTTAACCTCTTCAACGATTTCCTTTATGAAATCCGCCTCGGAGCTGCAAATTAAAGCATTTTAGTTTCACAGAAGGAAATGTTATTACAAATGTTTTACTCTTTGTAACCTGATCCTACCAAAATTGAATCAGTGAAGAAATCGTATTTTATCTTATTTTGTTAACGACTACAAAATAAATAAGCTGAAGTTATCATTTCCATCTCTTACATCTTTAGCCACTTACATAGTTACATACAGTACACGATGGACCCATTTGTTTGTTCTCTTAACAACAACCAGTTTTAGATTAAATAAGCTGAACTTTTATGGCTGGTGTTTACTCTTTAGTTCAACTTCACACTGGGCCCAAAAGGGAAACCAACAACTGAAAAATCGCAATATTAGATTAGAGACGATCACTTGATCAGTAAGGTACCTTTTGTCGCCTAACGTTAAGCCCACCTTGTCAGAAACAGACTCTAGAGCTTCCTTCCATCTCTTGATCTGTTCACCACTGGAAGTCTTAGCCAACCTCCAGAAGTTGCGACCAAACTCAGCCTCTTGGTATCTCACAGACTCTGCCTTCACTTTGAAGAAGATGGGAACCACTCGTAGCTTGCGTTGATCGGCTCTTTTCTTGATCCTTGCAAGCTCGTCCAGGCACCAGCTTGACTCTGCGTACCTTTTTGAAAATATAGCGAGGGCCATCCTCGATTGCTTGATCCTTGCAAAGAGATGTTTAAGGTCTTTCCCCTTTTGTTCGTCTTTGTCTATGAAGAAGTTGATCCCATGCCTTTTAAAGGCCTCAACGAGGTGGCTCACGAAGCTGCAGCGTAGCTCCTCTCCCCGGAAATTGATGAACACTTGGATCTTCCTATTACTACTACTCCTTTTCATGTTGTTTATATTAGTTGTGAGCGTGAGCAATGAAATTAAAAGAATACTATAAGTTTTGTAATGTAATGGAATAATGGTAATTAAGATGCATGCTTAGCAAGAGCTTTATAATATTGGGAGGGTATAGGCGCGGTTACATTATGTTGAGTTTTTTTTTTTTTTTTTTTGGTTGATAAATTTACATGTTGACGTCCAATGTTAGTGTTAGGTTTATCGATATACGGGAAGGCGTCGTTAGGAACTTTGTCATTAACTCTCTTGGGTTATCATGCGTAGATGCATGTTATCACAATTTGATTATGTGGAAAATTGGACAGAAGAGGAAGAAAAGTCACAACCCCAAACAGTTAGTACAAGATCGTAGAAACAGCGTATTTGGCTCAGGCTCACGTGCGCGGAGAGAGAAAACAGCAGCAGACCTCACTTTTTGTTTTTTCTTGTCTCTGGATCCTCACTTCTTGTTGTCACCGCCACCTACTACCCACATTTCTCCCCATTGTCACTTCTCCCAGTTTTTTTTTTTTTTTTTGTTTTTTTATTGGGGTTTTAAGTCTTTTTCTATCTTATTTACATATTTCTTGGGATGTTTCAAATTCTCTAGGTCATGTAGAGTTGTTTTAGCCCTTAGGGCTACATGTTGTTCCGTACTGCTGAGTGCTGACCAAGGAGAAGTTTCATGGTTGCTGCTAACTAATTTAAAGTATACATGTTGTAGTACAACTACCAAAGAAAGCATAGAAAGTAGGGAACCCTAGGATAAAGAATTAAAAAGGGAACCAAAGATTTATGTTTTTTCTTCCTTCGTTCTCATTGGCAAAAAACGGCAGAATCTTCATTAAGTTGCGTTCTATACTTTCCATTTCTTTTAGTAGCCAACTTCCAACTGCACCATTTAACCCAACCGTTTTCATTTTGGAGGCGGTCTCGTCGTCTCTATGTATATGCATATATGTGTGTAAACTGCGTTTGGTGTAAAATATAAAAATTAACTTATAGAAAAGAAAGTAGTGGAACATGGAGATAAAACAACAAGAAACTATACATACATTAACTGTAAACTACATATTATCTTAATAGATACATATTTAGGAGTTTAACTTTAAGTTGTTTGTGATTCAATTCTAAATGAAGGATAATTTGCTGAATCATACTTCTTTGGTTTGGTTGTTGGTTTCTTTTGTCGCACGATGATAAATTTTAATATTTTTACATGTACCATCTTCCATCTCGGAATTCCTTTCCAGTCGAGCTATCGACCTATGATTAAAAACTGATATGTTTTTGTTTGGAGACCGACATGGTCGCTTGGCTCGGAATATTGGAGAATCATCGATCTGAATTCGTTACATCTCTTCTCCTAGTCGCTGATCATTTTATTTCATCCAAGTCATGGGCATGGAGAGAGCTTTTATTCTTCATGTTTTTAAGTTTACACGGATTGGAAGTAGGCTACAATGGCCGTAAGGGAAGGTAGGCCCATTAATAGTGGCCTAAGGCCCAATTGTGATCAAAACGCAAAGAACCTTCCTTAAAGAAGATGACACAATCTCAAAAGAATAAGCACAAAAATAGAAAATATCGAAAATGAGATGAGAGAGAGAGGACTCTCTCATCGTGCGTAGGGCTTTTGACTCCCTCCCCTACTTTGCCTACTTCTTCCTTCTTCCTTTGGCCACTCTACACAGTCCACACCTACTTAGACACCTTTCTCAACCTTGAGATCGGCGTCAGATCCTCCGCCGCATCTTCTCTTCACTCTCTCCGGTCACACTCTTTTTTCTCTTTCTCTTTTTGTTCTATGTATCTCTCTACTTTATGCGCTTCTTCTTAACAATCTGAGTGGATTTACAGGGTTATGATGATGGAATCCGGAGCTGGTTTCGCGGCCATGGAAGAGAGGATCTCTCCTGGAAGTTTCTTCCAATTTCCTCTTTCTGGATTCCGTGCTTCTCCCAATCGATCCCCTTGTCCTCCCACTGATCGTGAAAGGTTTCTATTTTCTCTCTTCTTTCTCAACTTTTTTGCTATTACTGTGAATCTGTGTTAGCTTGGCTGTTGTGGTTCCGTTTCTTCTTGTGGACTTGTTGCTTTAGTAGAAAATTCAAGTGTGTGTGTGTGTGTTTGTTTATGATTGGTTGGTATTGTTCCGTTTGATTGGATGAGTGTTGAAAATGATTCTGTCAAGTTTGTATTTTCATGGACTGCTCACACAGATCCAACTTCTCAATCATACTCTCACTTCAAAATGTCGCCTTTTTCACAATTGATTTCACTAGCTCACTTATTATTGAATTATGTACAATGTACTCAAGGATTTTAAACAAGAAAGCTATATTTTATCAATCTTTTAGAAATTAACGTACTGATGTATTTTTGGAAGTTTAGTGTACATGTGAGTGAGTGGTGACTCCAATGTGAACCACTCGATACTCAATACACACCAATGCTGCATCCACTGAAACTTATGCTTTTCTTTTTTTTAACCTTATGCAGGTACTTGACTGAATTATTGCAAGAGAGACAAAAGTTGGGTCCCTTTTTGCAGGTTATGCCAAATTGCTGCAGACTGCTGAATCAAGGTGAGCTATCTTATTAAGCTATATGCTTTTGAATTAAGTATTTCCTTGAGTGTTTGCACACAAACTTAAGAAATTTCTTGGGTGAACAAAGCCTTGGTGTGCGTCACCCTGGCTTTCTTTAGTTAAAAGTTTACAGATACTGGGTATGAGAAAAAAAATTATTTGTATGCAACTTTGTATTCTCTTTGTTATACCATTCTTAATATATATATATATATATATATATATATATATATATAGCCAATCAAATTTTATGTTACTTGTAGCATTCAGAAAGAGTTGTTAACGGCTACTTATTGCTAAATTAGCATTCTTGATGAATGATGTTATGTGACAATGAATTATGTCTCTGTGTTTGCAAATGATAATGATCGTTGAGCAAATGATCATCAACTATTTTCCACTAGGAGGCCTATCTGTCTATGAATATGCATATGATCATTAGAAGCTTGTCTCCAGACTTGTTTACCTAGCTTTTAGTTGTAAATCATGCACTTAAGAGATGTGTGAACCTTAAAAGACAAAGATGTGTTTGAAATTTTCATCATGTTAACCTATTAGAACACGAGCCTTAAAGTTAATAGACTGAAGATGCCCCTGATGTATAACTGTCACAGTTTCTATTATAGGTTTGCTTAATTTCCTACATTACTGATGTCTGTGCAGAAATCAGGAGGGTCTCTAGTTTTCCTGATCCTGATAGATATGAGCATGGAAGTCCATTTAGATCGCTTGGCCAGCCGACAAATGGAAAGCTTGATTTAGAGGGATGGTCGATGATGCAAGCGGAGGTAAGCCACTACTAATAGTTGTAGTCAAATAACAGACTCATGCTGAATTATGATGGTGTTACTAACAATTTTTATAATCAAGAGTGGGATTCATCGATATTGATTGCTTTTGCTTTCTTCAGGAAAACTGTCACCTCCAGAGAGCTTCTCCATTTCGTGCTCCTGCCCCAGTGGGCTGGATTGGGATGCCGGGACTCCCTAACCCACCCATTGTGAAAAAAGTGATTAGACTTGATGTGCCAGTGGATAAATATCCAAGCGTAAGTTGTAAAAGTTTAGCGAAATTTGTTATTAGAATTGGGGTTGTTCTAGAGTTTAAATCCATTGACCGTTGCAGTATAATTTTGTTGGGCGGATTCTCGGGCCACGTGGAAACTCCCTAAAAAGAGTTGAGCTAGCAACCCACTGCAGGGTGTTTATTAGAGGGCGAGGATCTGTGAAGGATACTGTCAAGGTATGGCTCCTTGTTTATTAATTCTCTGAAGGATTCCATTTTGCTGTACAAGTATAAGCTTATGTGCCACGTCTTTTAGCTTAGCAACTTATTGTTGAAGTAATGATACATTTTTTACTGCATCATCAGCTACTACCCTCGTTTACAATTTGAATATATTTTAAATTTGGCAGCCTGTTTAAGAAATGAAGTGTTTGAGCTTTAGGTTCTTACAACTCTCATCAAATAACATCATTAGAAGTGAATAGGGAAAGTTCTGAAATTCATTTTTTCTGAGTCTTGTATATTCTCGGACATTAATTATCTACCATGCGGTGTGAAGGCTTATCCATTTAGTTCTTTACTTCCCTGCAGGAGGAAAAACTTAAAGGTAAGCCAGGGTACGAGCATCTCTGTGAGCCACTACATGTACTGATCGAGGCTGAGCTTCCAGAAGACATAATAAACTCTCGATTGGAACATGCAGTACATTTCCTGGAATCACTCCTAAAGCCGATGGTACAATCTTATCACAAAGTTCCAAACGTCTCTATATGTTTTTGTACTCCAAACCTTTTGTTCACATGGTTTTTTTTGTCTTGTCTCTACAGGACGAATCAATGGATCACTACAAGAGGGAACAGCTGAAAGAGTTAGCAGCTCTGAATGGTACACTAAGGGAGGAGAGTCCAAGTCCGAGCTTGAGCCCTTGTTTGAGTCCGAGCATGTCCCCTTTCAACAGCAAGCGTGCTAAGACTGGACAATAAAGATTTTACCTGAGAGATGATCAATGTTGTTGAGACAGAAACCATGGCATGGTCGTGTGGGAAGGGCCAAGGCTCTCTATGCATTGTCTATCTATCCGCAAGGTGATAATGTTCTAAGTTCTAACGTTTGGACTCCTCAATTAATTTATTTTGTCATTAAGTTTATTCTTTATTTTTGAAAATTTTGTTGGTTAACTGAGATGACCATTGACCAGTGGGTAATAAACTAATAATGGTGTTTATGAGAATGTAAGCTCGTTCTCAATCATTGTGACCTTGTAACCTTTATTTAAGTCTGAAACCCAACATCAATTTCGTTTTAACATTTCTCTATTTGTCTATTACTCTTCATTAGCCTCTGGTTTTGAGACTTGAGGTTCAGCTTCAGATTGTTTCGCGGTCAATATAAGGCTTTTATGTTCCCAAGTTTTATATTCTTGATTACATTCCATCTTTTATCATTTTTATATTTATTATATATCAACGAATCTCTATGAATTAAACCCTAAATTTGTATTCTTCACAACATATATTAATATTTATAAGGCAAAGGTTATAGAGGATCGGAAGTAGGTAAGGGTAGTGAACCTGAGTGCATGATTTAAAAACCAGATCCGTCACCAATGAGACACGGCTGATGCATCGCCAAGTTGGCGCTGATATGATTTAAAAACCTCATCTCTCCATGATATGGTTGATGCATCGCCAAGTTGTTTAGATCACTTGTCATGTGATGAGTGGCACCGCTGTCAAGCAACCAAGCATTTGATGGATTTTGTGATCCAAGGGCCATATTAGGACGCGGCTACCATGGCGGAAACGGTGTGAGCAACAAGCTGTTTTGTGGACCAGAATGTTGGTATTGAAGCTGAGAAAACCTCTTGGCGCTATGACCAAACACTCCACACAACTGACGTTACTGTTACTCCAGGATAGATTGGTGCGCTGTTGATGTTTTGCTTTGAAATGGACGTTGACGGGATGTGGCAACATGAGCTGATGTGGGGGTAACACTTGAGACAGATAAGGACGCAGCCAGCAGCTTTGATTGATTGACTCTACAGGCGTCTTCTACTTTTCGGTGACGATAAGAAGTAACCTGAGATTTGATTGATTGAAGTCAACGAGGTCATGGTTTTCTTATCCCTGCGATAATATATTATATAGTTATTTGCACATGTCTTTGTCTGTAATGGCTGTTTTTAGATTGGAAGGTTTTAGCAAATGAATGAGCCGGGTGTATCGTTTTGACTTATTTGAGAATCTACTTTGTTGTGGCTGAATCGGTTTGATTTCCACAGAAACACATGGGCGGCAAAGTGGAAAAGCTGGTGAATTTTGGGTTTTGGATTTGGAGAAGCTAAAGAAGTGAGATTTGTGAGGAAGAGAAGAAAGGGTTTCAATTGAATTACAGAACAAAGTCATGCATCTTTCAGGTGCATAAAAAGCACGACCAAAATTGTACATGTTGAAACAAGCCCTTCTTACATAAAACAAGAGTCAGAGTCTGGAACATAATCATAGCTTTAAGAGTTGCAAACTTGGACAAACAAACGGTTGATGAAAGAAGCTTTTATGAAATAGATATTAAACTCGGGAAATAACAAACAGGATAACCGACGGAGTCAGCCTCGAAAGCAACATCATATGATTTGGTTTCGTGATCATGTACCATCAATGTTCGACTTCGCTCACGACAATAAAACAACAACTTCTTCTTCTTCCCATCCAAAAGTGCTAGTGGCATGACCGCGCATAGGTGACGACCAAACCAATGAGAAGTTATATCCAGATCAATGGAACACATTTTGTGCCATGTCTTGTTACCTGAATTGAATGACCATATCACTTGCTTGGGCCGCTTCATCTCGGAAACGCACAAGCGGTTGTCGAGGTGGAATCCATCAACATTGGCAAATGGAGCTTTAGAAACGACTTGAAAAGTTTCGGTGTGAAGATCAAACGATAGAATTTTGGTTTCCTCGCACTCGGTGAACCAATGAAGCGACCCATCTACGCAGACAGGTGAGGGGCAACCAACAATCCGATAAGGAGCAGCGGGAGAAACATACCTCCAAGCGTTGGTGCTAAAGTCGAAAACCTCGCATGTAGTAGCGTTTTCTAGGCCAATTTCTAAAGAGTTGTATAACCAAACGGGCTTGTATGTGCCTGTGAGTTTGTCTTTACCGAATCCAAGCTTAGAGAGTCTGTATCCAAGATCGTAGAAACTGTCCCCTAAGCCAGTAATGACTTGTTGTAATTGGCAGGGAGGAAGAGGGTGATACCATCTAGTGGTGGGATTGACCACAAAACCGGATTTCCTGATATTAAAGAGACAAACGAGACCGTCACAGCTATCACGGGAAACTAAGTATTCAGTGTCCTCCTCCTTCTCCTCCCAAGGAGTAGGGATCTTGACAGATGATGATGAACCCAACACCAATGTAGCAAGAGCTTCTATATCGAGATTAATAACATCATAACGACATAGGGAGACCAAGAGAACATCTGGATTACCTGATTGCTGACGCTGTTGGAACTGTCTACGCTGGAAGAATGGAGATTCGATAGTTGATTTCCATTGTTTCGATACAGCCTTGAATCTCAGCAGAGGATCCACAGCCAGTCTCTCTAGGATGCGCTCTACGACATCGTGGGGCAGGGATCCCATCATCAAGCAACGTTGCTTTTTCGACATTCTTGTGATTGCAGACAAGTCATTGTTGATGAAGAGATTAAAGAGGTTTATTTATAGATAAAAGTAATCTCACAAATAAACAGTAAAACAAAAATCTTCTACAGAAAAGTAAAACTCAACACTTGCCGTTTCTTAAAACTCAACACTACCTTTTCATCAGATCAAGGGCATTCGGTTCTTCGGTTCTATTCGGTTTTTGATTCGGTTCGGTTATTTGTCAGTTCGGTTCGGTTCAGATATTTAGAAATAAAACGGATAAATAACCAAAATCCCAATGGATAACACTTAGTATACTTCTTAAGTTGGATGTGTAAGGAAAAGTAAAACTCAACACTTTCTGTTTCTTAAATCTAATCTTGAGTAAGAATTTTCTAGGAAACTTCAGACACGGACACAGATCTCCTAACTAATTTTTCTTAAGTGTTAGAACCTAAACTCACACTATCTGTCGAGTTTGTTTAGAACCTAAACTCACACTATTTGTAAAAAAAAAAAATAGTGAAAGAAAGAAAATAAATTGTACAACATTGGAAAACAATTGTCTAGAGAGGATAATGATGAATTGATGATGATTAGTGACAAGGCAGCTACATCAGTTACCCATCAAAGTATGCGTATATATATGTACTTCAAATTGAAATGGCCATAAGTTCCACCTACATGATCAGACAAACGAACACAAACATAGATGAGGGCTTTGTTGACAAATTTGCGTTTTTTAATCTCGAAGGCCTAATTCAACCTCCAGTTCATCATCTTCCTCAAACAGCTTCAAGAGTCTAGCATACTGCTCGTCTCTTTTCTTCTTTTGCCATAGCTTGTATAGAAAGAACGAGAACACCGCCACAGCCACAAATCCAACCAGTATGAGGATTACTTTTGTGCCTGTTTTGCTGGAAGAAGTATGAGATTCTGCCTTGACCCCTGCATTTGTATTCTTGGAATCACCGGATAGACCTGCAAATATCATATCAGAAGACTTAATTACTAAATGCCCTCTTAGCATGTAAATTTTTTTAAAAGTTTATGCTGTCCCAAGAGCACTCGTGACTGTAAATCTTGTCGTTTAGACACTCACTAGTCAGCAGCTAAAGCTACACAGTCTATCCTCAAATAGTTACCATGTTACTTATCTTCAACTAAAGGGGAACAACAACAACTACACACATAGACAACAGAGAACAAGATCAATTGCAACATGCATTTAAAGAATTTACGGGAGAGACATTAGCCTACTTCTATTAAAAGCACATGGTGGCCAATTGTAGAAATAGCTTATGTAAAAACTTCAAATGTCTGAAACAACTGATGAATTATACAAATACATGTCACAAAAGCAATAGATTTTGCAGACAACCTCTTCAAATCAGGACGCGGTCTCGCATAAAGGACAAAGGTAAACAACTATAATCCAGTGAAGATAGTAAAAGAAACTATAGCCACACCAAACCCATGAATTGAACGGTCTCTTTGCTTATTTTTCTCTTTACTAACACATGTTAAGCACAAAGTTACAGATTTGGTGGTATATGTGTGGCCAAGATCTACTCAACAGAGAAATACAATCTTCCTATCAGATGCATGTTTCGATCCTGATCGCAAAAGACCTAATGCATAATGATTAAGTATCTAGAAAGAGCCAAGTTGAGCTAAATTTAACATAAATCTAGCGAATTGAGAACCTAAAATCCCCAACTAAATCCGATGATGATTCTACAGAAAGTGAAATGAAATCAGATAGATCTGAAGAAGACAAACCTAAGAAGAACTGCAAACCAATCGAAGCGAAGAACAGTAAACGCCGCCATGAAAGACCACTTGCTGAGTTCTGTCTCATCTCTCTCGATAAGACTTTTCTGCTTGTAAGCAAGGACAGATCGATCTTTTGCTGCAGCAAAAGAACAAATTCTTCTGGTGGAACTTTTGATGTTGAAATTAGAGAAAAGGGAAAAGAACAATTCGACCCCCAGATTTTCTTTAGAGATTATATGCCTTTGTACTAGTAGTAAAGAACAATTCATTTCGTTTGAGACCACCAACTCTGATAAATACGTAATTAATTAATCCTTTCTTTTATTTTCGAGTTAATAACTTAGCAAAGCAATGAGCAAAGAAATGTTATCTAATTAACTGAGATGAATCATTTTCTCTTTTTTTACCAATCTTTTACATTTTCCACAGCGAAACAATAGTAAAATATATCAACAAATGTTGCATTATTTTGTCATAAGTTACATGTTCATTTATTAGGTTGTCTAGTTACTACAACGTATGTATAAATACTTTTTTTTCATTAGTTAATTTCGAGATGAACATGTCATTTCTTCGAAATTAAGTCGACTTATTCTTCAAGAGTTGCCTTTTTCGACAATTTTTAAAACTTGAAACCTTCAAAAGACTTTACCTCTAAAATGTTCAACTCAAAGACCAATGTATATATAATTTGACCGAAACGCGTTGAAGCAAATCAACCCAAGGTAAAATTACTGTAAAACAAATAAACCAGACCATGTATTGCCTATTGCCAGGGTAGACTGGCCGGTCAGAACTTCGAAAACTGGTATGTAAAAAATTCTGGCACAACAAAAAAAAAAAAAAAAAGAGAGGCGAAACATTAACAAAGAACTAAAAAGACTTGTCCTTGACACTCAATTAGAAAGAAAAACAGTCTATGCGACACAAGTCACAGAGCAAAACCCCTATGGGAGAGGCAGAGATAGAAAGATATGTAAAGCCCCAGCAGCTGCAAAACCGGTAAATGGAAGTACCAAACCATTCTCTCTTTTCACTTGAAGCACTTGGCATCCAAGAGAGCCTCACCTTCAAATGGCTCTGCATCTTCGATCATCTGGCTAACACGCTCCTTCTGGGCTTCATCTGAGATATCAACCTTAGTCCACTCGTACAGTTCCATGTCGTACACCTCGTCCATTATGAACTTTGGGATCTCTGGTCCACGGAACAGCCATAAACCCTTCACCTTAAACGGACCCTCTGACCCGCAAATCAGCATCTTTCCAAAGGAGTATTTACGTGCCAAGTCCATACGCTGAAGGAACCCACCCACCTTGTTGAGTGTGACAAATGATACCATGTTCTCATCGTTGTACTTGTAGTCACAGAACCAAAGTGAGTATCCCTCTGGGTCATACATGTCCCAGAATCCTGCATTTGAGTCACAATATTAGACATGATAAAACGCAATTGATTCCAATAGCTAAATAATTCCTTGCATTTCCTAAAAGCAAAACTGTAAAACTAGGTAAGGAGAAGATATCACCACACACCTTTAATAGCAACCTCGCGGAAGTTAGATTTGGTGTTTGAGTAAAGCCTCTTCCAATCATCTAGTACCATAGGGCTTGGTGGTAGCAAGTCAAGAGGGTTCTTGGCTTTAGGCTTTGGTGCCTCTTCCTCTTCGGCAAGCTTAGGTGCCTCTGCTACTGGGGCTTCCTTTTTCTTAGGCTCTTCTTTGGGCTTCGCAGGCTGGGCAGCTTTCTTGGAAGCAATAGGAGGGACAGCTTCAGTCTGTTTGACATCACCCAACACTTTCTTGAAGTTTGGTTGGTTAACCACAGTCCAGAAGTACCGCTCAACATGAGGGAATTCAGAGGTAAATTTCTTGGTCATGACAGTAGCAAATCCCAAGTTCAAGTTGCAGACAGTGATAATATCAGCAAGGGTAATACAGTGTCCAACAAGGTAAGTGTTGGAAGCGAGATGTGTGTTCAGAGCATCAAGTGCTCTCTTCAATGCAGAGATGGTACCTTCCTCAGCCTTCATTTGTAAATAATCAGGGATAAGAAAAAGAACTGGAGTACTATAGATATAGTGAAAAGAGTTTGCCATCACAGATAGTGAATGAAACAACCAATGAAAGTCACAAAAGCTTACCGGAGCACTGTATGGCATAAAGCCCATTCTTGGGCCAAACCACCTTAAGATGTTTCCATAGATCTCCAATGAAGCAAAGTCGCTCCATTGCTCAACTTGTGCCTGCGAAAAACAAATGCAGATTAACACTGAGGACACTAACAAATAGATTGACAAACAATACAACAGGTGCAAATGGATTAGACAAGACTAGCCCCAGGAAAAAAACAGATACTTACATATTCAATCAGGGAGGATCCGTTCAAAGAGTTGTCACCGTTCAATCGGCTTACTGCATTGAGATATCAACACATCCATTATAACCCAAACGACAAAAAGAAATCAAACTAGACACTGAGAGAAAACCGAAGGAGAAAGATATGAATGCTTTACCATAACGGGCAATGGCGTTGCTCTCAAATACTGATCCCTCGGGAGTCTCAAGTACAGGAACCTATCAAGATCAATAACTCTTGGTTAGCTGAAAAAATAGACTTAACCCCATTCCAGAAATTTAGCAATCAACAGTGTTGACAAACCTTTCCAATAGGGTTCATCTTGAGGAACTCAGGGGTTTTGTTAGTGACACCCATCTCAAAGTCAGAGGGGACATCGATCTTCACACCAACGTACTCTGCTGCAATGAGTGCCTTATCAGCACTTTTGTTTCCCTTGTACGTATGCAAGACCTGCAATCGTAATTCATCAGCACAATAATACGTATTAGACATCAAAACTTAACACTAGAGCAGCTAGATATCCAAACTAACATAATTTCAATCGATTCGGTGCTATGAACAATCCTTGGATAACTTTAGATCCTAGGATTTCCAAATCTAACGTTTCTACAATTACATCGATACAGGATGCGATCGTAACAGTAGACAATCATAGAGAACTCACCAAAGCCATTGCTCAGACGGAATTCAAGCGAACTTGGACTTCTGATATCGGATCTGGTTCCAAGGAAAACATTAAAGCAGTGAGCTCGCAATTGACACGATCATAGCTATGAATATGAGCTAATTGGAGAAAAAAAGATTATTCGATCGATGGATCTTACCAGACGTTCTGCAAAATCTTCCGAGAGAGCAAATCGAGAGAAGAAGCAAAAAATGAGGCGGAGAAAAGCTATAAAGGAGTGTTGAAGGGATGATGATGAAGTAGGGTTTTTAAAATCTGTATGAGTGTATTCCTTTGGTTTGGTTTGGCTCGGTTCTGTTTGGTTTTATTTCTGATTTTGTTTATTTTCCGGTTAAGCTCTAATTACTTTCTCTTTTACTAACTTTTGACCCAAGTCATAATTTGGAAGTATTTTAGCCTTTTAGGTAAATGAATTACATATACGTAGGCTTTTTTTAAGCCCAACTTGATAAATAAAAGTCTTCGTCGTTGTTGGGCAATAAGCCGAGAAGGTTGAATAGAAGATCCAGGGGAAAAAGAAATTAAAAATAATTTATTTCTTTCTTCTTCACCTTTCTATTTCAAAATCCCAAATCTAAAAAGCACTCCTCGAAGAAAGTGTAACAATGGCGAGAAGACCGGACGAAGAATACGACTACTTGTTTAAAGTGGTTTTGATCGGAGACTCCGGTGTCGGCAAGTCAAATCTCCTCTCTAGATTCACTCGCAACGAGTTCTGCTTAGAATCCAAATCCACCATCGGTGTCGAATTCGCTACTCGTACTCTCCAAGTACGTACACATCTCCCTCTCTCTATATTGCTGGATCTATGATTAGTTCTAAGTTTCTGTAATCAGGATAGACTTCTCCGTTTTCTGTGTTAATGCTTTTTGATTCGATCCTCTTTGTGTTCATTTCCCGTATATGTGTTTTTGAGGTGTTGTTGAATACTCGGAAGCAGCCATTGTGTGTAGGAACATTTTGGGCTTGCTTTTGAATTTTGATCGACGTTTTCACTTTGAAATCTCTTAATTTAAAATGTTCCCAAATTTCTTCTACTCTGGTACGTGGTAGTGTGAGGCTGCCTCACATGTCAGATCTAAAACCTTTGTTCAAGGCAGATCTAAGAATCTCCTCATAGTAAATTCTGGAATTGATCTCGAACATGATTTCTTTTGATTAGACTATGAAAATGGAAAATTTGTTTCTAAGTATGAACCATTGTTGTTGTTTCACAGTCTCGGAGTTTTCTTTCTGGGTTGTTTGTGGAATTTAGCTGCAAGTTTCCTAATTGGGTTATGTTGCAGGCTCTAATGATAGAATCTATGCATTTGCTGCTCCTTATATCTGAATTAACCTCTTGGCGTAACTATGATCTTTGTTCTAAGGTGGAAGGAAGGACTGTGAAAGCTCAGATATGGGACACGGCTGGGCAAGAACGATACAGAGCCATAACTAGCGCCTATTACAGAGGTGCACTTGGAGCTCTTTTGGTCTATGATGTCACTAAGCCAACAACGTTTGAGAATGTAAGCAGGTGGTTAAAAGAACTAAGAGACCATGCAGATTCCAACATCGTGATCATGTTGATTGGAAACAAGACAGATCTGAAGCATCTCAGAGCCGTTGCCACAGAGGATGCTCAGAGCTATGCAGAGAAAGAAGGCTTGTCTTTCATTGAGACATCGGCTCTCGAGGCATTAAACGTAGAGAAGGCTTTTCAGACGATTCTCTCAGAGATTTATAGGATTATCAGCAAGAAGTCGATATCTTCAGACCAGACAACTGCAAATGCCAGCATCAAGGAAGGCCAAACAATTGATGTTGCTGCTACTTCTGAATCAACTGCTAAGAAACCTTGTTGCTCATCGTCTTGAAAGGCTTTGTTTGTGTTGCACTTAAAAAGCCAATATCTATGAGACTTTATTTCAAGGCTTGCGTTGTATTACACTAGCTAAAAATATGCAAGTTGCATTTGTTTGTTTTCTTTTTTTGTTGTTTATAATAACTCAAAGATAGCATAAGCTTTCTATATCAATTGTGGAGTTTGGAATCGTTCACACGAATTGTGACAATGAAAATATTTCAGGGAATTTTTTTGTAGTTTTGAGTGGTAGTAATATAAAGAAAAATAAGAAGTGTATAAAATTGAAGAAAAAACAAAGAGACCAACGTAGTTTGAATTTTGAATAGCGCAGAAATTCCTCGATCTCAAAGATAATTAAATGAAATAAACAAAATCACACAATATACATTTTTCAATCGAGAAGAAATGGAAAAGCAAAGAAAGGAAGTTAACAAGAAGACAGGCAAAAAACCTCAGTAGTAGTTTATGAAATTTCCTTTTTGCTAGTTTATGAGATTTTTGAAGAAAAGGAAATATACCGGTTATTGATTGAAAAAAATAGAAGAATGATTTATCTTTTACGTTATTTTATAGGAAGTTTTTATCAAAATGGTAAATTTCCAAGTCTTTCCTGTAGTTCCCGCCTCTATATATAGCAACAACTCTTAAGCAATTTTTGATCATCAACGAACAATTTACTCTGTTTCTTTGTCATCGAAAACAAATAATAAAAAAAAGATGGAGATCCCAATCTGGGGATGGTGTATTATCGTCGCAGCTATAATAATCTTGGCGGTTTTGTCTAATTTTCTCGGAAGGCGGTACTTGAAACCTCGTGAGATAGAAGAAGATGGTAAAGCGTCGTCTTCTGTGACTTTGGAGAAGAAGGAACCTGTTCCTGTGAAAGAAGACGGTAAGAGCAAGACGAACGAGAAGGCACGCGGTGATAACCTCGTCTGAAGAAAATTTTCAATATATTAATTTGCAGCCCTTGTTTTTATCATATAGTTTTCTTATTTTAATCAAAGGTTAGACGCTCGAGAATCTTTGAAAATTTATTTATTTACGGTGTTGATGAAAGATTGAAAGAATTAATCTAATAACGTTCTCTATAACATAGTCGAGAATTCTTTAACGATCAGTCTCTAGATTTGCTTCCACTACTAATCTTAGGCGTAACTTTAATTTTTCAACATATTTTTTCATGCAAATGGACTGAAATTATTAGTATTGAACAATCCACCATATATATGAGCCAATGGTCTTACGTAGCAGTTGGCATAAGCATCGTCGACAAAAGAGAAATCAGTAACGCTTGAAAAGGGAGGAGCAAACTTGAGTATCGACTAAAACCAAGACGAAACAAAGGAATTGAAAAGCAATCTTTACAACAAGAAAAAAAAAAAAAGTTGTGACAATAAAAAAAAAAGGAAATCTTTGCAACTAACTGGGCCTTTAGTGGATGTGGCCCAAAACCTAATTGGGTTTGACTAGGATCCGGTTTTGGCGAGACTGGTTCAGTTAATAATCTGCCGTCGAATCCAAAGATTGAAGAAGTTAATCTTAAAGAAAAACCCTAGAAAATCATTCCTTATCTCTCTCCACTGGCTCTGTCTCCGTCAAATCTCGGATTGTTTTCGCGGTGGGCTCGATTCGTGATTCCTCAAAGTTCATCATCCCTAAGGTAATTCTCTCCCCAAGCTTGTAGACTCAATTTACTGATGTTTGTGTTGCACTCAAATCTTGTCTTTTGTTTTTGTTTATGTGTTGCACTTAAAAAGCCGATATCTAAATTTGAGGTTTGCGTTTTGGTTTGATTTCGTTTGGGCAGGCACTGTCACTTAATGGCATCTGATTCGAAAAGCTTCACGAGGAGAGATCGTCTTCTTGAGATTGAGGTAGCGGTTCGAAAGTGGTGGGAAGATGAGGAAGTATTCAAGGCTGAATCTCGTGAGAATCTTCCAAAACCAGGAGAAAAGTTCTTCTCAACCTTCCCTTTCCCGTATATGAATGGTTATCTACACATTGGCCATGCCTTTTCATTGTCCAAGGTTGATTTTGCTTCTGCTTACCATAGGCTAAGGGGAGCTAATGTGCTTCTTCCATTTGGTTTCCATTGTACTGGTATGCCTATTAAGGCATCTGCGGATAAGCTTTCTCGTGAGATTCAACAGTTTGGAAACCCTCCTGTGTTTACTGCTGAAGACAACACCAAAGTTCCTGAAGTTCAGGAGGAGAGCAGTGATACTATAGCTTTACCGGGTCAGTTCAAGGGAAAGAAGTCTAAGGTGGCTGCGAAATCTGGCGGACAGGTTTATCAGTGGGAGATTATGCGCAGTTTTGGTCTTACTGACAGTGAGATTGCAAAGTTCCAAGATCCTTATGAATGGTTGTATTACTTTCCCCCTTTGGCTGTTGAAGATCTCAGGGCATATGGATTGGGTTGTGATTGGAGACGCTCCTTTGTGACCACTGATGTTAATCCCTTTTTCGATGCCTTTGTGAGGTGGCAGATGAGGAAGTTGAAATCTTTGGGAAAGATTGTTAAAGACCGTAGGTACACAATCTTCTCACCGTTAGATGGCCAGCCATGTGCTGATCACGACCGTGCTACTGGCGAAGGTGTTCAGCCTCAAGAGTATACACTCATAAAGATGGAAGTAGTCAAGCCATTTCCTCTGAAACTGGGTCCTTTGGAAGGTAAGAGAGTTTTTTTGGCTGCTGCTACTTTGAGACCTGAGACCATGTATGGACAAACAAACGCATGGGTACTACCTGATGGGAAATATGGGGCTTATGAAATCAGTGAAACTGATGTCTTCATCCTTACTGAGAGAGCTGCACTCAACCTTGCGTACCAGAACTTCTCAAAGATCCCTCAGAAGCCTTCCTGCTTGGTTGAGTTGACCGGGTATGATCTGATTGGACTCCCTTTGAGGTCTCCTCTGTCAGTCAACGAGATCATCTATGCTCTGCCCATGTTGACCATTCTGACCAACAAAGGTACTGGCATTGTCACCAGTGTGCCGAGTGATGCTCCTGATGATTACATGGCTTTACAAGATTTAATCAAAAAGCCTGCTCTTCAAGATAAGTATGGTGTGAAAACGGAATGGGTGCCCACTGAAATCATTCCGATTATCAACATCCCGGAATTTGGGGATAAGGCTGCTGAAAAGGTCTGCTTGGATCTGAAAATTAAAAGTCAAAATGATAAGGACAAGCTTGCAGAGGCTAAGAGGTTGACTTACCTGAAAGGATTTACCGAAGGAACCATGCTTATTGGAGAGTTTGTTGGTAGGAAAGTTCAAGAAATCAAGCCCATTATTAAGACAAAGCTCATAGAGACTGGCGAGGCAATCATATACAGTGAACCCGAGAAGCCGGTGATGTCAAGATCGGGTGATGAATGTGTTGTGGCTCTTACAGATCAGTGGTACATAACGTACGGCGAATCAGAATGGAGGAAAATGGCTGAGGAATGCTTATCAAAAATGAATCTCTATTCTGAAGAAACAAGGCATGGCTTTGAGCATACTTTGAGCTGGCTCAATCAGTGGGCTTGCTCACGGTCTTTTGGTCTAGGAACTCGTATTCCCTGGGATGAACAGTTCCTTGTGGAATCCTTATCTGATTCATCTCTCTATATGGCCTATTACACAGTTGCCCATATCTTTCACGATGGAGACATGTATAAAGGTAGCAAGTCTTTGATCCGCCCTCAGCAGATGAATGATGAAGTTTGGGAGTATCTCTTCTGTGATGGCCCGTACCCGAAATCATCTGATATTCCATCAGCTGTCTTAAGCAAGATGAAGCAGGAATTTGATTACTGGTACCCGCTAGATCTTCGAGTTTCAGGAAAGGATCTTATTCAGAATCATTTGACATTTTTCATCTACAACCACACTGCACTAATGGCGAATCGTAACTGGCCACGTGGCATCAGATGTAATGGTCACATCATGCTGAATTCTGAAAAGATGTCAAAGTCAACCGGAAATTTCAGAACCTTGCGCCAGGCTATTGAAGAATTCTCTGCCACTGCTACAAGGTTTTCTTTGGCTGATGCTGGTGATGGTGTTGACGATGCTAATTTTGTATTTGAAACTGCAAATGCTGCAATTTTGAAGCTGACAAAAGAGCTCACATGGATGGAAGAAGTTCTGGCTGCTGAATCCTCTTTAAGAACTGGCCCTCCATCTACATATGCTGATAAAGTGTTTGAAAATGACATGAACATTGCTATCAGATTGACTGAAAGAGCGTACAAAGATTGTTTGTTTAGGGAGGCACTTAAAAATGGGTTTTACGACTTACAAGCTGCTCGGGATGAGTATAGACTCTCTTGTGGAACTGGAGGCATGAACCATGACTTGATACTGACATTTATGGATGTGCAAACACGCCTCATTGAACCAATCTGTCCCCAGTTTGCAGAATATGTTTGGAGGAAACTTTTGAAGAAGGAAGGTTGTGTAGTAACAGCAGGCTGGCCACCATCAAATGAGCCAGATTTGGTGCTCAAGAGTGCAAACAAATATTTGCAAGATTCTATTGTGTTAATGAGAAAGCTTCTACAAAAACAACTCTTAGGTTCCAAGAAGGCTGCTAAGAAAGGTGCTCAAGTAACAACTGTGCCAGAGGGGAATTTAAAAGGCCTAGTATATGTGAATGAGCAATTTGATGGATGGAGAGCTCACTGCCTGAGGATTCTGCAAAGTAGATTTGACCAGCAAACCTGTCGTTTTGACCCGGATGCAGTGATACTTGCAGAACTAAAGGAGATATTGCAGCAGGAGGGACATGCAGAAAACTTCAAACAAATTCAGAAGGTTTGCATGCCTTTCCTTAAATTCAAGAAGGACGAGGCAATAGCTATTGGCACTCAGGCTCTAAATTTGAGGTTGCCTTTTGGAGAGATCGAAGTCCTTCAGAGTAACACGGACTTGATCAGGCGGCAACTTGGACTTGAAGAGGTTGAAATATATTCTGCAAGTAACCCTGATGATGTTTTAAAAGCTGGTCCACTTGCTTCACTGCTTCAGCAGAATCCTCCATCTCCTGGCAGCCCAACCGCCATCTTTGTGACCAGGTAAAAGCTAGTTATTTCATTACAATTGTTTCCTAATAGAAGCAGCATGGATACTCTTTTGTTTGTGGTCAACTAAACCGAACGAATTCTTCAATGCTCCAGCACAAGTGTCTGCCCTCCAGCCTAAAAGTGTTGTTTAAAGGAAAAGCGTGGGACAAGTTTCAACTACTAGTCAAGAAGTTTGCAGGATTTTTTGGTATTTTATACAAGTTAGACTTGATAGTTATCTTTTTTACTTCTTTGCTGAGTTTTTCCCTTTTATTCCTGGTATTGTGTAGTAAAGATCATCTGTTCTTTCTTATCGATACAACAATATCCTTGTTTCAAGTTTGCTTATTTGTTCTGCTATTTTCTCCTGATCAGCTTTCTAGATTTCTTTTACTAGTGGCGCTTTACTGGGCTGAAACAAAGTTAATGGTCTTTTATACAAGCACTTGGTTTTACTTTTACGTAATAAGAAAGTCTAGTTTCTTGCTATAGCTTTATTGTCTAGGCTCTTCAATACTGTTTGTGAACAAGTAGGAGAACAACAAGGACGATAAAGAGTTCCATTATTCAGAGAAACAGAGGAGATCTAGGTTACATGTGTTTACTATGGACAAAAGGGTCTATTTGATTCTGATTCTGATCCATCTCTATAGCTAGGGATAACAAAATGCCTTAGTCTCCCTTCCTGTTTCGTCATGTACCCTTCACACAAGAAAGTCTTAGAGAACTTGTTTTCTATTTCCCTGTTCACATCATGCACAAACACATCAGTCTCTCCTCCCTGTTTCCTGTTCCTCGCCATCATTCCCGCGGTGTAAATTGCTGTCATTCTCCCAGGAGCCTCATCGTAGTAGCCAGTCGGTGCATCAACCATGATTAGATCCCAACTAGTCTCATAGATTTCTGCAGGCAAACCCTTGAGTGCTAGTTGACACATTGAGTACCTTGGATCTCCAATGGCTGTGCATTCAGGTCCTTTCCCAACTTCTATGAGATTATCCGCTTGATTGACTTTACTGTCATATGTCACATGATACGATTCCAGCATCGGAAACCGTCTCTTGATCTGTTTAATCCATGCTTCATCTTCTTCAAGAAATACAGTCCGGCCTCCATAGTTGAGAGAGCTCCACATGAGGCTGTCGTGGCCTAGACCAAACACCAAGAAATTGCAGGGTGACTTTTTGCCGAGTACTGTACTGCTAACCGCTATCTCTTTGAGCGTTTGTTGTGGTGTGATAACCGAAGTCGAGTAATGGATCAGGGCTTGTGCGAGGGAACGTGGTAGCTTATTGCAAGCACCAGAGCAACGCGCTGTTCTTGTCTCTTCTGGAGTCTGCTGTTCATGTGAAGATGTCAGAGTTGCTCTCAAGATGAAGATGAGAATTAAGGTGGCAAGAAGAAAAACAAGGAGAAGCTTCAGCTTGTGGCTTTGATTTGCTTTAGGCCTCATTGTCTGATTCGAAATTAAAGAACTTGGATTCTGCAGAAGTTACGACCTGTTCCTAAATAATTATATAATAAAATGCTGAGATAAGAGAGGAAGTTGGGTTTATGCTTAGACATGAAGCGAAAGAAAGTATAAGGGTATTTGAAGAAGACATAGCAGCTAATTTCAGGTTCAGCAAGAAGCAAGAGAGTGAAGCCTTCTATTTAAGTTTCTTGGTTGTTGGATCGATATTTGTCTCTGTTAGACCGCTGAGTGCAATTGAAATACCAAAATAACAATAGTGATTGATTCTACTAGGACTAATAATTTTATATCATACAAGAATGAATAATAAACAAATTACACAATATCATACAAGACCCCACCAGAGATCAGTTGACTCTACATTGCAAAACCTCAAACACTTTCTTTCTCCTTTACCTGATATCCCAAAAGTTTCTTCCTTTCTTATCCTTTTCTGATGTATCTCATCTGCCATTTGCAGCAAGAGACGCTTGAGTCTGTCTGTTATCGCCTCTATTTGTCTTCTTATCCACCCGAGCTTTGCGAACTGCTAACTGAATCTGCCTTTCATGTTCTTTCAACATTTCATCCAAGTTTCCTCCTGCAGAAACCAAAGGCCCTGAGCAGTGCATTCTCTCTTTCTTTTCACCGTAAACCTTAAGATAACCAAAAAAACTGTGATTAGCCCACAAAGAGTTCCACTACAAAGAGAAGCACAATTACACACAGTTCAGATGTTCTTTTTACCGTTATAGATTCTTTGTGTTTTGTAGAATCTTTGGGTTTAACCACCAAACGTTGGGACCAATCACCTCCGTTTTGCCTTCTGTTATTATTGTTATAACTATCTTCAAACCACCGTGGATTCGCTATAGCGAAATGTGATCCATCTCTAGCAGCTACCGAGTTTGAGAATCTTGACAATTGTGCTGTTCCGCGTTGGACAAAAGACCGTTGTGTACTCAGTTCTTTTCTAGGAGACCGACTCGAGCCCCTCATAACATTCTCTCCATTTCTATTCACTGAGGACACACCATAACGAGTGTGACTGTCTTGTGCAGTTCCACTCTCCAGTGGTTCTATCCGGACGCTAGCTGCATCTTCACCAGGATTGAACTTTTCACTATTGCTTATCTGGTTATTCTGCCCTTGACGTTTCTTTACAAAAACAAGAAAATAGACAGATATGTAAGATCACATGAAAATAACCATATATATCTGTATGTGTATTATGCTAGAACCAGACGTACTTGTATTGATGTCAGAGACTCAGCATTGGAGTCTGGAGCTGGCACAGCTTTAGATTCTCTAGATACTTGTTTTGAATCATTCTGTTTACTGCTAGTGTCTTTCTTTCTGGTGGATGAGAGGAAATTGGGACGTGTCAGTGTTCATTCAGGCATATAAGAGCTCTTTGTTAATGTTAACAATTAACACTATGATACTAGTTGAATCTGGATCTTACCGTTTTGCCTCCTCCTCTCGAATCTTCACATCAATCTCCTTTCTCGGTTGGTACTTTGGTAAACTTGATGGGTCACTTGCGAAAGGCATTGTAGTAAAAAACTAAAGAAAAAGAAAAAGAACAAAAGTGTGAGACAAGAAGAGTATAGACTTCTCATTCCGATAAATAAAGCAGAGTCGAAGCACACATTTCTAATCTACAATGTCACAGCTTTGCATTTAAATGCAAAATTTAGTGGCTGGAACTTACCATTTCATATATGTTAATAAAGAAATGCCCAAAAGTTGAATGTTGTGGCAGTGGAAGATAAAACTGTCATAGCTTTTACCTCGCTTTGAAGGGCAGAAGCTGTGGTTCCACGAGCATCTGGTTCTACAGCTAAAAGAACCTCAACTAGGGCCAAAGCTGAAGATGGAAGACTCTTAAATGTTTCGGCTACACAGCGCTTGTAAGGTTGTTGAGGTTTAAAGATGGTGGCATGTGGCAATTTTGATATTTTCCAATACTCTTCAGAAGGTGATCCACATAGTTTGAAGATCTTGTGTAGTTGTTCTACCTCGGTTCTACCGGGCATGATAGGCTTCCCAGTAAAGAGTTCAGCTAGTATGCATCCTGTGCTCCACAGATCCACAGTAACTCCATAGTCTGTTGAACCAAGTAATAGTTCAGGTGGACGATACCACAAAGTTACAACGCGGCTAGTGAGAGGCTGCTTCTGGGGGCCTTGGTAAAAATTGGAAAGACCGAAATCTCCAATTTTAAGATTGTTGTTATGGTCAAGCAGTAGATTAGAGCCCTTGATGTCACGATGCAAGACACCTCGACTATGGCAATGCTCTAGACCATGAAGCAGCTGTTTCATATAGCACTTAATCTGCAGAAGCACATTGCATTAGATGAAAATCAAACCACATAATAGTATGCATATATTGTGGAGAAATAGTAATACCTGTGCCTCAGAAAAGTTAACCCCAGGGGTTGAAGCTAGGCCAGCAAGATCATGCTCCATATATTCAAATATAAGATACATACTTCCTGATACTCTTGAAGTGATCAAACCCTCAAGCTTCATAACATTAGGATGGTCAAGCCTTCGAAGGATAATTATTTCTCTAGCCATGAACCGAACACTATCGGGATCCATATTAGCAAACCGCACTTTCTTCAGTGCAACTAATTGGTTCGTCTCTAGGTCCCGGGCTTTGTACACACTGCTATACGTCCCTTGTCCAATCTAACAGTAACCATCCAAAAATGTCCAACTTAGACAAGACAATCAATCAAAAATCATATCAAAGTTATAAGAAACAAAAGGCCTTACCTTTTCCAACTTCTCGAAAGAATCAGCCTTTCGTGGAATCCATCCATTGATAGCTTCTCCAGCAACAGAAGCCAGCCATGAAGGCCAACCAGCCATAACCTGAGCTCCTCTTTCTCCATTACTAACACTGCTTATTCTAGTCATCTTAGGTTGTTGCAATGTCCCTATGTTGTTGGGACCAAGCTCAATACCGGTTGGCCGTCTCTGAAACACCAATCTAGAAGACTTTCTCTCGAGAGTCACCTTCTTCTCGGGCTCCTCATTGTTCTTGGCATCAATGGGTATCAACAACGTCAAGGAGGCTTCTTTATTGTCGTTGCTTGTTTCTTCGGATCCTACATTGTTGTCTTTGCTGGAAGAAGCAGATTTTGATTTTTTCTTCTTCTTGGGGGTTTTCTTAGGCTTGCTTCTACTCTCCTTGACATTGACATTGTTGATAATGGTATCGTTGTTGTCGACGTTATCATTATTAAGTCGTGTTCCTTTGGTGCAATTGCAGCCCATAATTCTCCACGGTTTCGTGATTCCGTCAATACTCCACAGTTTCCTGACCGGAATCAGGAAACTGTATGTTTTGATTAGCCTCCTAATCTTGTCTTCTTCTTCTTCTCCACTGAAAATGAAATCTCCCCCCACACACACCACCAAACAGAGAACAAAGATTTGAGCTTTTTGTGCTTTTGATCTTTAGACCACCAACAATCACCACAGGGAACAAAGATTTGAGCTTTTGATCTTTAGACCAATGTCAAACTTAGATTTATGATTCTGTCTTCTACCTAAGAAAACCGTACTAAAATCAATTTCTGGAACTTGTTGGAATAAACGCTGATCCTAAAATCTTATGTAAGGAGAATCTAGAAGAAGGGAAAACTAAAAGAGAGGAGCTTTTTTTTGTAGATATATAACGAAACTGGAAAATAAATTTGAGGTCAGCAAGACTGATCTCGAAATGTGGAGTAATAAATGTTGATACGTATTCTGGGTCTCAATTTTTTTTTTTTTTTTTTTTGTTGTTGAAGAAAACGAATTGAAATCAAAGGAAGACTTTGGTCAGTAGAGATAGAGAGATATGGTGAAAATTAATGGAGAAATGATAGATTCCTGAAATTGCGAAGAGCCTATCAAGAAATGAGAGATTTAGGGAAATGAGGTTTCTTAGTCTTTTGTCTATTTTAGGAAATTCAATACAGCAAACAGAAATAACGAAAATAAGCAGAAGAACAAGAAGCTGGTTTGCTGGCAAAAAAAAAAAAAAAAAAGAACAAGAAGCTGGTTTCTATCTGTCTTTAGAGCAAGTGTTGAACATAACAGAGATCTCCCATTAATGGAGACTTAAGGCTTGACTCTTCTCTTCTCTTCTGAGTTCAGTGTTGAAAATTAGGCTCTGTTGCTCAGACGCTACGTGGCGTCGAGGTGGAGTTCCGTGGGCCCCAAGTCAAACATATCTTAAATTAGGCTCATTCATTATCAAATCAATTTCACATATTTTTAATTTGGAAGACACCGTTGACCAAAGTGAAAAAAAAAATTGGAAGACACAAAAATGATTTATTAATAAACCATCTTTGCAAAATCTGGATTGCAAACTCCTGTTATATAAATCATAATAATATTCTTAGTTTTGAGTCGCTACAAAACATAGAGAGTTCCAAAACACAAGCAGAATGGCAAAAAGTAGAACTAATAGCCTCCTTTGAGATCGTTGACGACATCGTAAGGGATTGGAGTGACAGTCTCCAAGGTCATTCCTTCAACCATGAATCCTGGTTTGGGTCCTTTAGGCTGTCTCTTGGTGCTGATGGTCTCACCTTTGGCTTTGGCTGCAGCCTTGAGCTCATCGTTCTTCTTCTTCCTCAGCTTGAACTCCTCCGCACATCTTGATTGCTGGACATGCTCCACACGCACATGAATCCTCTTCCTTATGATCCTGTTGCCAATCTGTCATACGTCATATGTCAGTAAATGATACCGAATATAGGTAATAGTAAAAAGGTTTGTGTTATTGCAATAGGATAATCCACATTACAAAATCACATCTCGAGAGACTTCTAGAAACAAGATTAGTATACATATTTTTGTGGTCGATTAGAAGCCAGAATACAGCAATTTTCAATAGTCATGAAACCAAACAAACTAGCAGTACAATGAACAGGAGTCGAAGTATTGCATCAATGGAGATGTAAACTAGAAACTGCCAAGGCTAAAGACTATACTAAACCTAAGCAATCAAACTTCGAATCTGAAACTGGATCAAGCAAAAAAACTAAAAATCTGAGTTCAAATTTAGCATGGGATGAGATTTACATTCTACAAACCAATTCTCAATCACACATTTCAAATAAGAAGGTCAAATCCTAATTCAATGACACAGAAGTTAAAGGGATGTGAGAGTTCATCATTCAGACCTGTTTGTTGACTTCAACACCGACGGCGCGTTTGGTGACGTTCCAGACACGACCAGTACGACCATGGTAGAACTTGTGAGGCATACCCTTGTGGATCGCACCATTTACCTTCACATCGACGTAATCGCCGACCTTGAAGGTCCTCAGGTAAGTCGATAGTGGAATGTAACCCTTCTTCCTGAATGGCCTCGCGAACAGATCCCTCGTTCTCGCCCGAACTCCATGACCCGCTGGCATTTTTCCTTCGCTTAGATGGATGCGAAATGTGTGATTAGGGTTTATTTATATCTCTGTGAAATTAGGGTTTGCTATTAACGGGCCTGTTGGGTCAGAAATTTGGGCTTTTCTTGTACATACCCATTTGACAAAGGTTTTTCTTGTATTGCTAACCCTTATACTGTAAAACTTATGTGCTAAAGCCCCAAACTAACATAAAGTTTCAGTTACAACCCAATATCGATGATTCTAGAAAATCTATTTCGTTTGGAGATAAACAAGTTAATTATTTTTTATTTCATAATCAGAAATAATGAATTCTTATCAGAGAAAAGCTACTACAGAAACAATCCTTGAACAAAATTTTACAGCGTCAGTAAAAAGGAGGCGTGTAAACAAACAAGAAGGAAAGGAGATGAATTGAATATTATTCTTTAAGAAGAAACTCTCTTTAAAGGAACTGAATATCAGTGAATCTCTATATAAGCTTCTTCTTCTCAAAGTACTGCTTCAAGTAGAGTACCTGTAAACCAGAGACAGCAATGCAAACACCTAGCGACATTATACTATACCAAGCCACCCGCGAGTTCGTTTTCTCACTCATTGTCCTCATGTCTGCTTCTCTGCAAATACCATTTTGAGAATGAGACTCAGCTAAATAGCAGTTAATGCAGCTGAAGATGACTTTACCTGTTTCTTAGGTAGAGTAGATTTTCATGGATGGCTTCCACTGCGCCTTCTAGTTTCCTGATCTCCAGCTCAACACCCTACGTTAACAAGCTAATCTCTTTAGAGATTCAACATAGGCTCTGAACTGTAAAATCTCTAGAAATCTAACCTCGATCTTCTCTTTCTTAGCAACAGAGGCCCAATCCTTAGCAGCGATTCCAGTTTTCCAGTCAATGTTGATGCTAACATTTTTGTTTCCGTGACTCTTTGCATCAGCCCAAAAGCATGCCAAGTAGTTACCGGATTCTTGGGTTGTAAATGCAAATTGGCCATGCGTTACGTTTTCCATGTTGTGCAGATTGTTGCCATACGGGGACGTCACCTGCACCATAATATATTATTCTCAAAGCTCAGAGCCAAGAAGAAGAAGAAGGAACAGAGAATACTATCCAGGACCAGAGTATTCCCGAGTTTCCATAAGATATCTGTTCAAGTTCGACTTCAAGGACTGCTCTCAATCCAAGGACACTATCTAAACAATCCATCAAACTATGTGGAACTAGCAAGTAGCAATGATTACCAAATACCAAGTTGATAATAAACTTGAAGTATTAATTATCATTATTCCCAAACAAACATCAAAACACACACACTTCATTAAAAGACCACATAAATTTCAATTTTTTGTCCCAATCTCACAGCTAATTACTGTATTACGGCAAAAGAGTATTCATAAGGATTAAGCTACAAATCCGAAATTCATCATAACAATCAAAGAAAAACATGCATGAGCATAATTTTCCAAATAAGGAAACTTGGATCAAGCATTAATACATGCCTTCCTAATTATGGATCGAGTAACAAAATGCAGATTCAAAACACTGATCAGGTAAGGAAGAGAAGCGAGATGATCGGAACAGAAAATCGGAGAAACTTACCTTGACGGAGATAGTGGGCATGACTTCGTGATCCTCGGAGATGATGAGGTAATCAGCCAAAACGACGACATTGCTCTGGATTTCTTCAGATACACACTTTGTTCCGGTGGGAGGCACATCTAGCCACACCGCCTCACCGACCGGAACCAGAAACAACAGAAGGAACGCCGTCGGGAATACACGGCGAATCTTAGCAGTCATCTTCATCGACGAGATTTCAAATTTTCCGATTGTATTCGTCGATCGTTGTGTTGAAGTGGCCAGATCTTTCCTCTTAAGTGTTTTTTTTTTTTGTTTGTTCATCTTAATTCTTTTTTTTCTTGGGGAAGCTTTGATTGGGCTTTGATGAGACTAACCCATGGGCTTGAGAATTGAGATGAGGTGATTGCATTAGTAACAACACAATAAAGATCTATATTTTAAAAGTTATATTAATGTGTAACAACACAATAAAGATCTATGTATACTAAAACAACACATTTATATAACTTTGTATTTGCAACAAGTTGCCCATCTCTAATCTCGTTTCCATTTGTTTTTTTTTTTTTTAATGCTTTTCTGAATATACGTGCAATTTGGACTCATAAAGGCAAGATTTGGCACAGTCTTTGAGACTTTTTGTAGATTTCTGCAGTTCCTCCTGTTTTAAAAAGACAATTTGTATGGCCAGGCTAACTAAGATTGTTCTCTGCTTAGATACAATACAAGTCGTCATGTCATTGGTTGGTTATGTTTTAATAATTTCTATAACTTATCCTTCTACGGAAGTGGTAAGCCTATCGCAAAGTCAGTTCAAAATCAAGCATTAGAAACTTATGAATTTCAAGTCGTATTTTAACATAACCGGGATTATCCTATAATGTAACTAGTTTTATATCTTTGAAATTGGGTTTAAATGGCCAAAAAAAAAAAAGGTTTAAATAAAGAATTTGGCCCTTATGGTCGTATAACGATCAAAGCTATTCTCAAGGAGAGAAAAAGGGCAAAACAAGGGAGAACATAATTAATTATTTTTACTTTCATTTCAAAAGTATGCAAAAACTCTCAAGCCGTCCATAGATGCTAAAACTTCTTTTTCATCTTCTTCTTCGTCTTCTTCATTCACATTATCATATAAAAAAACTGTTGAAGTACTTCCAGGTATGCCAATAGTCGTAGATGTCTTAGATCGTCTCTAATATGCAATATTAATGTGAATTGTTATTTGTTTTTTTCCATAGTAGTGCAAAATGATCGTGATGTCTATATGCTCATATGAGTTTTTCACAACATAAATATGGATTTCTAATTATGGATTCCACCTAAATAATTTGACAAGAAAAGCTAAACAAGAGTTTACGTAAACTAATCGTTTTTTTCTTTTTTAAAACTTAGTTACGTGTTGTTGTTTGTCATGTGGGTAATAAAGTAACTTGAATCCGTATATATGCCGCGTCAAATTCAACTCCGATGACAAGGATAGGTCTCATCTCAACAAGGGTTGTTGGATCATTTTAACTGTTCCTTTTGTCAGGATGGTTGTTGGATAAAATAAATGAACTTTATCAAGATAATCAAATTTAGATTGTGGATTTGAGTTAACAAAAAGTTCATTGAGATTTTCGTAAAAGCCATCCTTCATGCCAAGTCAACAATGGCTATTGGCTAGTCCTAGTACCAATCTTTTTACTTTTTATTATCTCCCAAATTCCATAGATAAAAGCAAATGGCTTCGTGCTTCTCCTCTTTTTTTCTTTTCTTCAATTTTCAAAATCGTGTAATCTTATGATATTAATAACACAAGAATCTGAGATTCATAATTAAACGCGTTAAATTATTCCATCTCTTTTTTTCAGATTCTCATAGCTTTTTAATCCTTGATCTGTGAACCTAACTTTTTTTCAAATTCGCTTTCACGAAATCGTGAGCTAAGATCTTCAGATTCGTGGGTCCGTAATGTGGTCAATGGGTTTAATAAGGCGTACGGCAATGTCCAGCGCCATTAGAGCTTCTTCGCAAAGGACATGGCTTGGTAATGGTGGATTAAGAAGCTGCGTCACCGTCAAAACACCGTCGTCATCGGAGGAGGAAGAGAAGAAGAAAGAGATAACTATAGCGGAAGCGAAGAAGCTAATGAGGCTTGTGAATGTTGAAGACATGAAGAAGAAGCTTGTTGGTATAGCTGATAGAGATGTCGTCCCTTACACTACACTTTTAGAAGCTTCTCAAGGAATGGGTATCGCTAGATCTCCTGATGAAGCTCATATCTTTGCTCGTGTTCTTGACGATGCCGGCGTTGTCTTGATCTTTCGAGATAAAGTCTTTCTTCACCCAGACAAGGTCTAAAATTGCAATAAAAACAAAACTTTATTCTGTTTTGTCGGGATCCCCTGTTTTGTCTCGATTTCTCTAAAAATCTGGACTTTTTTTAATTCAGGTGGTGGATCTGATTAGAAGAGCGATGCCTTTGGAACAGAATCCAGAGGAAGATCAAATCAAGGAAGAATTCAACAAACTTAGAATCATGAAAGAAGAGATTGATGTTTTAGCGCATAGACAAGTGAGGAAGATTCTTTGGTGCGGTTTAGCTACTTCGATGGTTCAAATTGGGCTCTTTTTTAGACTAACTTTCTGGGAATTCTCATGGGATGTGATGGAACCAATCACTTTCTTCGCTACAGCGACTGGAATCATTGTGGGTTATGCTTATTTCTTGATGACTTCGAGAGATCCGACATATCAGGATTTCATGAAGAGGCTGTTCTTGTCGAGACAGAGGAAGTTGTTGAAAAGTCATAAGTTTGATTGTGAGAGGTTTAAGGAATTGGAGAGGATTTGTAAAATGACGTCGTCTTGTCATGCAGCTGCGTCTATAAGGAATCGTGTTGGATTAGAACTTGATCTCGAGGATGCTTTGCAGAGTCGCAGAGACTGATTATTATTTATGAAAACATTCATTTTTCTTGTCCTCTGGTGGTTCATCAAACTTAAGAAGAAGATGATCAGTCCTTGCAAAAGTGACAAAGATTGTTTTCGATCATCTTCTTCTGCTTCTTATACTGTTATACATAAGTAACCATTGACATTGTTTATTACAATGAAGATAACAGATTTTAACTGTTCTTTTTAATACGGAAGTTTCGGTGTAAAGAGCCATTTTCTTTATTTTGGTATAGATATTGGAGTCGTTTCAATTGTTTCACACAAATATACATTAAGACTAGAAAAAAACACATGGTACTGAACACTTGTTTTAAGAGTTCAAATTCTAAAGAGTGAAAAATAAAAAAGCTCACAAAATGTGTCGTAAAGTTCCAATCAATAAAATCCCTAATGATTGTAGCGTTCTTGGCCATTAAGAAGTCTCCTCAGCTCATATTTATTTTGTTCCTCAAAGTGTAGTTATTCCAGAAATGAGATTAGTAAGACTTTGCCAATTGAGATACGCGCAACATGGGCCATGACTATGTCTAATCGATCATGATGTGTTGCTAGGACAGCATTTGCATTATGGAGGCACATTTTTGGTCCAACATAGCTGTGCCACAATATCTTTGTGAAATCGCGCTGTCTAGATGAGACGTTGTTGATTCGTGTTCTTCGGATATGATCATCTTAGACAATCTTGAATTAAAATTTGCCAAGTCTACTACAAACTTAGTGAAAGATTTTAACTTAAAAGAGGATAAGAAGCAATACCTAAGAAAACATGGTAAGATTGGCGATAAGAAAGAATCGAAGTTCGAAAATGATGTTAGACGTTTTGGATTTGGATTGACGAAAATAAAATCCAATCGCTTATCAAGTTTTTTAAATGACCATAACGATTTTTTCTTCTAAAAATTTAATTTGAATTATTAGCATATATTAGTCTTAGAAATTTAATCAATTTAGTTTATGATAAAACAAATACAAAAATGGAAAGTCCCTACTAATGAAGTTAATCCCAGAAGCAGATTACAAAACGGAAAAAGCCGAGAAAACGTGAAGCCCATAAGACTATCATTGTCGTCTTCCTCAAAACCCAACTTTCCACTTCTAGTTATTGCCTTCATTAAACAACTCCCACCATCTTTCTCTCTCTCTCTTTCTTTCTTGTCTTTTTTTTTTTAATTATTACTAATAATCTCTACTTTTCTTCTTATCCTTTGGACGATTCTCTTCAATCGGATTAATAAAGAATCAACTTCAATTTGTTCTTCCACTTTACTTCTCTTTTCCTCATTACACAGTGTTAGTCACATCGGTGAAAAATACCAGTTTGATCATGAATTAAAACTCCAAAAAAAAAAAAGACTCTTTTTTAGGAATCCCATGAAAGGTGCCAAGATTTATTATTATTTCATATATCTTCCGCCACTGTTCTGTTTTAGCGAGGAAAAATGTTACCGGCGAAGCCGACCCTGTTCTTGATTGGTGTGTGAAGTTTGTCTTTTATCCAAATTAAGCTTTTTTATTTTTGCTTTATTCCATTATAAAATATACAAATCGCCCATACTCCGAGACATGGGCATGCGTATTCGAGGTGGTCCCATTCATCGTCGTCGTCGTCTGTGTTAGGGAGCACAAATAATAGAGAGGCGTAGCAGAAGAGAGAAGGCGGTGATCGAGGTCAAGATTTAGAAAACCTCTGAAGAGTGTGACTAGACACGAGATCTGATCATGGCTTCTTGAAACTTCTTCTTCTTCTTTCTTCTTCTCTTTAAAGGTAGCTACTTTCCTTTTCCCAAAGTTTCCTCCTTTCTGTTTTTTTTTTATCTATATATATTGAAGCTCGCTTCGATTGTTTTCTGCTTAGAGCTTACCAGCTACTGGTCTCACTCTTCTTATTGAGTAAGAGCTCTTTTCGGGGTTTGCGTTTTGAGATTTATCCGTACTTTGAAGTTGATTATTTAAAGATATTCTCTCTTGTTGTTGTCATAGACAGGTCTCTTTGATCTGGCTTGATGTGTGTGTTTTTTAACTCAACTTTTGTAGTCTGTGATCATTTATGAGAAGAAGCATCCAATTAATTTCATCCTTTTATCGCTCTTCACTCTTACGATTGCTTTTGCTGTTTGGACTTTATTTCTCCTTTTGAAAGGTATAGCTAGCTATAAAGACTCTTTAAGAGTTTATATTAGTCTACTTTATGTATGTAGCTGTGTTTGAATCTTGAGAGGCAGATTAGCTCAGATCCTCGTTGTGTTAGTTTTGTGTAGTGGATTTTCCCTGTTAATTGTCAAGATCTTGTTGATTTTGGATTGTAGGATGACTTAGAGAGGAAGTGTTCATGGAATCTTATTGGTTCAGTTGCTTTGAAAATGATTATTCATTGAACCTTGGAATATGACAGGATGATTCCTGCATCTGTTGCGACCTGTTTCTGGGTTTAGCTATGTATTCTCGACCGAGTTAGTCAAGTTCATGCCTCTTTTTGCTGTCAAAGGAACTTAAGCTGTAGCAGCGATTTTGTGTTTTGATTGGTTCTTAGTGTTTCAAGTTTATGCATTCGTTTGTATGACTGGTGATGAATGTTTGTGTTCATATGATTACGGCATGAATGTTTTATTCCTTCTTTATCAGAGTTTTGCTCTTAAATCTTTTTTTCTGGTCTCTGTGTCAGGAAAAAAATGTCAGGGTCTAGGCCGACTCAGTCCTCTGAGGGCTCGAGGCGATCAAGGCACAGCGCTAGGATCATTGCGCAGACCACTGTAGATGCGAAGCTCCATGCTGATTTTGAGGAGTCAGGCAGCTCCTTTGACTACTCAACCTCAGTGCGTGTCACTGGCCCGGTCGTGGAGAACCAGCCACCGAGGTCTGACAAGGTTACCACGACTTATCTTCATCACATACAGAAGGGAAAGCTGATTCAGCCCTTCGGTTGTTTGCTTGCCTTGGATGAGAAGACCTTCAAAGTCATTGCATACAGCGAGAATGCATCTGAGCTGTTGACAATGGCCAGTCATGCAGTTCCTAGTGTTGGCGAACACCCTGTTCTAGGCATTGGGACAGATATAAGGAGTCTTTTCACTGCTCCTAGTGCCTCTGCATTGCAGAAAGCCCTTGGATTTGGAGATGTCTCTCTTTTGAATCCCATTCTTGTGCACTGCAAGACTTCTGCAAAGCCCTTTTATGCGATTATCCACAGGGTTACAGGGAGCATCATCGTTGACTTTGAACCGGTGAAGCCTTATGAAGTCCCCATGACAGCTGCTGGTGCCTTACAATCATACAAGCTCGCTGCCAAAGCAATCACTAGGTTGCAATCTTTACCCAGCGGAAGCATGGAAAGGCTTTGCGATACAATGGTTCAAGAGGTTTTTGAACTCACGGGGTATGACAGGGTGATGGCTTATAAGTTTCATGAAGATGATCACGGTGAGGTTGTCTCCGAGGTTACAAAACCTGGGCTGGAGCCTTATCTTGGGTTGCATTATCCAGCCACCGACATACCTCAAGCAGCCCGTTTTCTGTTTATGAAGAACAAGGTCCGGATGATAGTTGATTGCAATGCAAAACATGCTAGGGTGCTTCAAGATGAAAAGCTTTCCTTTGACCTTACCTTGTGCGGCTCCACCCTTAGAGCACCGCACAGCTGCCATTTGCAGTACATGGCCAACATGGATTCTATTGCATCTCTGGTTATGGCGGTTGTAGTTAACGAGGAAGATGGAGAAGGGGATGCTCCTGATGCTTCTACACAGCCTCAAAAGAGAAAGAGACTATGGGGTTTAGTGGTTTGTCACAATACGACTCCGAGATTTGTTCCGTTTCCTCTCAGGTATGCCTGTGAGTTTCTGGCTCAAGTGTTTGCGATACACGTCAATAAGGAGGTGGAACTGGAGAACCAGATGTTGGAGAAGAACATTTTGCGTACGCAGACACTCTTGTGCGATATGCTGATGCGTGATGCTCCACTTGGGATTGTGTCGCAAAGCCCTAACATAATGGACCTTGTGAAATGTGATGGAGCAGCTCTCTTCTACAAAGACAAGATATGGAAACTGGGAACAACTCCAAGTGAGTTCCATCTGCAGGAGATAGCTTCATGGCTGTGTGAATACCACATGGATTCAACGGGTTTGAGCACTGATAGTTTGCATGACGCTGGGTTTCCTAAGGCTCTATCTCTCGGGGATTCAGTATGTGGAATGGCGGCTGTGAGGATCTCATCCAAAGATATGATTTTCTGGTTCCGTTCTCATACCGCTGGTGAAGTAAGATGGGGAGGTGCAAAGCATGATCCAGATGATAGGGATGATGCAAGGAGAATGCACCCGAGGTCATCGTTCAAGGCTTTCCTTGAAGTAGTTAAGACAAGGAGTTTACCTTGGAAGGACTATGAGATGGATGCCATACACTCTTTGCAACTTATTCTGAGGAATGCTTTCAAGGATAGTGAAACTACTGATGTGAATACAAATGTCATTCACTCAAAGCTAAATGATCTCAAAATTGATGGTATACAAGAACTAGAAGCTGTGACCAGTGAGATGGTTCGTTTAATTGAAACTGCTACGGTGCCAATATTGGCGGTTGATTCTGATGGACTGGTTAATGGTTGGAACACGAAAATTGCTGAGCTGACTGGTCTTTCGGTTGATGAAGCGATCGGGAAGCATCTCCTCACACTTGTTGAAGATTCATCAGTGGAAATTGTCAAAAGGATGCTAGAGAATGCATTAGAAGGTAACTCTCTTCCTAAGTTATGCTGAGTTTTCTTAGAATCGTCCAACTAGATTGCACTATTCAAGTTCCAATTGAGTATCGTGGTTGAGGAAACTTGGTGCAATGTGTTTTTTTTATTATTAATGATGGATCATGTATTTTGTTTTCCATTTTTCTTTCTAAAACGCTGAAGCCGAGTCTATAAACTTCAGTTGCTTATCTATGCAGGAACCGAGGAGCAGAATGTCCAATTTGAGATCAAAACACATCTGTCCAGGGCTGATGCTGGGCCAATAAGTTTAGTTGTAAATGCATGCGCAAGTAGAGATCTCCATGAAAACGTGGTTGGGGTGTGTTTTGTAGCCCATGATCTTACTGGCCAGAAGACTGTGATGGACAAGTTTACTCGGATTGAAGGTGATTACAAGGCGATCATCCAAAATCCAAACCCGCTGATCCCACCAATATTTGGCACCGATGAGTTCGGTTGGTGCACAGAGTGGAATCCAGCTATGTCAAAGTTAACCGGTTTGAAGCGAGAGGAAGTGATCGACAAAATGCTCTTAGGAGAAGTATTTGGGACGCAGAAGTCATGTTGTCGTCTAAAGAATCAAGAAGCCTTTGTAAACCTTGGAATTGTGCTGAACAATGCTGTTACTAGTCAAGATCCAGAGAAAGTGTCGTTTGCTTTCTTTACCAGAGGTGGCAAGTATGTGGAGTGTCTGTTGTGTGTAAGTAAGAAACTGGACAGGGAAGGTGTAGTGACTGGTGTCTTCTGTTTCCTGCAACTTGCCAGCCATGAACTGCAGCAAGCGCTCCATGTTCAGCGTCTAGCTGAGCGAACCGCAGTGAAGAGACTAAAGGCTCTAGCATACATAAAAAGACAGATCAGGAATCCGCTATCTGGGATCATGTTTACAAGGAAAATGATAGAGGGCACTGAACTAGGACCAGAGCAGAGACGGATTTTGCAAACTAGCGCGTTATGTCAGAAGCAACTAAGCAAGATCCTTGATGATTCTGATCTTGAAAGCATCATTGAAGGGTATTCTAGAACGAAAGTCCATTCAAAATATGGTTTATCTGTTTTCTTATGTTGGAATTTGACTCTGCAGATGCTTGGATCTGGAAATGAAAGAATTCAGCTTAAACGAAGTGTTGACTGCTTCCACAAGCCAAGTAATGATGAAGAGTAACGGGAAGAGTGTTCGGATAACAAATGAGACCGGAGAAGAAGTAATGTCTGACACTTTGTATGGAGACAGTATTAGGCTTCAACAAGTCTTGGCAGATTTCATGCTGATGTCTGTAAACTTTACACCATCCGGAGGTCAGCTAACTGTTACAGCTTCCCTGAGGAAGGAACAGCTCGGGCGTTCTGTGCATCTTGCTAATCTAGAGATCAGGTAAAATATTTTTAATCAGAATGCACAATATGATGTTAAAAACAGTGCATTGAGGATACTGGGATTATGAAAACAGGTTAACGCATACAGGAGCTGGGATACCTGAGTTTTTACTAAACCAAATGTTTGGGACTGAGGAAGATGTGTCAGAAGAAGGATTGAGCTTAATGGTTAGCCGAAAACTGGTGAAGCTGATGAATGGAGATGTTCAGTACTTGAGACAAGCTGGGAAATCGAGTTTCATTATCACTGCGGAACTCGCTGCAGCAAACAAGTAGTCCTCGAAAGAAAAGGGGTCATGGCTTGATATAAAATAGTCACTGGTTGTTCTTTGTTTGTGACGTTCCTTGGCGCTTTTGCTTTCGTTTTCAAATTTCAATAACGATGAAATATCCATCCATTTACATCTTCTGTTGAACTCTTTTCTGAAGCTGTAAATATGGATGCATATTTAATCTCCTCTTGAGTGTTTTGGTTTCATGATGTATCATTCAAATAACTGATGTATGAGGAATGAGCTAATTTACGGTCTATGGTTTGTCACAATGACAGAAACTCAAACAAATATTCTATCTAGTCTATGATAATCTCCTTCTTTTAGGGTATTCAGATTGTACTGACTGTTTCTTCTCTCTCTGGCTGAGCATAGCTTGATGATAGAGAGGATCTGTGCTGATTCGCCTCTGGTTAATGCAACAGGCCAGAGTTTAGAGGTAAGGTATGATTCTTGACTATGTTGCAAGAAGTCTTGGTTTCAAACAATTAGCTTTAAGCTAAACTCCATGAAGAAGCAAACATATTTCTAACTTAACAGAGATCTATTAGCTGGCCATATGAAGTACAATTAGTTTTCTGTAAGAAGAATCACATGGGGTATGTGAAGTAAAAAATAAGTAAGTTATCATGTTAATTAAGTAATCAGTTTTATTAGACCCATACGTTAGAGTCTCTCAAGTTGATTATTTTATCTGAAAAGTCAGATAATTAGCTTACCTGTTTTGAAAGCTTTTAGATTAGATCAACCTCGACTTGTTACCTGTTTCTAGTCAACTTTGAACAAAAAATAATTTGGATTATACAGAAGACAAATACATGAGACAATGGAGCTCAAATGCACACTCAAAGATCATCACTTATTGTTCCTTTTTATTACAGAATACAAATCGAAGGAGAAAAAAAACAGAACTGTAATGAATATAATAAAGAGATCATTTCTTGGGTTGGAACTTGGATTTGATGTGTTTAACAGTTCCTGAAGAGGTCTGAAAGGCTTGAGCCAAGATGTTGTCAGGAACAGGAGGAGTAGAACCAAACAAAGTAGCACCAAGAGATTGAGTTCCAGGAAGCTGACTATTGAAAGCTGCAATAACAGAAGCAGGAACATGACCATTGTTCTTCTGGAAATGGACAAGTCCTTTAGGGAAAGCAAAGACATCTCCTTTCTTGAGAGATTGAGAGATGAGCTTATTGGCCGTAGTGAGGAACCCAACGTCAAGTGTTCCTTCGAGGACAAAGACGATTTCAGTGGCACGAGGGTGGGTGTGAGGTGGGTTTAAGCCTCCTGGTGCGTAGTCGATACGAGAGAGAGAGACACCGAGTGTGTTGAGTCCTGGGATTGTCATAACGTTAGCTCCAGTGACCAAGGCACCGAATGTGTTGTTGGTAAGACCTGGATTAGCTAATCCTTGTGAGAAGAAATCAGCTGATGTGACTGTAGCTGCGTCTTTACAAGGGAAGCCATTGATCTTGATTCCTGCCAAAAAAAAAAAAAAACGAGAAAGAGATTAAAGATTGAAGCTTTTTTAGTAAAATGAAAGTAGAGATTTTTTGAAATTACCAGAGGGAAGATCAGCAACGCAGAGATCTTGAAGCATGTCCGGATCTGCGGAAGCGGAGATGAAGAAGAAGACGGTGGTGAGGAGGAGGAGGAGAGTTTGAGTTGGTGAAGCCATTGGGATTGTGGTAGTGGTGGTGGGACTCTTTAACAAGTAAGTTGTTGAGAGAGGAGAATTAATGAATTATGGTTTATAAAGGAGGAGAAGAGAGGATGACTTGTCTCGCTGAAGGAAATAAAAAGCAAGCAACATGCTGTTTCTCTCACACATGTCTAAGACCATTAGCAGTGGCAAATGTGTTTGTGTGAGTGTAAGTATTTTTTTAGTATTATAATTTAAAGCAAAAGAGAAAAGAGAAAGAGAAAGAAAGAGAGAGATAGAGAGAAAAAGTGTTACACCCGAGTGTAAACTTACATCCAGATGTGAAGAAAGAGACAATTTTTTCGTTTTTTTAATACCTACACCCCAAGACTCACACCCACCTGATTGTATGACTGTTGATGCTCTAAGTGAAATGTCAAAGGTCAACGAATACTAAAACGGATGGATCAGGGCTTGCCATTTGACAAAATATGTTTACACTAGTTTTGGTTTTACACGAATACTGATATTTTATTGATGGCTTTAGAAGAAAAAAATAATATAAAAATCAATTATTGTTACCTAAGAAAGTATGTACTTCAAGTAATAACTGTTGTCTTATTATCTGTATGCTAATTTACTTTTGATTTTGTTTGGCTTTTTTACTTGTTGGCTCCTACTTTGATCATCGTGAGAGAATCATACACGCTCGCTCGTTCGTGCCTCACCGTTTATCTGCAACGTCCGCGTTTCTGGGTTAATTCTTCTCACGCGAAATGTGGAGCGCGTGAAGCTACGCGTTGTCTTCAATGGGCTGGGCTAAGTATTTATCCGATAACTTTATTAGTTTGGGCTTTTAGTGCTAAAAGCCTCATCTAAGATGACGCGTCGTAATGCATTGAAGAGGGAACAACATATCGCTTGGATTCTTTATTGCTTCCTTCCTATACGGCATCGTTTTTGTTTCGCGGGCACAACTTTATTACTAGTCATAATGTAGGGGAAGACAATAAAGATATCGTGGTAGAGTTGGAGTTAAATAAAATTGGTTAAATTTATTAGTGAAAAGATTGGTTAAATTTTCTAAAGAGTTTTTAGCGACTACATAGGTTGATTTGAAATTTCGTTTATCTCAGTCCCAATACGATTTAAAGAGAACAATAACTTTGTAAGTGATTTTTTTCCCCTTTGTATTCATCTTCGATTAATCAATCAAATAAAGTATTTGGGTACATGATATCTTAAACGGCAATTGAAAGCTTAATCGCAATTAATGAAGACTCACAACTTTTTTGCATGAAATATTTGTCTTGTAGCTTTTGGAACTCTTGGAAGCATCTGAAAATTCTTTCCACTTTTCAGGACCATTTCTGTTTTTTTTTTTTGTATTATCTTCATTTTCAAAGTGTTTGAAGATTCCTGAGACTGTAATTTCTGTTCTACAGATATTGGTGGAAACAAAATTGGAATTATATTATGAACTCTATACTTCTGACTATTAAATGAATAATAGTGTGAATTTGAAATTAAAAGACCTTAATAATTTGCACCACTTAAATAAAAGCGCAATTACAAAACTGACTTGTTCTAAAACTATTTAAACCTAACCTAGGGATGAAATGAGGTGACAACTTCATGAGAATCAAACACTTTGAATTAATCATCCTTAAATATATACAAGAAAAATTGCAACGAAAGATACAAGGTGGCAGTTTCATGAGAATCTTTAATTTCTTAACCTAATGATCAATGGAGGTTTAGGCCCCAAAATTGTGGTCTAGATCTTGTGATTTAAAAATGGCAAGATCATGAATCATGTCCATGATGTAGAATCCTTTTTTTTTAATCAAGGAAAGAAAATCTTTTAATAAATCTCTCCTATGACTATGACTGGTAGTTAATGCAACTCTCTCTCTCTCTCACTCTCTGGTCTTCAATTATAACTGAGTTTCTATATAAAAGCATGTTTATACTACAAAAGACCAAGATGGATTATTTCTTGGCCGCGTATACACTGACCACTTTAGTACGTCTCCATAGCCATTTCATTCAAATTTTCATGAAAACGCTTTTGTGGGGTTTGAGTCTCGCAGGACTCATTCTCTTCAACATTCTTGCAAATGGGGAAATGAGTTTTGATAAAATGGACATGTTCAACGATTTCAATGGAACAAATGCAAATGTCCTGATGGTAGGACTCACTCTCGTCCAAGCCGCTGCTGCTAAAGGAGCGGGTAACAATTTTTTTCCCATTCATTTTGATTGAGATTTAGATTTCTGATACCAATCAAGGTATAGAGTTTTAATTAATGTGTGGTTGGAAAAAAAAGAGGAGAGATTTAGATTTCTGATATGCATGTTCATTTCATTTAGATTTCGAATGTTTGAAACGTTAATTTTCAATATTTTTACAAAATTTCGTTTGTACCGTTGTTATTTTTCATCATTACTACAAGGTTCTTGATTAACATTTTCATGACGCGAAGGATAAATTATTAAATTTTTGTGGCAGTGTGTCTGGATGGGTCAGTGCCTGGATATCATTTGTATCGCGGGTATGGTTCAGGAGCTAACAACTGGATCATTCAGTTGCAGGTTCTTACTTAAGATATATCAATTGTATATAGACTATAGAGATACTTATTGCCATAATCAGAAATAAGGCTAATTAATTTTGTTGAAAGGGAGGTGCATGGTGTGACAGCATACAAAATTGTCAGAACCGTAAAAGGAGTGGTTATGGATCATCTACCTTAATGGAGAAAGAGGTGGCGTTTTTAGGATTACTAAGCAATAAAGCGGCTGAAAATCCAGGTTTTTTCTCAAGATCCCTTATTGAAAACAGAAATGTGTTATATTTTGCTGAAATATTCTCTCTTCTTTTGTTACAAAATCAATGTTGCAGACTTTTACAATTGGAACAAAGTAAAAGTCCGGTATTGTGATGGTGCATCCTTTGGCGGTGATAGCGAAAACAAGGTTAGCACGCTAATTAAAACCATAAAGATTGATTGTCTACTATATATGACTGATCTTTGTATATTTCTATAGTAATTAACTTGAGATTAATTCATATGATTGCTTACAATTAGGCGGCGCAACTTCAGTTTAGAGGAAAGCGTATATTTTTAGCTGTCATGGAAGATTTGATGGCACAGGGAATGCGTCAGGCAAAACAGGTACAAACATTTCATATAATATTGCTTTGCATTTGAATCTTTGTTCCCAATTGTTAATTATAAGATGTTAAGGTATAATAATAATATTACCGTTAAGGCTTTGCTCAACGGATGTTCTGCCGGGGGTCTTTCAGCGATTTTACGATGCGATGATTTCAGTAATTTGTTTCCTCCTACCACCAAAGTAAAATGCATGAGCGATGCTGGCTTCTTCCTCGACGCGTGAGTAAATTTTTGTTTATTTTTCAAACAACAAATGATGGAAATTAATTAGTATATTAAAACTGGTTGGTGTCTGTTTTGTAAATGAATAAGCGTTGATGTATCTGGAGGTCATTCTTTAAGGCGTATGTATTCTGGTGTCGTGAACACTCAGGTATAATGTTATGATCATGTCTTGATGATGATGATGTTATATATATAGAGATCGTTGAAAGCTAACCAAGAATTGCTCTTTTAACTTTTTAGGGTTTGCAAAACACTCTTCCTCCCACTTGTACAAGCCATATTAAACCAACTTTGGTATACATATGATATTTGTGTTTCTGTTAATTATAATGATGCTATAGTTCCTCGTTTACTTATCTTAGTTTCAACATCCCTTAGTGTTTTTTCCCTCAATACATAATCAACCAAGTCAAGACCCCGTTGTTTATTCTCAACTCGGGATTTGATTCGTGGCAGGTTATTTATTATTCCATCTCTATCTTCGGATTCTTGTTTTTTATGAATCATGGGGTTTGCTTGTCTTGAACTATCTTGTTTCTTTGCAGATTGGAAATAGTTTAGCTCCACCATCTGCTGATCCAAATGGTAGTTGGCGTAACTGCAGCTCCAGCTTCAGGTGCACTGCCTCTCAGAAGCAGTTCTTGGATGGTAACAATGATGTTTTCATGAAACCTACCACTCGTTGATCTAATTACAAATCTGATCGTGATCAAGGTTGTTTTTTCTTGCTTTGGAAATCCGAGTTTCAGGTTTCAAGATGAGCATGTTAAATGCGGTGAAGACCTTTTCCAAGTTTAGCAAGAACGGAGTGTTAATTACCTCTGGATGGGCTCATTGTCAAGCGGAGAGACAAGATACTTGGTTTCCTGGAAACTCTGGTGCGGGTAAAGTTAAGGTGATAAAAAAAGCACTCATAATTTTACAATCTGATCAGTGATCATATGATTACATACAGAATTAATGTTTGTGCCTTTGTTGTTGGTAAAACAAAAACAGGGGATTGCTGTGGCTGTTGGAGATTGGTATTTCGAAAGAATAAAAAAGAAAAGCTCATAGACTATGAGTATACTTGTGACATTAATGAACAAGATACGTCATTATGAAATGTTTTTCTTACTTCGTTATACTCCCATCAACTAAGTTTAGGTTTTAATACAAAGCAGAGAAGAAATATACATGCATTTGTATCATTGTCCTTATCAATCAATCATATTGTCATAAACATCCAAAGTATTTTCTCCAATTCGTTAAGCAGAAGAGATGTTTAAATTAAACTAAAACCTCCGAAGTTTCACTCTCCAAAAAAAAAAAAAATGCTACTTGTCTAATTATATCAGCATCGTGACTAGTGACAACACATTTTCCGAATATCTGAATGTCGTTGTATAACTATAAAAGTACATTTTCGATGTCAAATATATAGATAGATAGATATGAAGTGAACAAATCATAGGAGATTTTTTTTTTAAAGAATAAGATTCCACGACATTCTCTATTTTTTTCCCCCATTTCTTTAGGCACAATATATCTTCTTCTTTTTTAATTACCAACAAACCGCGACAAGTGTTTCTGTTAATCATCCTTACATAACATACGCCAATCAAAGCTAACACAATGATTGGTTTAATATTGTAGCACCAATTATTCGTTTCACATGCACTCTCGCGTTCCACTAAACTTTATTATAACGCAAATGCATCTTTTATTTGAGCAATTTGATTTTATGCCAAAAAGTTGAAAGTTAAACTAGATTTTTGCTATCGTCTTTTGAATTTAAAGTCAAACAACATTCTTTTACTTACCGGTCGAGTCGAGTTATTGCGTTAGGTTATTTCTAAAAATTAAAGTAAAAAGTGTTTGTTTTGGATTGGAATATTTAAAAAATACGGTTATAAAGTAAATCAATTGACTTAACGATAATAAAATTGAAAACCATCCCATCACTTCCGTCATTTTATTATGGTCAAATCCTCGAGCTATTAGGAATTTTCTACTGCAAAAGAATATTCCGACGCCGGCCAAAAAAACATAAGTTTCTGGTCAATGGGGACAATTCCAACCTCTGATAAGACTCTAATTAAAAAAAGCACAGACAGACAAGAAGACTAAACAAACAGACACAGTTTGTATATATAAAAAATTATAATAACCAGAAATTTAGGGTATTCATTATTCAATACTCAATAGCCAAAAAAACAACTTAATGATTTCAGAATACGTAAATCATTTTCTTAAAAACATATTTAAATTAATTTGGGTCCTTTTGAAAAAAAGAAAGTGTCCTTTCTAATTAGTTGAGCTAATCCCCACTTGAGTTTATTATTATTTTTTGCTTTAATTTGATGTTTTCTTTTGTCGTTTAATTAATTACAGGTCTCAAAAATGGTGAAGGATGTGACTATGGATCACAATTCGTTCACGGAAACAGACAGAAACAGATTTATTACGTTCATCATTGTTCTTCAACAGAATAATGGCAAACACAGACCTCTCTGATGAATCATCAAAAATACTAACATAAATCTTTATAACAAAACAAAAGTATATAGTAGTATGATACTGAATGTTTTTGCAAGAAGAATATCTGACGTATAAAACACACTTCAAAAATAAACATAAAAATAAAGACAGCTCCCTTTTTTTTGACCCATGCAATATACAGAACACTTGAATCCACTGTACGTATTGTATGTCTTTGTATATCTTTATGTTCTCTACATCTGTTAAAATTAAGAAAAAAAAAAAAAAAACTAAAGGGACTGACCAAATGAGACGGCCATTCTCTGAAGATCCTTGGCGAACACGTCACTAGTATCAGCTGTGCCCAAGTTTTCGTTTTGGGTTTGGGTCCAAGGATCTGTCATGTTTGAAACATTGGCTAAGTAATCTGTCTCTGATTTAATGTAGATTGGTTGAGAGCTTTGACTCTGTACAGTGTTCCCTATGAAGAACGGTGTGTTCAAATACTCTGACCATTTTATTTCTTCCAAGTTATGATTTGGTTTGACTTGTGAAGAAGAAGTAGAAGAATTTGGGATTGACCATGAGAATCCGCCATTGTCGAAGAAATTTGAGGTGTTGTTGTTTGTCTGAAATTCCCAGTTTGGTGCAGCCAATTTCACATGATCTCCTCCAGAGACCGGACTTGAACTGTTGTTGTCAGGAGGAAGATTAATTGAGGGCTTTACGCATACTGGTGTCGGAAAGACAGAACCAACCATGTTTCCGGAGCTAAACTGCGGTGGAATCATTGAGCAGAGTGAAGTATCAGTTGTCACAGAGAGTCCGAGATTGGAGTTGAAGTTAAGCTTCTGAAATCCGAAGTAGTCGGAGAATTCAGATGGCCTTTCTATGAAGAAGTCTTGGTTAGTCGCAGAAGAGGAACTAGGAGACTTGTGGTCGTTACCGCTTATTTTGTTGTTGCTTGTTGTTGGTTTGTCTTTGTCGCTAAAGCTCTCAAGTTCGGAGATGGGTTTGTGTGTGTTTGGGTCAATGCCTCTTTGTTTCAGTTTCTTCTTGATGCTTGAGTTCCATAGATTCTTGATCTCGTTGTCGGTTCTACCCGGAAGCCTTGACGCAATCTGTGACCATCTGAGTATAAACAGAGCAAAGCCAAAAACAGAGGATGCTTATTGCTTAAAGACAGACACACATAATCCGATCCTCTGTTAAAAACAGAGCAGGGGCAAAAACAGAAGAAAAAGCTCAAAACATAAACATGATCCTCTGTTTTCTTAGGCAGCATTATTGTTGAATGTTGATAACTAATTATTACCTGTTTCCGAGGACGGCATGAAGCTCGACGATGAGATTCTCCTCCTCTGGAGAAAAAGCTCCTCTCTTTAAATCAGGTCTCAAGTAATTGATCCATCTTAGTCTACAACTCTTCCCACATCTCTGCAAACCTGTAGAAGAAGACTCATATATAATTTGTTATTACAAAAAGTAGCTTCCTTTATTTCAAATTGAGGAAGAAATGTTACCAGCGAGTTTAGGGACAGAGCTCCAGCAGCCATGGCCGTGATTGGTGATGTGAGTAAGAAGCTTCTCATCTTCTTCAGGAGACCAAAGCCCTTTCCTCAGTTTTTGTTTGTAACAGCAAGAATGTCTCCCCATTTAGTTATACACAGCTGCAATGCTGTGCAAAGGTAACAATGAAAGAGAAGAAGAAAGCTCTGTTTTTTCTTTACAAGTATTGAAAGAAAAAAGTTTTGAGCAGAGAGAATGTATAGAAAAACTTTTGAAGGTTAATGGAATCTAATGAAAAAAAAGGAAGAGAAAATGAAGTAACAGATGTGCAGAGAGAGAGAGTATTAATAGAACTAAGAAAAGTCACTTTCTTCGGAAGGGTTTGTTGAATTTTATGCTCTCTTTTACTACTATTGTCTCTTTTTAAAAGTTAATTTTTTTAGAGAAAATATGCAAAAGTGTGTAATTTTTTTCAGCTTTGAAGAAACAATTTGATTGGTCCACGTCGGATTGGTTCGCACCAATGGTAAGAAAGTTAAGGTTAAGAAATGGAGTTCATGTAGTTTTTTGACCTTTTACATCACTCTAATCATCATACATTCGTCATCTCTAAATGGACCCTTTATGATCATACGTTCAAATGCAGCAAATGATCGACATCTATTAGTTTCAATCAATCGCCGAAAACTATATATTTGTAGAGTTAAAATTATGAATTATGATGGTAAGTGTGAGTACTCTTAAGTAGTGGAGACATGCTCATTCATGTTCAGCCTGTCCTAAAAGATGTTACGAGTCACTCTACGCAGCCAAAACCGGCGTGACCTCAGTAACTCTTCTAGAGTTTTTTTTTTTTTCCGGAGAGAATTTTCCATAATTTTTTGATGTTTCTCTCTTATGATATGGAAAAATCGGAATGCTACTTTTGAGATTCATGCAAGTCGTGGTTTACAAAAAATAATAATAAAAAGAATATAAATATGGTCTAAACATTTTCAAAACGGAAAAAATATGTTACGTAATAAGTCAATAATGTGTTTCATAAGACTTCATGCGTTTATGGAAAAGTATTTACAATAATATAAATGACGGAATGACTACTTAAATTAATATATATTCATAACTATGTGGAAACACATTGCCCTATTACGTCATATATATTTTCTAGTTGAATATCTATCACCAAGTGCATCATACTAATGCCTGAGATGTGTGATTGATTTTTAAAGTGATTCTCAATATATGTATAAATGAGTAAAAAACAAGAAAATATAAATTTTGTGGTGACTTTAAGATCAATTTTAAAACTCTTTCAACCCAAAATAATCAGCGAACCGTCGAACAACGATAGAACACCCGGACCAAAACCAAAATTTATTTTTGTAGTGAGAATGGAACAATTAAAATAACACATTAGATGATGTGTAGATAAGGATGAAGACAAAGAAGAGTTGCTTGTTGTCGTCATGAAAGAATACTGCAATGAATTAAAAGCAAATGCTAAATGAGGACTAAATATTTGTGAAGATGAACGCATCAATAAAAGGAAATATGGGAAAGGTTCATAACCAGCAAGAAATTGTCATCATTGGTTAATGTTTCCAGAAATGATTAAATGGAATTAAATGTCTACGTAACGAAATTTAGAAATTTTGCTTAAAAAATATGGTTACTTTTGCAGATGAATGAGAATAATCAAGTGTCTCTTTTGTTTGCTTTATACGTTTTAAATTAAATTGACTCACTTCTCTTTGGCATTTTTCTCCCTTTTTTTGCCTTAAAATGATTCATAATAGAGATGGTATATTCTTTGTCCATCCACTTAAACTTTTCCTCAAATATTCACATGTTGAATTTTTGTAGCTTTCTTACGTTATCTAGAGACGGCCTCTCGTTAGACTCTTACCGTTTATCCATTTGTTTATTGGGACCCAATCCTGAAAATATCGTGGAAAAAAGACTACACTTATATGAATTAAAATTACTAATCTTTTTTCTTTTATAATGTAAGAACTTTACTATTCAAAAAGAAGTCTATTTTAAATAGAAAAAACAACAAGAAAATGTTTTCAATATTTTGCAAGAAATAGAGAGGAAGCTTTGAGGAGAATGCTTGTAGGTATGGAAAGTTGATGACTGGTGTTCATTTAAGATGTAGAACTAGCAAGTGGTTCAGCGACTGGTGGACGGTGGTGGTGGCCAGAAGTGGCCGAACCAAAGAGTCAGAGTAGTTTTGGTCGGAGTCTGAGAGAGAAGAGATATGTAATTAAAGTTCCTACGACTCCGCTAATAGACAACATATTTTACCACTACATGATTTTTCACTCGCGTATGTATATATATGTAGTAAAATCAATTATTAGAATTCGGAAATCGTTTTTATCTTTCTTATTTCTGATTTCACCCACACTATTATGAAGCCTTTAATTCTGACAAAAAAATATATTATGAAGCCATTAACGAGGGAATATCTTGCTTAATGCCATTGTTCATGCAGGAACTCAAAAAGAAAACTCGCTGATCAATAATGTCTTATAAAAATAAACAAAACCGACATGAAATGTCTCATTATCGAACACAATAAAATAAATGGACTAGCTAGTTGATTTTATTGTATAATATCTCGAACCAAAGCTGTCAAAAGATACTTCCAATTATATAATTCACCAAATGATTAATTACAAGAAGCGCGAATAATATATGGAAAGACTTTACAATTGCAGCGAGTTTCTTTTAAATCATACGCAATAAACTAACACCAACACGTTCTGGAGTATATCATGGAAAAGAAAACATTTTATGTTAACTACGTACAACTATATAATATTAGTATCCCCTAAAAAATGGAACATATTCGATTAGGATCATGCATGATTGAGACCCATCATTTGATCATCAATTCATCATCATCATCATCATGATTTTAATTTTTAAGACAATCATGCATATATCCGCCGCCAGCCCTTCCATTATATGCAAACCATATCTCATTTTAATCTGTTTAAGCGTTGATTTTGATTTAATAGGAGCATGCATCTAAATTTGTTGTTTCCATGCTAAAAATCTCTTCATTTTGAAAAATAACCTTTACAAAACCTATCTTATATATAAATCCAAGTTATCATATTTTGTGGGTTATTAGATATATCTCGAAATTTATGTTTAATTTTTTTTACCTCTTCCTGAATTTTTTTTAAACTCTTTCTAAACTCTTTTTTTTGTGTGTGTGGTATTTTTAGAACTTAAAAGTTTTGACGTACTTTTTGATGAACAAACATAAAATATGGTAATTACTAACTACCCTTAGAAAACTCCATTTACGAAAAGTAATATAAACTAAACAAGTTATAATTTTTGTTCCTGAAAATTATAACCATTAAACAATAGTTATAATTTTTTCAACAATAGTTAAGTCCAAAATACTATCAAAATTAAGATAAATAATGTAGTGGCGGTAGTTATAGTATCCATTTGTAAAATGTAATTTATTGAATTTTATTTTGTATGAGGAATTTTTGAAATGATATGAATGCATGCATCACCGCAAATGTACCAAAATTTCTAGTTTTTTTTTTTAAAAAAAATTTATTGTTGTAATACGAACCTTTTGGTGGGGCATGAATGAATAGTTTGCATGAAATTGATCTTCATGCAGTGCAATAGAAGGTTTACATTGTAGCTATATATGAAACATTATTGTAGTAACCATGCATTAAAACCAAAAATACATATAGGATCTATGAGCTGTTCTCTCAACTAAATCCTTAATCAGTACTCCTTTAAATTTTATTAAATATTAAGCTAAGCATCATCACTGTTAGTTCGTTGGGTTTCGCCCTAAGGTGATTTGAAAGTCTGTCTAATTAGAGAAGTGAGAAAGGGTAAGATCATACGGTCGCTGTCGTTCGCCATTGTTACAACTCACGATGGATTATAACATCATCGCCGACAAAAAAAAAACGGAGAAGAGGCTGTACACTTAACACGTCTCTTACAGGATGAACAGAGCTTTCCTTAAATCTAGGCCCTATTATGTTCTTAGGGTTCCCATTTTTATCAAAATTCAAGAAAATAATATACATGATTTGACGGCCCTTTAATTTGGTTTCGAAGTACGTTACTAGTAATACATCTGGCAACCAAAATGAAACAGCTGAAAATATCGGAAAGCAAGATATATATCACACAATAAGTTGGTCGTTCTGTTAGAATTCTTGGTGTTGTGCACATTAGAACTTGTAATCCGGCATTGCATTACTTTTTTTGTTTCTCTGGCTTCTCTTGATCAAGCTTAATTTATATGAAAATAGGTCGTTATAGGAACTTGAAAATTAGTGATTAATATTGTGTCACCTAAGATAATTTTTTTACATGTTATCTCTGAGCTATTCTTAAATGTTAACATAATTATGAAAGTGATTTCTAACTCCAATAAGCAGCTTAGTATTTATGGTTTCGGTACTTAAAAATTGATTCATTTACCAATCATTGATAAACCAAATAAAATTAATTTAAAAAACATTTGTCAGCATATGTAAAAAAATCAAGTGATCCTTCCATATAGCGATATTATAAAAAATGAAGAAGGAGAAAAACCTAATAATTAGTATTGTTTTTTTTTTTTTTTGAACAAATATAATTATTGTTTTTCTAGGCTCCAACTTTATTCACATACATTACACATCAATGTATTTTGTTGCTTACTATGTACACTAGGTTTCTATAACTAAAAGGTGTAGACTAAAATATAGATTAAGCTATTAGAGGATATAACCACCAATTATATTGACTAACGAAAAGATGCATCCAATAAAAGTTTGTGGAAGTGCACAGTTTTTAATCACGTTCTACAACGATGTTGATGGAAGATTTTTCGGCTTTTTGTGTTAATAAGAATTTTATTAATTAGACAAGGAGAAAGGGACTTATAAACAATGTATAATACATTTAGTCATTTAGATTAAGAGGACAAGGTCACGGAGAAAGAGAGAGAGGGCCCAGTGAGAAGTGACCTTAATTGTATATCATCTTAATTGCCCGTTTAGCACTAATCCCATCATCAAGGAAACATTAGCACATGCATGCACTTGTACTAAGGTCCCTTTTCATTATTTTCTGTTATCTTTTTTTTTATATTTTTAAGTTTCTCCTTAATCTTCCTTTCATTAATAAAAAAAAAAAAGCAATGTTTTCTGGTACATATATTATGCCCAAACTGAAAGATGATGAAGACCAAATATATATGTACTTTATAAGCTAATAACAACTTGGATCTTTTGGTCAACGATTACAACTTGAATTTATATTATCACAAACTATTTAAAAGGTCAATTTTTTAGTGAGTTACTCACTTTCAGGTCGATGTTGTTACTCTTGATTTGGCTTGATCCATTGGATTTTCTAATTAGATGCGTTATTGTGATTTGAGTTCATTTTTAAGTTTTGATCATAGGATATTATTTATTTTGATGATTAGATACTTTTAAATTAAAGTCATTTATTTTATGCTTGTTGTAGTTTCTAGCGAAAAAATACTTTTGGATTATACGGAAAAAAGTTTAAACCCAATACTATTTTTACTAATTGCTTGCCTCATTTGCTTTTCCCAAACTGATCATTATTTGATTTGTAATTTGTGGTCGAGAAAAAGATAAAACTTAGAAAAGAAGGCAAATAAAATTTCAAGTTTGATTAAAAGTGAGAAAAGAGGGCTTGTATGGTTGAATACTTGAATTTTTCTCTAATATGGCCCAATCTAATTAATAAGAAAGGGGAGAAGAAAAAACATAATCATAGATAATCTTGATATACTAGTGTAGCCAAAAGCAAAATGATGTTTAACATGTATTTTGCTTTGCCACATTAACACCATTTTCTTCTCTTTCAAGTTTCAATCTAAACCTAGGTGTCCGTTTTCTACTGCTTGAATCCTAACTCATTGTCTTTCGTAAGTAGTTAGAGCTGTCAAATCCACCTCCATTAGAAGATATAAAATCTAAATGAAGTCTAAACCCTTTTTTTGTTCTTCTGTGCTTTCCACTAGACTACCTTTTTCAGTACTAATAAAGTTTTTAATCCATTAATGTTGAGAAGCCCATCACGCTTTTTTTAAACAGGTCCATGACACAATATTTTGGTGTTTTCATGCTACAACTCTATTACTCTGCATTTGACAAAAAATAATTAGAACCACCAATCAGCGAAAAGCTCTTCACTGCTGTTATAAAGAACACAAATTAATTTTATTGAAGTTTTGGGTTTTAGAATTGATTTGTTTGAATGCTACAAGATAAACAATACATCAGTTCTTAAGTTTGTATTTATGTCATGACGATCCACAAAACTGATCAGAAGACGCATGTTTTCTCTTTATTGGTTTCAAGTTACTGTCGTTATTCGTCGTTGTTTGATCTTTAGAACCCGTTAAATCTCTAGTCGAACCATTTTCGCTCTTATTCATCTCCATCGTTGCAGACCCTGCAAAGAAACCACCACCAGAGACACGTGGAATCGCCATCGCCACTGGTTGTTGCATCCCCGAGACTTGGAACTGTGGTCCGTGGTTAACCGATGAACCACCACGGCTTAAATCAGGCAAGCCCATTGCATAAGGCATTCCCATGCCCATTGCCATTGCAGCCGGGTAGTGCCCCATACCAGGTGGGAACATAACCGGTGGCATGTAGTAACCAGACGCCATTGACATGATCTGATCGCGATTGTGTTTATTAGATTATTAGTTTGTCCGATTCTATCGATTTTAGGGAGTAATGAAAGTGTTACCTGTACTTGAAGTTGGAGTGACTTGAGATACTCGATGGCTTCATCTAGCATCGAAGCTTTGTCCACCTTTAAACCATATAATGACAGATTAAATACGAAAAATCTCGCTTTGTAGAATTGGACAATCCTGTTTACTATGGTTTCATTTGTTTTATAAATACTGAAACTAATCCAAAACCATTAGTAATGTGATTCAAGTTTTAGTTTATTTGGCATTGCTCCTTATCTTTCAAACAAAAATGAATCATGACGGGTGGAGAAGAGACCGACCTTGTTGCAGTTTGGAATGAGTTCTTGCAGGGCACGCATCTTCTCGTTGATCCTATCACGCCGTCTCTGAAAATTGAGGACAGTTAGCTACCAAATATAGCGCTCTTTTCTGAGTTTGAGAATGGACAAAAACCCCTTCAGGGGCTTCACTCACTCACCCTTTCAGACAGATTATGCACTTCTGCAGAGCGGCTTCTCTTTGAACCCAAACCCGTTCGAGAAGGACCTGCTTCCTTTCTTCCATCTCCTGATTCTTCTTCAACATCCTGCTCAACAATATTAAAGAAGAATAATGAATAAAACAGTGAGAAAACGAGATTTTGATGTGCATCAAATGATATGAGTTTAACTCACTTCACTATGACGACAGTCAATGTCTTGAATATCTGAATGCTTTCTCTTTAAAGAAAGTGAAGGACTTTCGGATGGGCCATCGAGACTATTACCCGAGCCAACAGAAGAACACACAACTGCCTTTTCACTCTCTTGGTCTTTTCTACATGAGTCCTCTGTAATAAGGCAAGCCTTTTGGTTATCCTTGGGCATAGCAGAAGCAACAGACTCGTTAAGAACCTTATCTTCAGAGTCCTTAGCTCCAAGAACTCTGGTCTGAAACACATTCGGCGGGCTTTGAGGACTCTTCTCTTTACTGCCATGAGGGTTATTAGTCTTAGCCAAAGTTGCAGGGCGTAAGAAATGCGAAAAGTTGACCAAACTGGGCTTGTTACTAAGGATTAGTGGTTCCTGCGTCTGAGTAAATTGATCCGGTTTGGCTTGTAGGCTAGCAGGATCCCTAGCTCTATCACTTCCATACACAGATTGAGATTGAAAACCGTTATACTGCGATGAAGAAGCAGCAGAAGCTGACTCATTGCCATCGTTTCTTCTCTGAAACAACGGGAAAACATTTTGATTTACCGCCATATCGCTCTCTTGCTCGTTGACTGTAACAGGAGACATATCACGCAAGAAATCAGAGCAATATCCATCGAGGGATGGATGATGATTCAACCATGGAACAAAGTCATCGTCTTGACTCAAACCCGTCATTAGTGATGGCACTGACATAGGGATCTCATCCACCATCGTTGCCTTTGAGCCATTCCGTATCTCTCTAACTCTAGAAGAGTTTGCTTGATGAATAATAGCTTGTGGTGGAGGAATGTTCCTCGACCTGCTTGACTGACTCTGAGTTGAAATCTGACCGTTTTCCCACACCAGCTCCACAACTTCATCTACAGGTCTGTTTTTTTTCACACAACCAAAAGGCAAAAACATGAAACTGATGAACTTGAAACTAGGCACTTAGACACAAGACTGAAAGAGACTCACGGAGAAGGGTTGTTGTCTTGAGCAGATTCGAGCTTAGCTTGGGTGAGCCTGAAAAGCTCAAACAGAGGCATGGTGTTGCGTTTTACAGAGACAATCTTGATCCTGAAAAGGGAATTCATAAAATAGACCAATTAGGCCAAGAAGTACTTCAGTTCCCAAATTAGAAACTGGGGAAATAAAGAAATACTAGAAAAGAAATCAATGTTTGTATCAATATATGCAATATAAAACAGCTAAAGAGATTTTCACTTAAATTAATGGCAACATGATTATTAGTCAAACCAATTGTTTAATCACACTGAAGAACGATTCAAAACAGTGTACTCAAGAACTAATTATGCATCACTTAAAAGATCAAAACTTTCTGTCTTGTTCCCTAAACCCAGAAACAAAAGATCAAAACTTTACTCTTGTTTCTCTGAATCAAAATCTATCATTCGTAGCTGACCTGAGAAAAAGGGTAGCAGAAAACTGAAGAAATCGAAGTCGGCGAAGAGAGAGAGAAAGAGAGTGAGACCCTCAAAGTAGTACTAAAATGACATCAATCCAAATGCAGGGAAGGAAGCGAGAACAGAGGAGAAGAAGACGGCGAATTGGAGTAATCTTGAGAAAGTAGGCGGAGAGAGGGAGATGGAGACAAATCGACGCACAAGACGGAGAGTGAGAGAAGAGAAGAGGGAGGGGGGACCAAATCGTTGCAAGGCACTGCAACTGAGGCACTGCAACTGAGGATTTGATTTTTTCACAGTCTCTGAGACGTTTCTCTCGAACATTCATTCAACTTTTAGCGTCGCTTGAATCATTAGCTCTACTGTTACTCTCTGTATTTTTTTTTTTCTCCCTATTTATAAACACATAATTAAAGAGAAATCGATTCATAGAATCAGTTCATCATAAAAACAAAATTAATTGCCAATAATCATAGTGGATACACAAAGGAAACTAAAAATAAAATAAAAATCATAGTGGATACACATATACATATGACCATCAAAATATGTAGTTTAGTGATTTTATATCAATATTATTGGGATTAATATTCAAACCATACATATTTCTAGCAAATAATGCAAAACATATTACCAGCTCACAGAGATCTTTGTGATTAAACAAATATTGATTACTTTTTTGGGCATGTTGTAAATATCGAGACAAGTTTTATCGTAAACAAATACTAGTAGTTGTTGTTTACTAGTGGTTTTAGGCTATTAGTAGACATAAATAATGTTTAATTAGATGTACTATATAAAAATTACGGTATTATACAATCCTAAATGGTTAAGGTAACTGTATTTATAAGATATTGTTATTAAACAAGAAAATTAAAGCAAAAGGGACCCTAGAGAAGAGAGTTGGGCATGGTTATTATTATTGAACCAAATTGCTTCTCACCGACCTCTGCACACTTCGTCTGTCTCTGTTACATGATACAGGTCCTTTGCATTATTACAATTAATTCATGGTGTGTCTATAAAATAATCAAATACACATACAAATATGAAAATAATCATATACATACTAGAATATGTTATCTTATCTTAAAGTGACATGGGCCTGTGATACACTAAAGTTGTGTGTGATGTGTTATCATAAAAGAACGCTGCCAAAAAAGCATCACACTCCAAGTGGGGTTGAGCAACCTTGTCTCTCTTTATCTATCTTAATAATTAAAGATTTGACTTTCTAATCATTACTATTTTTTTTTAAGTCTTTACTATACTAAATTACTAATCATCCTTAAGTTTGGGAACTCACTCAGCAAGTTCTATTAACTGATGAAAACCAATCATTTGGGATTTAATAATTGAGATTTTGTTTAATCATCATGGGATATATGTGTTATACTGGTTCCAAACTCTTACTTTAGAGTTTAGAGCATTTTATCTTTGGATCTAATTTTTTCCTTTCTATAAGTAAGAAAATAAATAAAACCATCTATAACAACATATCAGCCGTATTTGTGTTTATCAACGTTAGCAACTTAGCATCTATTTCTTCATGAAAGGTCAATTAAGCGCCATGCAAATTAGATTCTAAGATGCGTAACTCAACCCGTTGTATACTATAAACTTTCCAAGTGGATAATTTGAGCACCTATTCGGATTTGCATGGACCATTATTGATTTCATCACTATAGTTATTATCTCCATCTCTCTCATTCAAAAAAGACATAAACAAATTTATTTTCAAATTTAAACCGAATAAATAAATAAATAAGTAAACACCAAAGGAAAAAAAAAAAAAACATGGAAGTGCCTTGCTATATGTTAGGCCAAAAAATCAAATAAAATGACAAGACTCTGTCCCCGCATAACTCTCAATATATCCGCCGTGGAATAGGCCAACAACACGTTTTTGATCTCTTGCTCTACAGTCTTAACAAAATAAAAGATACGCAAAATCTTTTACCTCATAATCATGAACAACTTAGGAAAAAGAAACCGTAGCTCATTTTTATTTTATTTTTGAAAATTGGCCCTTCCACAATGTAAAATGTCACATTCGCTGTTATATATCAAAGCGTCACTTTACGTCAACACAAAGGCAAATTTGTTGATGATGATCATGATCAGTAGATTATTCTCAACGATGGTGATTGGTGATAGATGAGTCGAGGAGACACGTGGTAACTTTTGAGGGCACAAGAGACGCGACACGTGTGACATATGCTACAATCTGGCATATGCTATGAACAATTAATACAGAAGAAGAGAATAATGCGTTTCCTTTATACGAAATACCTTTCTTTTTTTTTGGTTGGTGGTGCAAAATGGTGACCAGAAACAATATTTGAACAAGAATCGGTATGTGTAAAATGTATATACGTATACTATGCAAAATACAATGAACATCTACACGTTGACACGCTTTGCCGTGTCCCTATCCTCATAAAGTCTAATCAAACACGTCCCCACTTCCTTGCATAGTCCAAAAAATCTAATCAATCTCAAGTCTCAACTATAAACCAAACCCAATTCAGATTTTTGTGAATTTGAATCAGAGACAAAACCAAATCGACATTAATATATGTATACCACAAACTGGTTGATGAATTTAATACAGTTTCGTATTCTTAAAAGCTTATGCGACACTGTTTAATACAACAGTCAACCTCTGTAGAAATTATGGAACGGTTGAAAGGTGTAAAAGTTCTTAAACCTTAATTTTTAATTGGGCCTTACTAATCAGCCCACTAGAATATCTGGCCACATTTTAATGAATAACAGAAACGGAGGTGGCAGATATTCAAGTGGGCTCAGGAGATACAATCATTCGGCCCAAGTAAGTAAAGCCATCAAAACGACATAGTTTAACAAATCGATTACATTTTAGTGCCACGTCATGCCCTCTTCCTCGATTGAAAAGAGGAGTAAACCCTAATTTCCCCAAATCGCAAAGACCAGAGAGACAGACACTATGAATCTTCCATCGTCAACGACGGCAACGTCAACCTCCGCTTCTTCCGATGCAGCGGCGGATTCCACCGAGAGATGCGATGATTGCGGAAGCCTAGACGCCTGGGTGATACACACAGTAAAACTCCGTGGATCTCTCCGCTTCTTCTGCACACATTGCCTCCTCCGCAACCATCCGACGTCGTTTTGTCCAACTTGCTTCGCCTTCTACGATTCATCTCCGCCGAATACTTTTCGCCGCGTCGCTTGCTCCAATTCCAATTGCCCCTCCTTGACTCACATTCATTGCGCCGTCGATGCAAATCCCCCTTCTTCTTATCTCTGTCCTCCTTGCCTGAACCCTACTTCTTTCTCCTTCTTCCGCCCTATTGTCGACGCAAACGGCTCTCGCTCCGTCGATAAATCTCTCTCCCAAGCTTTCTTATGCGCCGCTAAGATCGCTGCTTCTTCAATGAACAAAGCTGTTATGGCCGCTAAATGTGATGCTGATCGGAGAGGAAGAGAAGCTGCTTTGGCGAAGAAGAGAGCTCGCGAGGCTCTTGAGCATGTTGTCATGCTTGACGCCAAGGAGAAGGCAAGATCGGTTGTTCCAAAGCTTAAAGAAGCTTCCGTTGATCAGAAACAAAAACTGAGTCCTGCATCAAATGGTGGTACTGTTAAAGAAACAGAGAGCTCTGCAACAACTACTACTACTACTACTACTACTAATACTACCAAGAACAATGGAGGCACAGAGAAACAGAATCCGGGAATGCAATTGGCTATAGTTAAGCAAGAAGCTGATGCCTCTAGATAACAACTTCAAGCATTTCGTCTTCTGATGAAAGAAAGCTGATTCTGATTCGATCTCAATGTAGATTGTACGTTATCTCTTTTTTTGTTTGTTCATGTTTTTCTGGATCGTTTACGCTATGTGTAGGAATCTCTGGAACTGTGAAGTGTTTTTTTTTTTATAATAAATCATATGTTTCTGTGTCTGACGAAAGCCACTCTGTGTAACATAGCCTGGTGATGGTTTTAGTTGCTGGATCTGCCAAATTTCTTGTTCAAATTGTTGTGATGTGATTCTTGTTTATGAACCCATAATTGAGATTGAAAATTGTTATTTCCTATGTCAATTTAACCAATTAAAATCTACTTTTTAAAAATAAAGAGCAAGCTTACTTTTTTTTTATGTTCAATAGTAAAATTAAAAAGGACAGAGAGGCAATAACAAGATATGCTCATCACACAAGACATTTCTCTTTGAGGCTAAGAATAGTGTCTCTAATGGTTGCTTCTGTAGGAGTGAACTCAATTCCCAAACTCTTCACTTTTTCAACACATAGCTTGTAAATCACTGGAATGATCTCAATTGCTTCATTCCTTCAATAAAATCATAAAGAAGTTTTCGTATCAAGTATTTCAGAGTGTACATCTGATTGTAAATCAATGATGAAAGAATATTGAACTTACTTGTTAACGAGATTCAAGTCAGGAAAGAATTCACGCAAAATCTTCTCAATGTCATTTATCGTCACCACCGGACCCTCAATGATATATCTACCGTTGGCAGAAGGAGTCTCGAACGCTTTGACATGAGCGAGGGCAACATCCCTCACATCGACGAGCCTAAAATTCTTGTTAATGAAATTGTCCTTACCTGTAATAAGATCCACAATCACATTTACTGAGAAAGTAAGACTTGGTTTCAAGAGCGGTCCGAGCACAAGTCCTGGATTTATTACGACCAAGTCAAGCCCTTTTTCCTTTGCGAATCGCCATGCTTCATCTTCGGCCAAAGTCTTTGAGAGTGCATACCAAAGCTGGACAAGTCAAATATAAAAAATTATGAAAGAATGCGACTTTTAGTGAACTATGTCACAACACAATTCGAGAACCTTATTCTCAGTGCAAAAATTTGGATCCGAGAAGCAACTCTCGTCTACTGAGTCGTTTGGTCCCAAGGGAGGCACACGAAACAAAACTGCGGCCATGGACGATGTTACGATGACCCTCTTAACAGATGACACTTTAGCACAAGTGTCAAGGACGTTAAGTGTTCCCTTAACGGCCGGATCAATCAGCTCAATCTGCAAACCCTTGGAAACACTTAAGCTAGTAAGTTAATGTCTTGAAGTAAGACAAGATCTACAATAATATATAAGTGGCGTGGTCAATCAGTTTATTATCGTCAATTAGTTTTGAATTGAAACGTATGAAACTTAATTAATAATCACTATGCATTGTCTTGTTCCAAACAAAGTGATATACATATAATCGTGAAACAAACCTGATGATCAGTCACAGTTAATGAAACTGGAGAAGCGGTGTGGAAGACAGCGTCACATCCTTCAATTGCTTGCTCGAAAGAAGATTCTTCCAAAAGATCTGCTTTGAACAGTTTGAGTCTTTCTTTTGCACCCTCCAGTGCAAGAAGATGTTCTGTTTTCTTTGCATCACCTAGACAACAAAAATACAAATGCATACAATAGTTAAAAAGACTTTCTAGTTACTGAATACTGATTATTAAAATTAAGAAAAAGGGATAAAAAGAAGGAACAAACTTGGGTCTCGAACGGTGGCCCTAACGGTGTAGCCACGGAGAAGCAAAAGCTTAACAATCCAAGACGCTACGTAACCAGAAGCTCCGGTGACGCAAACCATTTTTCCTCTGTCAGCCATCTCTCTCTAATTTGTGATGTTGGTTTCAGATCCAGTTATAAATTTGAGCAACAACTACTATCATCTTTATATAGTTGTACAATATACAATTTTACACACACACTAACACAATTAAAATAAAAAATCACGTAACATCTGTTCAGATTCAATACCTTAAGTTAATTACAGTATAAGATTTTTTACTTCATTTGGCATCTCATACTTTGACATGTGTCACTTTTTAGTAATCTTATATGGTTATATATAAATCTAATTAATTTTGAGATTCTTTTACTTTTTGGCTAAAAATATAACCATTTATAAAAACAACCAAATTGGGAATTTATAGTTTACTATCTAATGATTTCTTTTCTGCAATAAAATAAAATTTTGATGTTTAAGAAAATAAATGTAAGAATCAATATTATACAACTATTTGGTACTTACTAATATAAAGGACTGAAATTTGGTACTTTACAAACAAATATATAAAGAAGTATACTCATTTACAAGATTTTTTTTCTCTCACTTTCACTTCTTTACAAATTACAAGACTCGCTATCAGTGTTCTAAAAAGCGGTCTAGGCGCTAGGCTCTCATGCGACGCCTAGATAACCGTCTTGACCGCCTAAAGTTACATAGATCTTGTTTAATGTATTTTTGTCAATTTTAATTAGAGTTTTATTTATATATATAGTTATACATATTTATATATTGTTTAATATAAATATAAATAAATGTTTTATCTAGTTTTGTTTATAATTTTATAATTTTTAGTTTTATATAGACATTTTATATAACTTTTATATATAATATCATATTTATAATATTTTATGTTATAAACGTCTAAACCGCCTAAAAAATCGCCTAGGCTCCGATTAGACGTTCTAGGCGCTAGGCACTGGGTCACCGCCCGCTTAGTGCCTAGCGCTTTCTTGAACACTGCTCGCTATTAACTTCTTTACAGCAAGTGATGGAATGAAAAATCAATGAGTTTTTTTTTTTGGATTTTTCGTCTTCTAAACAAATAGTTAGAGAATTGTACTTAATTTTCCAAGTTAAGGATCGTTTTTTCAGAACACCAAGCGGTATACTAACAATGCAGAACGATATATGTTAGTTTAGTTAGGGCCTAGGGGACATAAATATAAGATTTATATTGGTTTTAAAATAACTAGTAAGACTTAATTATAATCCTTTTTTGAAATGCATAGATTGCATGGAATAACAAGTACCCAAAACAATAAAGAAGATCACACAAGACATTTCTCCTTGAGACTAAGAACAGTGTCTCTAAGGCTTGTTTCTGTAGGAGTGAGCTCAGTTATTCCCAAACTTTTCACTTTCTCCAGACACACTTTGTAAGTCACTGAATTCATCTCAGTAATGTCTTCATTCCTATTAATCAATCAAAATAGTTCGTTTTTGTTACGTTTGTAGAATCAAAACAGGATAAAGGACTTATAAATAAATGATCAAAGAAAAGAAAACTCTCTCACCTATCAGCAATGCACAAATCAGGAAAGAATTCGCGCAAAACTTTCTCAATCTCTTTTATGGTCACAACCGGACCATCAATGATATATCTGCCATTGGCTGAAGGAGTCTCGAGTGCCTTGACATGAGCTAGAGCAACATCTCTCACGTCCACGAACCTATGATGTCTTGTATTAAAAGGATTCTTACCTTTCATAAGTTCCACAATCACAGCTACCGAGAAGTTAAGAGTTGGATGCAATATTGGTCCAATCACAAGTCCTGGATTTAGTACGATCAAGTCGATCTGATTGGCCTTGGCGAATTGCCATGCTGCATCTTCGGCCAAAGTCTTGGAAAGTATATACCATTGCTGAAAAGGAAAAACACAAAAAGGGTGAGAAATAATGCGAGTTGTCATGAACTCATTGATGATATGTCAAAGACCTTTTTCCCCTCAGCAATACTTGGATCAGTGAAGAAGGTTTCGTCTACTACATCGTTTGGTCCCAACTTGGTCTTAGGAGCAAGAACTGCTGCCATAGATGATGTTACGATGACCCTCTTGACAGAAGACACCTTAGTGCAAGTTCTCAGGACGTTAATAGTACCCTTGACGGCTGGATCAATCAGCTCAACCTGAGAATTTCAGAGTAACATTAAGTTTCATAGACTTCTAACTCAAAATCAATTGGCTATGAGTAGACTTACCGACTTAATTATGTGCTTTATGTATTAATTTAGGACTTCTCTAACTTTAGATGTGGGATTTCTAATAGTAAATCAAGCAAGTGAAAAAGTAATGATTGTGTTGTTCCGAACAAATTGATATCATAAACGAACCTGAGGATCAGTGCTGACAGTGATCATAACCGGTGAAGCAGTGTGGAAGACAGTATCGCATCCATCAATTGCATGTTGGAAAGAACCTTCTTCTAAAAGATCTGCTTTGAATAATTTGAGTCTTTCTTTTGCGCCGTCCAGTGCAAGAAGGTGATCTGTTTTCTTTCGATCGTCTGGAGAAAAACAGAAATATGTCAAAGTGCACTTCAAGATAAGAATGCTTCTTTAGTTTTTATTCTTCTTTCTCTGAATTGTCACTTGTATCTCTAAAGAGAAATTTGATGATTCAAGTGACAAAGAGAAATTGTCTTCTATATTAATAAGGAGAAAAGCAGAAGGAGAAAAGAAAGAGTGAAGAAGGAAACAAACTTGGGTCTCGAATGGTGGCATTGACGTTGTAGCCACGGAGGAGCAAAAGCTTAACAATCCAAGATGCTATGTATCCGGAAGCTCCGGTGACGCAGACCACCTTTCCTCCATGGGCCATCTCTTCACTTTTATCTGGTAAGTAGAATTAGTGTGGTTGGTAGGCTTCTGTATTAAAATTGATAAAAAATAATCCCATTTTTATAGTTGCATACGTTTTAGTTTGACACGCAAACTCATCTCTTTTAAGTCACGTGTGACGACGCTACTACATTAACATAACGTCTACTATTTCTTCTGCCTTGCAACATTTGTGGTTTTATTTCTTCTTTTTTTTTATTTCCTTACGAAAAAAAAATCACACACATACAATTATGGGAAAAAATCTTATCCCATTAAATATCTATACACCATGCTCTTAATGGATCCGTATCTCAGTATTTTTAAATATAAATAATTCAAAATTAGTACTCAAATTATTTAGAAAATAAATAACATATGTTATTCTAACTTTTGATTTCACAAAAAAAAAATAGAACTCATAACCAATTTTATAGTCTAGATACATTTAAATTGTTAAGTGTTTGTTGGGAAGAAGAAACCACATTGACTTAAAACACCTAAAATAGATGACATCAAGAATTATCTCATTTTGAAATTTTGAGAAACTAAATTAAGCGTTGTCTGTCCCTTTAATGGTATTTACGAGCTTCTAAGGATAAGGGTGGATTACGTGGTTCGACTCTTGATCATGGAACCATTAGATTAGACGAGTTTGAATTCTTAAAGTCATATAACCACTCGTTTATTCCTTGTACCAATTGACTTGACTACATCACCTAGCGTTTGGACGGCGCAAACAGAAGATAGTCCTATTTATCGAATTGTAGGGACAGTTTTAGGATCAACCCAAACACATCTAGAACTGGTCCAAAGAACCATGAGTGAACAAATATTTGCCGTAGCGTTAAGTGATGTTAGCTTAGTTTAGGCGATGTATCTAAGCTAAATTACACTTATCGATATATAATGTATCCAAACCTTAATTAGTGACAAGTTTAGCCTAAACAATATTATATATAAAATGTTTAGATTTCAAAAGTGTCCACAACTTAAATCACTTTAATTAGTAATACTAACAAAATAAAAATACACAATAGTTAAAAATTATACGAAAAGAATCATAAAAGACATTTCTCCTTGAGGCTAAGAATAGTGTCTCTAAGGCTTGTTTTCATAGGAGTGAACTCCACTCCCAAATTCTTCACTTTCTCCACACAGACTTTGCATATCATTTCATTCATCTCACTTTCTCCATTCCTAAGAAAATGAAAAGAAGTTTTTCAAAATCTTCCATTAAATTTATGGACTTCATAAGATGATAAGGGTAGAGCTAGGGAAAGAGAACTCACGTATCAGCAATACACAAATCTGGAAAAAGCTCCCGCAGAATCTCTAAAATGTCGTTTACACTCATACTTGGACCATCGATGATGTATCTGCCATTGGCTGAAGGAGTCTCCAACGCTTTGATATGAACTAAGGCGACATCTCTTACGTCCACAAACCTGTAGTATCTATTATTGAAAAGGTTCTTACCATTGATGAAATCCACAATTAGCTCTACCGAAAAATTAAGAGTTGGTTGCAAGAGTGGTCCGCAAATAAATCCTGGATTCAACACAACCATGTCGATTCCGTTGTCTTTGGCAAATTGCCAAGCTGCATTCTCTGCCAAAATCTTGGAGAGTGAATACCAATTCTGAAAGAAGAAAAAGAAAAGTATAAGAAAGAAACCGAACTCTCAAAAATTGATATGATCACAACAGAATATAAGGACCTTTGTCTCCCTGCATAGACTTGGATCGGAGAAGAAAGTCTCGTCCACCACGTCGTTTGGCCCAATAGGAGGCTGACGAGAGAGAACCGCAGCCGTGGAAGATGTCAGAATGACTCTCTTGACAGAGGAAACTTGTTTGCATGTATTAAGGACGTTAATAGTACCCTTTAAGGCTGGATCAATCAGCTCAGTCTGATAGCGAAAAAAAACAAATTTTGATAAACATTATAGAACTGACTTTGCTAATTACTAATTAGAATACATATACATTGCAATTCCCACAACAAAGTTTAAACTGTTGACAAACCTGAGGATCTGTGACGGTGAATAGAACTGGAGAAGCGGTGTGGAAGACAGCGTCACAGCCTTCGATAGCTTGTTCAAAAGAGGATTCTTCCAAAAGATCTGCTTTGAACAATTTGAGTCTTTCTTTTGCACCCTCTAGTGCAAGAAGATGTTCTGTTTTCTTCCTGTCCGCTAAAGAATGATATAACAATATATATACGTCAAAAAATGCATATGGTACTTGTACAAAAAAATCATCATTCCAAAATCAAAACACAACAGTTCAAATATGATAACCAAAGAAATTTCAATTTCGTTGTACAAAAAAAAAAAAAAATCTCGATTTGGTAATTTGATATGTATTTTGGTGTTTTAAGTGAAGACATAATTCGCACCAAAAAAAGTAAAGACATAATTGGTTTGATTCCGTCAGATTTTTTTCAGCTAGATTCCGATTTGATTTTGTTGGGCTACTCTTAATCATCCCTACAAATTGCAGTCTTGATAAATGTTTTTGATTTCTAGAAAAAATGTTCTTTTTCAATTTGCTTACTCTGGAAAATGTTTTCTAGATTGGCTAGAAGATATCTTTCTATATTTTGTAAAAGAATGATATATTTAGATAAAAGAAAGTAAGAATTGAGAACAAACTTGGGTCTCTGACAGTGGCATTGACGGTGTAGCCACGGAGGAGCAAAAGCTTGACAATCCAAGACGCTATGTAACCGGAAGCTCCGGTAACGCAGACAACCTTTCCTCCGCCGTTCATATCTCTTCTCTGTCTCTGTTTCTGAAAATAATTGTTTCAAAATGAAGAGTCACCTCGCAACTATAATGATTAGTAGTAGGTGGTTTGGTCAAATAGGGCCGCTCCATCAGAATATGGGCCTTGTTTGAAATTGGAAAAATCACATAGCCTAATAACTTTTTAGAACTGTAAATTGGAAAAAATGAAGTTCACAATACAGTATTTCTTTTAATCTTTAGTTTATTGATTTTATTTTAAATATTTGATTATATTGTAAAAGCCTAATACATCCTCCACACGAATTATAATTAGAACTAGACATCCTTAGAAAATAAAAGCTATATGCTTTATCTATGATTAGGATCCTCTGTTGGTTTATTATAGAGACACTTCTCCTTAAGGCTAACAATAGTGTCTCTGAGGGTTTCTTCTATAGGAGTGAACTCGATTCCCAAACATTTCACTTTCTCCACACATACTTTGTATGTCATTTCATTCATCATCTCATCACTCTCTTCATTCCTAAAATCGAAGTTCATCAATAATATAAAAAGCTTGTTCTGTTTATGGGTTCAATATGAGTATAGGTAAAGATGAAGGAAAAAAGATAACTCACTTCACAACACGACACAAATCAGGAAATAATTCATGCAAAAGCGCTTTTTAATATCTTTCATTGTTGTATTCGGATCAACAATGATATATCTGCCATTAGCAGAAGGGACCTCAAACGCTTTGATATGAGCAAGCGAAACATCTCTCACGTCCACAAACCTGTAGTAAAAACTATTTGGAGGGCTTTTACCGTTTAAAAGATCCACAATCACTTCTATAGAGAAATTAAGAGTTGGCTGCAAAAGTGGTCCGACTACGCTTCCTGGATTCATTACGATCAAATCGATCCCATTTTCTTTGGATCAAAGACCTGCCATTTTCTTTGCATACCATTGCTAGAAAGTCAAAAGAGAAAAATGTAAGAAAGAATGTGAAAACTGATCATGAAATTTTATTAATTACTTGTCAGAACATGATTCAAAGACCTGCATTTCCAAGCAAAAATTTGGATAGGAGAAGAACGTTTCGTCCACCACGTCGTTTGGCCCTAAGGGTGGCTTACAACCAAGAACAACGGCTGTGGAAGATGTTACAACGACCCTCTTTACCGAGGAAGCTTTCGCGCATGTTTTCAAAACGTTCATTGTACCTTTAACGGCTGGATCAATCAGCTCAGCCTGAAATGCCTCAAACAAAGAAAATTAACATATAGTAAAATGAAATATATTACTAGATTGTAATTAAATTACTAGTGCAGTCGTTGTGTCACCATCCGGATGCATGCATATTGTTGACATAATAAAAAGGGGAAATTATTAACGAGCCTGAGGATCTGTAGCGGTAAGTATGACTGGAGAGGCGATATGGAAGACACCATCGCATCCCTCTATAGCTTGTTGGACCGAACCTTCTTCCAAAAGATCTGCTTTGAACAATTTTAGTCTTTCCTCTGCGCCTTCAAGGGCAAGAAGATGCTTTGTTTTCTTTGTATCCTCTAGAGATAAGAGACATATTTCAAATCTCAAAATGCTTATATTTTTTAATCCTCCGTAACAGGTTTGAAGAACGAAAATTTGAGAATTTTATATGACTAGAGAACCGTCTTTCTATTACGGAAAATGTTATTTAGATATTATCTAAAGAAGAAGGCAGAAGGAAACAAAAAATAAAGAGAAGAAGAAACTAACTTGGGTCTCGAACAGTGGCCTTGACGGTGTAGCCACGGAGGAGCAAAAGCTTCACAATCCAAGACGCTATGTACCCGGTAGCTCCGGTGACGCAGGCCACCTTTCCTCCGCCGTTCATCTCTATGAAATTTATAATTGGTCGGTTGGCTTAAGTTATGAAATTGAGCAAAAACTACCTTCACTTTTATACAAAATTTAAATGATAACAACAAAATCTTTAAAACCAAAAAAAAAAAATCTGGCTTAATAAATAATGGTAGCCAAATTAACAAAAAGTAATGGTGATTAAACTATGATATATCACAGTTCAATAATTATGTTTTTTATGGACTATTACCATCCAATATTTTTGTTGTTGTTATCAACCATTCACTATCTTTAGTTCTCTCAAAACACTCTAATTTAATCTCATATGGATTTCATACTTTGACATGATGTAAACTTTTTAATAAGCTTTTCTTAGACTATATCTCTAGTTATTTGGAGATCATTTACTTTTACATTCACAAAAAAACATATAGAGCAACATTGGTAATTAACTTATTTACTTAACAATGATTTTTTTTGTTACTAATTAACCCAAGTAAACTAGCAAATGTAATGTTTAAGTAAATAAATGTAATAATCAATATTATAACTTTTTTGGCAGTGTCAAATAAATATTTGGAGAAATATACTCATTTACAAGATTTATTTCTACTTTCACTTCTTTACAAACAAGACTAACTATAAATTACTCTTACCAACTATACTATTGATTTTGTACTTAGACTAATAATATATAAACATAAAATTTAAATATAGATTGGTAGATATATGAAAAGGACACGTTTGAATAATTTTGTGGAAACTAAAATCATTGAAAGTCGTTGACTCGTTGTATTTTCGTGATAACTACTTCATATTCTAAAATTCATTAGTGCTTCTATGTACTTCTATGTTATTAATATGATTTTGTGACCAAAAAAAAAATGATTAATGTAACACGTTCTATAGCTAAATATGCGGCCACAAACGAACACTATGCACACGTGGCTTTCTATAATTTGAACCAATAGATTTTGCCGCGCTACAGTCAAACCCTAGCAAGTTAGCTAACTGCGCCAGATGCGTAGGTTAGCTAAGGATTCGTTACTTTAAATCACACAAAATCCGAAGCACTAGACTCGGTAACGCCGAAGCTAAACATTTTAGCCACTTACCTTAAATGATCTCTCATCCGAACCTCACGGCTACGGACCCATCCTCCAGTTTCATTTTCACCGTCACTTTCCTCCTCTGGAGAAATTACGAACTCGAACAAATCTGCAATTTGATTCTTCTTTCTATCAAACGCAGAAGCCTAATTTTGTCCAACCGTTCGATGGAGACTGGTGGGTTGCGAGAAAGTTCGGATTTTTAGGGTTTGAAGTTTCAAAAATTCAAAATTCTGTAGGAGTTTCAATTTTTTTTAAAAGGTCACGTTTTTTTGGGCTGTATACTTGTTAAGTATTCGTCTTTATCGAAGTTTATTTATTGATGTGAAAGGGACGACACAAGTTTCTTTGTCTCTCTTGCGTATTCCCTACCTCGATAGAGTTGTTAATGGCTGTTATTTATAAAAAATCGATTGTTACGAACAAGGTTAAGATGATTTAGTTCTTGTGGGCAGATTTGAATGATTTCAAATTCTTTAATTAAACGGAGATTGGACATTTATGTGTTTCATTCGTTTATGTACAGGGTCACGTGAAGAACATGAATAGCTGCTTCCTTTTACGTTTTTGAATTTGAGGTTTTCTGGAGAATTTATCTGTCTAGATTGAAGAACAGAGCGGTGACAGACAATGCCAACTTCTGTTAGTCTAAGAGAGGATGATCCTCTGTTGAAGGATTTGAGTGAGAAGAAGCAGAGTTTCAGGAGAAATGTGGTGTCTTTGGCCACTGAGTTGAAAGAAGCGAGGACTCGTCTTGCGGAACAGGAGCGGTCGTGTTCAAAAGAAGCCATGTCTAGGCAGGTAAGCAAGCACTCATGAGTCATGATATTCTCAACTATCACTTTTTGTGTGTTTTAGTTTTTTGTTTCGATGTTTGAGACTTTTGATGAGCTGTTTTCTATATGAGTAGGAGGCAGAAACAAGAGTTAAGAGAATGGAAGATGAAATGCATGAACTTGCTAAGGAACTAAACAAGAAAGTTGAGCAGATTCGTGCATCGGATGTTACTACTGAGAAGGTTAGGATTGTTTCTTCACATTTCTTGATTGTCCAGTTTTTCTAGTTTTGCTTGATTCTGCTTGAACACATAGATCTGTTATAACATTGTTTCTCATCAGCCTTCTTATGTCTGTCTCTTTAAATTTTGCTGGTCTTCTTTTACCTCTTGAACCTGCTTGGGACTTAATCTGCCAAAATTAGGTAGATCTTATGTCCTTTACCGATGTAACTTATCAACTTTTCTGTTTTCCTATTGTGCAGTTTGTGAGGGAATTGGGTGATATCAAGTCACAGCTTGCAGCAACACATGCAACTGCAGAGGCAAGTGCTTTGTCAGCTGAATCAGCACAGTCTCAGTGTAGAGTGCTTTCGAAACAATTGCATGAGAGGACTGGTTCTTTGAAAGACCATGAGGACCAAGTTACTAGACTTGGTGAGCAGCTAGAGAATCTACGAAATGAGCTGCAAGCTAGAGAATATTCACAGAAGCAGCTAAGAGATGAGGTTTTGAAAGTTGAAGGTGACATTATGCGGGCTCTATCAGTGGTCAAGACCAAGGAGAATTCTGAGGTGCAGAAAATGCTAAATGAAGATCCTCCAAAGAATTTTGAAAGAATCAACAAACTTTTGATGGCTAAAGATGATGAAATTGCAAGACTCAGAGATGAACTAAAGATTATATCGGCTCATTGGAGGTTTAAGACAAAGGAATTAGAAGATCAGGTAACAACACATGCTTTAGCTTCTTTTATTTCTGTGATTTATTTTTGGTTTTACATAGTAAAACCTTTATTCTTCTGGACCAGGTGGAGAATCAAAGGAGAATCGATCAGGAGCTGAAGAAGAAGGTGCTGAAGCTGGAATTTTGCTTACGCGAAACACGCATCCAAACTCGAAAACTTCAAAAGGTAAACTCACTCTTTTTACCTGGGATCATAATTTCTTGAATCCAATACCAATCTAGCTGCTTTTCTACGGGATTGTAGATGGGAGAGCGAAACGATGTGGCAATACAAGAACTCAAGGAGCAATTGGCTGCAAAAAAACAGCATGAAGCTGATCTTTCTAGCAACCAAAACTTGTGGGATAAATCAGGTTTCAAGATTGTTGTCTCCATGTCGATGCTGATATTAGTTGCCTTTTCTAGGCGTTGAATTAGCAATGAAAACATTTTAGATCATATTAAAGTAGATAGACCGTATCCTACAGTGTATGGAGGAATAATATTACACCTCTTTGTTACAATGTCTGCGTTTCCGCTTTTGGTCCTAAAGAGATATATTTTAAACAAAACAACCGAGGTTTTCTGTACAAATCCGAAGCCTTAGCAATCCCATCGAACCAATGAAATTTATAATGTCTTACATTCCTAGCTTCTTCCTAGGAAGATGCTCTAAAAGACCTTCAACTTGTGTGTCATAAAGCTACTTCGACTCCTACATATTCTACTTCTAATGAAATAGCACTGCGTGAAGAATCAATGTTGCCATTATAGCATGACCAAAGTGAATCTTCAAGTGTGTAGAGTCTGATGATGTTGGATTGTTCCCATTTGGTGAACCATCAAAACCGTAACCCGTTAAACCTCCTGAGGAAGGATTGTTTAGCGTATTTGATGTAGGATTTGCGGGGTTGAAGATCGCTGGTGGAGTTCCAACCCTTGAATATAAATAATAGAGAGGTACGTTTTCAGTTAATCAACTCTGAAGAGGCTTTAAGACTAGACAAAAGAGTTGAAGAGAATGCTCTTATTACCCGATTATCCCGCCTCCTGTTGGTATTATAGGTGTTGATGTGACAGGAGGCTGGTTCACTGTTTGTGTTGATGGAGTTGGTGTTGTTGTTCCTGCTGTCATCGGTGTTGATGTCGATGAGCCTGTCTGGTAAATGCAAGAACCAGTGCCTGTAATGGAACAACAATCCAAAACAAAGTCAAGCAAAGCCACCATCTAACTGAAAACAAGAAAGAAAAAGAGAAACAGAGTATCCTCTGTTTATTTTCTCACTCACTTGGGTTGGTGTTAACTACCGAGGCTACACCGCCAAAATCGCAGCTTTGTGGAGAAGGGTTCTTCTGGTAATAGCTGTTGAAGGCAAATGAGGCATGATTCTGAAGACTGATAGGAGAATAACAGTTACCGCCTTGCTGTAATTGAGAGCAATCCGCGATCCCGCAGGCATAGTCAAGAGCCTGTTGGAGTGAGATTTGAGAGGCTCCAGGCTTTGCCACGCACCAGCTTTGACCTGGAACCGATGGAGAGTTTGAGACAACAGGCGGTGCAACCACAGGAACAGGAACTGGAACCGCCCCTGAGGGTTGTGTTGGAGGATACTGAGTCACTGGGTTGGTAACTGGGTTGGTCACAGGTGGTGTGAGTGTAGGAGGAGGAATTGTTGTGACTGGAGGTGGTGTGAGTGTAGGAGGAGGAATAGTTGTGACTGGAGGAACAATAGGAACTGTTGTGGCTGGATTTGTTGGCGTTATGGTAGCCGGAGGAAATGTAGCCGGCGGTGTAGTTGTAGGGTTTGTAGGAAAGACCGTTGGTGGGTTTAACACATCATGATGTGTAGTTGTTGAAGAACAGGATGAGAGAAGATAAAGAAAGAAGAAGAAGGTGAAGATGGAGTAACTCTGTTTCGCCATCAGAGCTTGAGATTGGTTTTGTTTTTTTTCTTCTTGTGTTTATAAGTACATGATTTGTAAGAAGAACAAAAGCTTAGAGATTCTCTTGAGAGAGAATTGGGGGAGAAAAAGAGAGAAGATGCTGACTGTACTCTACATGCAAGTGACTAAGTGAGAAAAAAAGAAAGTAGGAAAAAAGATGTTTGCTTTGCTATGAAGTCTTTTGGATTTGGCCTGTGACTAATCCCATCTGTTTTCTTTATATTTTTGTGTGCAAAGATATAATCTTTTGCCTTTGTTAGCCAGAAAAAAAATAATGAAAGAGAAAAACCCATTTTTGTCAGATCCGTTTCAGACATAAGCATATGCATAAAGTTCTCCGAGCTGCAAATTGGTATTTTTATTTCTCTTATCCAAAAAGGAGAAAAAAAGAAAGAAGAGAGACTGTTGCTGCAGATTAAGATTAATTAATACAATGGATGATCTTTTGCTTAGCTCAGCAAAACCCACAAAGATTTAAAGAAATCATCAAAGCGGAAAGATTTTGAAAAAACGAAAAAGCAGAGAACATAAAGCTTTGTTAGCTGTTTAAATGGATTAGTTTATTGGCCTAATTTTAAAGCAAATCTCTCATTTTTATCATCTACGCGTTTGAATATTGTTCTTTGCTCATTACAAGAATAAAAATGTGACAACTTTGTTCTTGAGATAAGAAGATCTATTCATGCAAGTAGGGACAACCCATGTGGAATTGGTAGATCTTGATACTTTCTTCTTAAAAGAATTCATGGTTTCAAAAGTATAGATAAAAGCTACCATTAAACTATTGTCACATACAAGAAAAGACTAACATATCAGTTCTTGTGTTCATTTGAAGAGATGAAAATCAAGATTGGTATATAGATAACGGGGACTTAGATAATATTATGAAGCAAGAGCTGATACTGTTGATTTTAGTGGCTAGGCCAACAATTATACAAGAGAGAGAGCTTCTGGTTAGTCATTTACGGGGTTTATTATATTCTTCATGATATTTGGTCCATCAACATATCTGAGAAGAAAGGATCTAAAACAGCCTCTTTAGCTGATTCATACTTCTCCATCCGCTTCTTCAGTGACCGTAGTTCTCTTTCGTCTTTTGAAGACCGTTCCTAAAACATAAACACACAAACGAAAGGAGTATCAACAGGATGTTCTTAGTTGAGGCAACTAATAATTAGCTATGTGTCTTACAAACTTACAAATGACTTCTTGGTAAGTAAGATATCCACGAGATAAATTAGCCAGAGAACATTTGTTCGAGCAAAGCTGTTGTTAGAAAGAAAAGAATAAACATGGTATTAAAATTTTTTTATCAAATCATTTATGCACACTTCAATTTGGTTGCGCAATGGTCATATCATAGTCTCATGCTTTTTAGAAAGAAAGATAATGTTGTGGCTTATTATTCTAGTCTAGTCTGCAGAAATTTCCAAATTAACGGCATGAAAACTAAAAGGAAGGCTTGGGAAAGCTACGCTTACCTTCCTTCCCAGTAATCTTCAGTAACTGCCTTCATTTTTCTGTAAGTTTCTGACTGCATGATAACATTATTAAATCTTAACTAAATGTACAATTCTCATAACTGTTAGTTAATATAACAAGGGACTTAAGTTAATCTTCCTTACTTGTTTATCTCCTTTTGGTCCTTTGAAAAGGTATGGATCACAAGTAAGGTCCAGAAAGAGTATCTTTTCACCTGAGCACGTTAGCACCACGAAAATTGATAGTTGAGTATTAGATTGGGCCTCATGGTTTACATTATATCACAGTATTGAGAACCAGAAACTCACCTGTATTGATTCTTGAAAGAGTAAAGTCGATTATGGATACCTGCACTCCAAAAGTTTTGATGAAAACTTGTTTCCCCTCGAGAATAAAAGGCAGAGTACTCGAGTTATTACGACTCAGTAGAATGTTTCCCCTGAAAAAGAAAAGAATACAAGAAGTTCAAGCGAGAGAACACTAGTAAGTAGTAAACTATACCAAATTATACACTAAGCTTACCAGTGCAGGTCTCTGTGCTCAAACTCAAAACCAGCTTCGGCAACAGCCAGGCCAGCCGTGACCTTAGATGTGAAACACATGCCATTAACCAGAAAGAAATATCATTTTTACACAATTTCTGTTACAGCAAATAGAGTCTATAACTTGCCTGAACCAATAAGCTCCGGGCTTCACCAAAGTTCAAAAGAACAAAGCTTTCAAGGTCTTTGCCACCATGTTCCAGAACAAACATGACATAACGCTGGAAGCAACCACAAAAGAATATTGCTTCTACAGATTATACAGCATCCTACATAAACAGACCTTTATGGAATTTAATGAAGTTAAAGAATCTGACTTGTTTTTCCGGGAAATCTGGGTGATCATTCTCAGAGCCATGTTTTGCATCCCATTCTTCCCATGCTTTTATCAGTATAGGGTCATAGGGACCTTGACATACTTTTATACTGCAACAACATTATGAGAAACGCTTTGTGAACAATGATTTACATAAGTTTGGTAGAAGATTTATAACAGAACAAACAGACATCTCCAGCTTATTCTCATTCCTGAGAAGACGTACTCTTGAGTTTTTATGAACGTTGGGCAAGAATTTTGAGCTTCAGTCTCACATTCTCTTAGTTTATTAAGAGTCCATGAGAGTATCACTTCCTCGTGTAATTCGTCAGCTCTCTGCAACAAATGAACATATATTAAGATGTCATTTCTCATATTTTCTTTGATATGCTGCAAGAATTTGCATAACATTAACCATAACTCATTCAGATAGCATATGGTGTGAGAATATGCATGCCTTCCCCTAAGCATCAATGCATTTTCCTAGAGATGATATTTTTCTCTAAATAGAATTTATTCCTAATATGATCACTTCACCGAAGTTGTAGTCTCAAACCATCATGGAGAAAAATAGAAGTGTGTTAAGAAAAATACCTTCTGTACTTCCCCATTAACCCTGACGTCTCCATCAATTGGAACTATTTTACAGACACTAGAACCAGCCCGAAAAGCCTCCCCATATGTACCTTCACCAATCTTGACAATGCTTTCAGGTTCACTGCAATATTTGAGTCATTGTTACAATTGGATCAAGATAAACTTAATGAGATAAGACCACTACATCGCATTTCTTAACCAGGGTACCAAAGTGTCAACAAAATGCACAACATTCCTAAGATAACACCCAAAGCACTAGACAAACACCCAAGGCTAGAACATAAAAGATCATCTATAAGTCCATACCAGAATTTAGAGAATGCTTCCATGAAGTTTGATGGTTGCGTCTGTCCACAGGCGGACAATAGATCAAGAAATGGCTGATCAAAATCTTGATGAGTGGGGATTAGATCAGATGTCAAAGACAGCCGCTTCAGCTCATCTTCAAGGTCGATTGCTTCCATCTTGATTTTTCTAACAGGCACATCCTCGGCAGCCAAGCTGTCATCACAGCTGGGGATGAGCCGGAAAACTGAAGTCAATGAATCAAAGGCATCATTATCACATGTTGACTCCTGGTGTGTGGCTGAGTTTTCAAGTATCTTAGAAAGTGTGCTCGAAGGACCACAAGTACGATTTAACTTCTTTGAAATTAGCCATTTTTCTAATCTTGTGGACAGATGTGGCATCTCCGGAACAACTTGTTCTCCCAGGGTCCATGTACTAGATTTATTGGGAGAAGGACTCTCTTCCAGAAGCTCAAAAGCATCAATATCACGAAAGTATTCCTTCTCTTTCTGGAAGTCTGGAGCTTTAACAACTTTTCCCTGAGAGTTTGAAAAGATACTACTTTTATATCATATCCCAAGAGAAAATTAGAGTCTCAAGAAAGAAGAACACACATTTTGACAATTTCCTAGGAGACAATGAGAATCCAAAGGCAGGAAATAGTTTGTTCAGAGAACTTGTAATCAAAACCACATAAGTCACAGAACAAGATAGATACAACTAAGCCTACCTTTGGAATAGCGGGCTTATTTCTCCTGGCTGGCTTCTTTTGAGGCTGATTGTTGACATAAGCGCGCACTGCAATACTCTCTCTCCCTCTGTCAAGAAGCAAATTATAAGCGTTGCATCAGTCTACTAAAATAATTTGGTGGCCTTCCCTTGACATTTCAACAAACAAGTAATGTGCAGTAATTTCATAACTTAAGAAAAGGATTGGATAGACGAAACATGAACATAACAAAACAAGATCTCTAATAGCAACAAGCCAAAAACCCAGGATTAGAAGAAGAACAAAACTAGGGTTAAGCTCAGAAAGTAACCTGGTGGAAAGGGAACGAGCCCAGCTATCTCTCTTAGGTCCATTGACCGAACTAGTACGAGCCCCTTTGACCAACCATCCTCTATTTCTCAGATACACAGCCAAAGAAAGTTATCAGATACAGAGCCGAAATAACCACACACACACATTTCAAATTTTGGGCTAGAAGAAGCAGAAAAATTACAAATTTACAGGTTGGGAAGATTTCTCAGGTTTCTTTCTTCTCTGATAAACGGCTTCAATCTTGGGTATATCTCCGTCTTCTTCCTCGGATTTAATGACCTCAGACCATAGATCAACTGTCACAAAAACACCAACCTTTACATGTTAATACACAGAAATCGAAATTTAAAAGCAAACCCAATAACGATTTTAACTTCCGAACTCAATTGGTTCACCTCTCTGTCCCATTTTAGGTTAGAGGGAACAAAAATCAGTACTGCAACAGTCGCCGAGAGAGAGAGAGATAGAGAGAGAAATGTGGATTAACTCGATTTGAATAAAAGTTGTGGACCGGGAAGGCGGGAGAAAATTAATGGGTCTAAAATTTAAAATCCAAAATCTAAATTGGGCTCAGAGTCTAGTTAGTTTCAAGCCCAATACTTGTCTTTTCCTTAAACCGGGTTTTTAACCGAACCAAATGATTGATTGATTATTAATATTGGTTTTGTCGGGGTCTAGCGATATGCAAGGGCAAGGCTTTTCAATTTGTTGTACTTTCTCTTTCAAGAAGACGAACAAAGATTAAGCAACCTGTTTTCTTAATTACTTCACAAGTCTAAAGCTATAGCTATTCTAGAAGAATATAACTTCTCTCTTTTTCGGATATATTGTGTATAGATTATGCAGAGCATGTAAATACTAATTATATATACCGAACAAATATTTGGAATGTTGATGCGATTGTCTGGATTTAGCTAAAGCCAACAAATGTTACGTCAACATTCCAAAACAATTAGTATTTTGGAATTTTCCAAAACAACAAAATAATTAAATCGTAATTTAAATGGAAGAATTTTTTTTGAGGTCAGCCATCCCCCACTACTGCATGATTCATTTACAAAACATGATTCATTAATATTATATAATTTCTTTTTCAAAAAAAAAAAATTATATAATTTGATATTTATTAGTCCTTTTAATGCGTTTAACGCAGTGTCGTCAACAATACTTTCTTCTGATATAATGTTGTAACGCAATGTTTCTTATTTAAAGTTTTCTTCATAGCCGTGTAATATAAAAGATCGGACAGTTACTTTGGGTAGTTAAAACATCATCCTCTTCACGGAAATGTAGAGGCTGTTTTTATGAAATGTAATTTGCAATGCAAGCTCTCTCTCTGTCATCACTCCACCTATATTAAAGAACAATTAATAGGAAGAAGAAAAAAATTAAGATTTCATCACCTACCACTTGAAAACTCCATCTCTTCTTCCTTCTCTCATTCTCGCTTCCACCAGATTTCACTGCCTAAGTTTCAAAGTTTTCTCCTTTTCTTTTATTTGCTTTTAATTTTTTTTGTGATTTCTTGTTTTTTTTCACAACAAAAGTTCATCATTCTTTAAAAAAACAAAACACTCTGTTTCCTCAGTTCCGTCTAAAAGATCTTGTCTTTTTTGCTTTGAAGAGTTTCTCTTGTCAAGCTTCTCATTCGAAGAGGTAATAATCTTAAATTGTCTTCTACTTGTTCTGTCTTTATTCTCTGTATTTCTATCATCATCATTGCTTGTTCTATGCATCTTCTAAATAGATAATGAACATGTTATTGATTGCGGCATTTTGTTTTCTTCGGTTTTTAGCTACTTAGTGGTCCTTTTTGTATTATCTGGGACCACTAAATCAACTTGGAGTCTCTTCATCATCAATCCAACAGAGCATTTTTCATGTAGTTCTTTTCTAACATTTACTTCTCTTTTCTGATTGAATCAACTTTAATCTCTTATAGTTTGATGATTTTGAATCAAGCAGATTAGGAAAGGAACAATGTCTGGACTTAAGATCTGGCAAGCCATCATTATCGCCATTGCGCTGTTCACCATTGTCATACTCTCTGTTCTTTCATTTTGTCTCATTTGGAAAAAGAAATCAAGAAGATCCAAAACCTTAAGTCTTCCCATCATCCAAACCCCTGTGGTGTCAAAGGAGATCAAGGAAGTCAGAATTGAGCATGTCTCAACGAGTAGTAACTTCGACCCTCAGGACGAAAACAACAATGAATCTGACAAATTCTTGCTTAATTTGGATATGGAGAAGAAGACAGAGAATGGTTTGAGTAGTAGCCGGTCTGGTTCAGGCAAAGAAGGTTATCTATGTGTTGCAAACCGGTCTTCTTCATCATTGTATGAGATGGCTACACCATCACCATCACCTCTTTCCGGTTTACCTGAGTCACACCTTGGATGGGGTCATTGGTTTACTCTGAGAGATCTTGAAATAGCAACAAACAGACTCTCAAAGGAAAATGTGATTGGTGAAGGAGGATATGGAATTGTATACCGAGGAGAGTTGGTCAATGGGTCTCATGTCGCCGTGAAAAAGATCCTAAACCACTTGTGAGTTATGGTCTCAGAGAAATGTTCTCTCTCTTATTGATTTGTTTTCTCTAGTTGATTATTCTTGAAGTTTGATTTTGTAGGGGACAAGCTGAGAAAGAGTTTAGAGTAGAGGTTGATGCTATAGGTCATGTTCGTCACAAGAACTTGGTACGTCTTCTAGGATACTGCATTGAAGGCACAAACAGGTATTAAGATTGAATCTTTTGTCTTATTTAGAGAGAAAAGAAACCATCTTATGTGAGTTTGTTGCTATTAGGATATTGGTTTATGAGTATATGAACAATGGGAACCTCGAAGAATGGCTTCACGGAGCAATGAAACATCACGGATATCTAACTTGGGAAGCTCGAATGAAAATTCTCACTGGCACATCCAAGGCGTAATTGAGCAAAACATTCAAATTTCTTTTTTTAGTTTTCACATTTGTTCTGCTGAATGTAATGAATATTTTCATGTGCAGTCTCGCATATCTACACGAGGCAATCGAACCAAAAGTAGTGCATAGAGACATCAAGTCAAGCAATATCTTGATCGATGATAGATTCAACGCAAAGATTTCTGATTTTGGCCTTGCCAAGTTACTTGGAGATGGGAAAAGCCATGTGACTACTCGAGTCATGGGAACATTTGGGTAATTAAGCAACTTTGGTTTTCGAAAAAAAGAAAACACTTGAAGGAGTTGCTGAGCCGTGGTTTTTGTTTTGAGTATTGCAGGTATGTTGCTCCTGAGTATGCGAATACCGGACTTTTGAATGAAAAGAGTGATGTGTACAGCTTTGGTGTCTTGGTCTTAGAAGCAATAACCGGAAGAGATCCTGTGGATTACGCGCGTCCTGCTAATGAGGTAGATAGAGTATGGAGAGATGAATGGATTTGATAAATGTGATCAGTTTTGAGACTCATTAACACTCTTTTGCAGGTGAATCTAGTTGAGTGGTTGAAGATGATGGTAGGATCTAAGAGATTAGAAGAAGTCATTGATCCAAACATAGCGGTTAGGCCAGCGACTAGAGCACTGAAACGAGTACTTCTTACAGCACTTAGATGCATTGATCCTGATTCTGAAAAGAGACCTAAAATGAGCCAAGTTGTTCGTATGCTCGAGTCTGAGGAATATCCCATACCAAGAGAGGTTAGTGTTGCTTTATAACCATTTTTATGAAACAGAAAAGTGTGCAGAAATTGTATAAACATAAGCAAGAATTCAACTTACAGGAGCGGAGAGTGCGCAGAACGCAAGAGGAAAACTCGGATACCGATAGAAGCACACCGGTTTCAAGATCACAGAGCAAGAGACAGTAATAATCAGATAAACCATTAGAAACAGAGATTTTTGCTGGGCGCGTGGCTTATTCTCTGTTCTTTGAAAGTTTGTTGCTTCTTCTGCATTTTCTTGGTCTTGTTTTTGGGAATATTTTTCTTTCATTTTTCCTGGTTTTTGCATATGAATGAGATGATAGAGAGGGATATACATGTGATATATATTATATACATAGACATGTTTGTATATGGGAATTGGATTTGTCTTGAAACCCTTACATTAGTATAATAGATTGGTGTGTATAGCGACATTAAACTTTTGAAGTCTTATTGTACATTTCAAATAAGGATTTTGACCGTTTGGTTACAATTACACTTACAACACAATGATACAGTTTTCAAATTCTCACACCCACAGGAAAAAAGAGTTTGTAAAGAGCTTTTCATTTTCTTACGTGGAAAGAGAGATGAAGAACAGGAATCACCGCACACTCACTCACACATCCAGCTACAAAGCTTTTATTCTGCTTTCAAACTGAAGAAGAGATCAAAGGTTTGGGTTGGTTATGCATCAGGCAACATGATGCAGTCAATGGCTCGTTTGCATATTCCCGTCATCGTTGCTTCTGGACCATATACCTGCAATCATCAATACTTATGAAGTTCAGTATTCGAGCTAAACACAAATGTTTAACATTAACCAAGAGGTTCTCTTTTCTGAGAAATTCTTCGACAGAGTGAGGTTTCACCATTTCTCCTAGGTTTAGATTGTAAGAGTGTTTATTCACATAGCTTCTAATATTCCATAAGTAGTTTGGTTACCTCTAGAGGGACACCAAGTTCCTCTCCCAGAGCTCGCATTCTGGCCAAACCAGTCTGGTAATTTGGTCCTCCTCTCCTTACGTAAATGTGCATTCTTGATGCTTTCAACCTTGTTTCCTGCTCATGGTACACAAAAAAAAATCAATCTGAATCACCAGCATCGATTTAATTCTTGAGCATTCCTCTTATCTTCACCAAAATTGAAAATACTGTAGCAACTGTTTGTTCGTTTACTAAAGGTTGTGAGAAAAACCACCTTTTCTCTTAGCGCTCGAATGATGCCGTTGAAAGTAGCTGCCACATCAGTGAAATTGGCAATACCTCCTCCAATTAGAAGAGCTCGTTTCCGCCCGTCAGGATCAGCAGTGGCACACTGAGAAAGCCCGAACATTTGGTCTGTGAATCTCTAAATTTTTATAGAGAAAAACAGTGAATGGCAAAAGCTAAATTCTTTGCCATGACTCACATCAATGACAACTCTTGCATATTGTAACACCTCTTCCTCATTAGGTGCTCCACTATACTCTGCGTAGTTCCCGAGCTCTGATGCATAACCTAAATCCCCAACCTTGTCAAAAGCAGATAAGGACAACACAAACAAATTAATGTGAACTATTCTTTGGAGTCCTCATTTGAAGGAAAACGTTTTCCAGTCATTTGAAATGGTAAGGATATGAGATTTTACAAAAATTACAATCTATAATCTATAATTGAGTTGATTCATTCATGACAATCAGCTCATTTCAAGGAGCAAGCTTTCTAAGTTTTGTAATTCCAACTCTCTAATTAAATAACATCAATGCATTCTTAAGTTCAGGGGTTGCAACTCACTGTATCAGCATATATGACGCTAGCACCACCTCCAGCTACCATTGTCCAAATGCGGCCTTTAGGATTCAAAACGGTGAACTTCAAAGAAGCACTTGTCTGCAATAGGTAACACACACACACACACATGTATGGTCAGTAACATTACGTTCAAGTCTTTCCTTTTTGAGTCACAAAAGCGGTGTTTTTAGAAAAGCCGGCCGCTTAAACCTTCTCATCTAAACCATGGATGAAGCTCTCCGTCGAACTGAGGACCCTTCCAAATGGCAGAGGAAATTCAATGTCTCCCCACCTGCATTAATAAAACTTATAAATCCAACGAGTTTCCAAGGAAAAATTGATTGTGGGTCTCTCACCAGGGAACTTAGAAATGTTGAACATACTTGTTAAAATTCTTAAAGGCAGCAGTGTCATCTAACTCTCCCCTCATATCCAGAGGGTATGGCTCTCCATCGACTAGTGTAAAAGGATTCATCTCCATAAAACTGAAATCCAAATCTTAAAAAAAAAAAAAGATAATTAGAAATTGTCCTCAAGAGATCTCATATCAGAGCTTTTGGTATGCACAAGTACTTGAAAGTCAAGAAGTGGCCTAATCTCATATACCCATACCTTGAAATACAGCAAACGCACCCATTATGAAGTTACCAATTTTAGCTCGAACCTGAAATAGATAGAAGCATTTGTTGGAGCAGGCTTAGCATAGTTTGAAACAACCTAAACTGATAATCTCTTTGGAAAAGAATGCAGTACTGAGCAGCCTTAGAATTAAAGGTAACAAATCTTTGAATACGCATAGAAAAACAGAAACAGAGAATGTATGCGCATCAAAACCAGATATCTAGGCTTAAGACAAACAGTTAAACGGTGTCACTAGCCTACTCGGAAGCTTCCATAATCACAGGGAACAGAAACTTGCCTCAAGAGGAAGAGTTGCTATCAATGGAGCACATACTTCTAGCGTCATTGACTTCTCCGCAGGAAGAAATATAGTCTTCACCTGTTGATACCAGAAACCTGAGTTCTCCAGGTGAATTTTTTTAATAACGACAGGGAGAAAACAACAGAACTGAGTCAAGAAATAGAATGCATAAAAACAAGAAAAGAACCAAAAGGTAGTACTTTGTCCCAGTTCTCTTCAATTTCAATGCCACCACATTCAGAGAAGCTTATAGTGCAGCCAAGCCTATCAGATACTATAGAAAGGTAGTATTCTTGATCATGAGGCACAAAAGGCTCCACAATGAATGTAGTGATAGGGGCTTTACATCCCTCCATCTCAACCTACGATACATAAAAAACATGCAAAAACAAAGATCAATACCACAACCAATTTAACCAGATGTTCTATAACTCAGGATGCGATGAGTCACCTCAGTACCGAGGCGGGCTTTGACAAAAGCTGCAACTTCAGCAAGATCCAGCTTCAGAGCTACCAAGCCACTTTTACCGCGTTTTCCAAACAGCATATCAGGCTTCACAACTAGCTTTGTGGACGATAGCCATGACTCCTGGTTGGTCAACTCAGTGAAATCCGTAGATTCTGTCACCTAAAAGTACAGAACAATAAACGAATCACTCATCTGTATCAGAGAATGTTCTTGTCAATTTTAAAACGAGATATGAAATGGAAGTTCTAGTAATCATGCCATGTCCCCAAGTCATCAGTAAAAGAAAGATGAAATCATCTTTCCCAAGATTCTTACTTTCATTAGCTCTAAGTCGTCCCAGATTAGTCTCAATAACAATCAGACAAAACACAATTCATTCAAGAGTTCCAATTGAATTGTGCTATCGAATTTCCACAAAGTAGATCGATGAGAACAAAACTAGAATTCGTGAGAGTAACCTGAGCAGAGCGAATCTGCAGGTCAATGTTAGCAAGACGCTTCAAATGTTCCTTGAGAAGTCTCTTGGAGTCATATTCTCTGATCTTCTTCCTCGCCATCGAATTACAAACAGTGATCGTCCTCAACAGTTAAATCACAGAAAGTGTAAGTAGCTGAGAAAAAAGGTGACAACTTTCGAGACGATAAGATCGATGAAGTTGAGCAGAAGATGATCTCATCAACACAAAGCTGACGCCGACTCGGGACCAGAAGAGACGTTGACGTTGAGCTGTCGAAAGTCAACCTACCCACCCCCGCCTAAACCACAAATACAATTCCATTTCCTCGATAACCAACCGGTACGGTTCGGTTTAAACGAACCCGACGATTATCTGAAAGCTGGAACCATTAATGTAGGCGTCAATCTGCTGCACCCAAAACCAGAAAACTTAAACTTGCACTCGTCTTCCACTTAAAGCAGCTTCAAAGTTTTTTTTTTTTTTCGTCAGCTTCAAAGTTTTTTAGCTATAATCCCTGAGGAACTATCCTCATGTCTCTCTCCAGTTGCTTGCTTCCCTTTTCTCAATCAGCGACGGCTCCGTCATCCTCCGTCTGCCCTTGCCACCTCGCCTCCTCTTTTTCGAATTTTCCGGTAACCACATGTATTCGCTCTACCTGTCTTGCATGCTTTCCTTTTATCAAAAGATCATTACTTTGAGAAATAAAGATAATTATTTCCCTTTGGTTTATGCTAAATTTTCTGAAATCTCACACCAGAGATCTCAAAATCGTGTTCCATGCCCTGTGAATCTAAGCGTTAGTATTATTGATCTTCCAAATTAACTTGTTTTCTAGTTGTTGAAATTCGAATTCTTTATATTGTGTGAGTAGGTTTCGTCAAGAGACTATATTTTCTCCAGAAATGGAAGCCTTGTGCTCAACGGAGGAGGCTCGAATCTCTGCCGGAGATTCTGTGGGTTGAAACTGTGGATACTTAAGAGCTTGAATCGTAGACAAGGCAACAACAGAAAATATCAGCCTGTAAACGAGCTTAAAACACGCTCAGAGCACACTTTTCTTAGCAATGAACAAGGTCTAAGAAAGAAGTCAATTACGTCTCCTAAAGATCCTTCTTTTGCATTTTCTGAGGTCAAATGTGATGCAGATTTTGGTGAAGAAACTGGAGCTGCAGATTTACGGCCAGTAGAGAATATTCTAGGAACTGATTTGAATGATGGTTTTCACAAAGTTGGAGACTTACCACCTGTGTCAAAACAATTCTCGGACGGTCGTTCAGATGTTCGAAGAGAGGCCTCGCTTTGCATTGCTGTTGTAGGAGCTACTGGTGAGCTAGCAAGAGGGAAGATTTTTCCGGCATTGTTTGCGTTGTATTATAGCGGCTACCTTCCTGAGGTATGGTTTTTGTGCTCATGAACAAAGTAATCAGCAAAGCAGTTGGATAGTCTTTTTTGGGTTGTCTTCTTGATTGGTCTTCATTGTCGCAGGATGTTGCTATTTTTGGGGTTTCAAGAAAGAATCTGACAGATGAAGACCTCAGATCCATCATCGCATCAACTCTGACTTGCCGCGTTGATCATCAGTATGTATAATCCTTGTTACTACCTTAAATTTGGTAACTTTGATATATGCCGTGCTAGCTAAAGAATGATGCTAAATGTTCAGGGAAAATTGCGGGGACAAGATGGATGCATTTTTTAGTAGAACATACTATATCAATGGAGGTTACAATAACAGAGATGGGATGTCCCGACTTGCCGACAGAATGAAACAGATTGAGGTTCCTCAGCACTTCTTTTGATCTGTCAATTATTACATTTTCCTGAAGTAGTCCTCTTTCTGTGTTTACAACATTTAGAACAGACAGGCAAGATAGAATAAGACATTAACAGCTTTTCGTTTTCAGGGTGAATCAGAAGCAAATAGGATCTTTTACCTCTCAGTACCTCAAGAAGCTCTGGTGGATGTGGCATGCACCATTGGAGATAATGCTCAGGCACCACGAGGCTGGACTCGTATAATAGTTGAGAAACCTTTTGGTTTTAACTCACATTCGTCTCATCAGTTAACAAAATCACTTCTCTCTAAGTTTGAAGAGAATCAAATCTACAGGTCCTTCTTTTAAATCTAGTTGCTTTCTGCATGCACAGCTCTCCAAATTCATCTTTCTTCACAGTTCTGTGCTTGTTTCAGGATAGATCACATGTTAGGAAGGAACCTCATTGAAAATCTGACAGTGTTAAGGTTTTCAAATCTAGTTTTTGAACCACTATGGAACAGAACATACATACGCAATATACAGGTAGTGTTACCTTCTGATTGTTTGTATTTTGTGTATAGTGCCTGGGCTTTCCTCTTCCACATTCTGGTTTGTTCACTTTGCCTATAAATGATGTTTCCAGGTTATTGTATCAGAATCAATTGCGCAAACAGAAAAGTAAGGCACAATAGTTCTATTGTCACCATTTCTTTGCATGTGAGAGTAAATTGTGTTGTTTCAGCATTCTTGGACAAAGAAATGGCATCAGTAATGTTATTTTCTAATTTCCTACTGCATTTTTTAAGGTATTCTGATGGATATGGAATAATACGGGACATAGTGCACAGCCATATACTTCAGACAATCGCATTACTTGCCATGGAACCTCCGATAAGTCTTGATGGTGAAGATATCCGAAATGAAAAGGTCAACCTGTACTGTAAAGAACAAAATCGTCTTATGATATAGATTTAAGTTGTGTACTCTTGTTCTGTCAAGTGACTTGGTGACAAACCTGCTTCTGCAGGTGAAGGTTTTAAGATCAATTCGCAAAATAGACCCGCGTGATGTCATCCTTGGCCAGTATAAATCCAGTTCCCGAGACAAGAACGGTGTGATCTTAAACGGTGTAGACCCTACATATTGTGCAGCAGCCTTGTATATTGATAATGCACGTTGGGATGGTGTACCTTTCCTTGTAAGAGTTGGCACTGGCCTCATTAAACACAGGTAAGAATAGTTATTCCTACTCAGAAATATCAAACTGTCATAACAATTGATTGGTGTACGGTGTGCCTTAATGTTGAAAGAGTGGAGATTCATGTGCAATTCCGGCATGTTCCTGGAAACCTATACCGAGAAAATATTGGAATAAACATAGATTTGGGGACAAATGAGCTTATTCTACGTGACGAACCTGATGAGGCCATCCTGGTGAAAATCAACAACAAGGTTCCTGGTTTAGGTCTCCAGCTAGACGCTTCTGAACTTAACCTGCTCTATAAAGACAGGCAAGTTTTGCATCCTCATCTTTGTTCCTACACATTTTGAAAATCGAACTTTTGCGCCCTATGGTTAGTTGCATTGTGGGATCAAACCTGTAGGTATAAAGCCGAAGTACCAGACTCATATGAACACCTAATTCATGATGTAATTGATGGAGACAATCATCTGTTCATGAGAAAGCGATGAGGTTGCAGCAGCGTGGAACATTCTGAGTCCGGTTCTAGAAGAGATAGACAAGCACCACACAGCTCCGGAGTTGTATGAATTTGGTGGACGAGGACCAGTTGCAGCATACTATCTCTGGGCCAAGCACGGTGTCCCATGGGCAGATGACTGAAGGAGTAATATAGATGCAGCAACATCCAAATGAGAATGATTCTGAATCTGTGCAACTCAGATTGTTCAGTATGGTTATTGTGAAGTGTGTGAAGTGGGTTTGTTTAGCTTGAAACTGAGCCATTCCCTGTAGACTGTACAGCTGTACACATGTATGACACGTTGCTGTATGAATGTCCATCATGGTGGGGTCCATAATAGTGTTGAAAACTCTCCAAAGCCACCCAAAGAAAAGTAGAAAGTATGAGAGACTTTTAGATAAGGTCATGTTGTTAGTCTTCCCACTAGAGGCAATAATTATATCTCCTCCACCAATTCCCGCAGAAAATTCTTCCAGATGTATCATGTGTTGATGATCAAAGTAGGATGAAAATGATGTAGCTAGAGAGAAATATTTTCAAAGGGAAAGGAAACGAGAGTGGCTCAATGGATAGAGACAAAAAGAGGGTGAAAATGGAGAAGGAAGATGATGAAGAAGAAAAGATGGAGAAGTTGTACACCGTGCTTAAAAACGCAAGGGAAATGCGGAAATATGTCATCAGCTCCATGGAGAAGAAGAGACAGGAAGAAGAAGAAAGAGCAAGGGTTCGTAGATTCCCTTCGTTTCAGCCAGAGGATTTCATTTTCATGAATGAAGCAGAGGGCAACAACATCGAAAAAGCAGCTAATGAGAGCTCTTCAGCATCCAACGAGTATGATGGCTCAAAGGAAAAGCAAGAAGGATCTGAGACAAACGTTTGTTTCGACTTGAATCTTTCTCTGTAGTATACAAGAGACAAAGAGCTCTTCAGTTTCTGTACAAGCAACAAAGAATGTTAGTAACTATGTATGTACCAAAAACAAATGTGACATGGAATTCTAGTTTTGCTTGAAGAGTGATCATCACTTCTTATTAACCAAATAGAAGGAAATGCTACAAATGTACGTTGATAACAAGATCAGTAAAAAACATAGAGAACATAGAGAACTCTCATCAATGGCTGAGCAAGTTCCTATGGTTTGCTAGAATTACTTCATTTTCCCATTGCTCGAACGATCTTATTGAAGGCGGATTGATGGCTAAGATTAAAAAAAAAAAAAAAAAAAAAAAAAAAAAACATTCTGCTTGGCATTTATTGAATCTCACCAATAATCTGTACAGGAACACTCTCCGTTTCTGAAGTGACGGAATCTGTTTGCATCTCTTAGAATGATCTCCATCTCTTTCACCTTAGAGATTATTTTTATTGCTGCGCGGCAAATATCACTACAAACTCTAAGGTTCTTCATGACTCGGATATTTCAGGCTATTGACTTTCCCTTCCTCGTCTACATCGTGCAATGCATAACTGCAATCAGGATTATACCCGGCTTCTCTCAATAACCCATCCAATTCATCCAATAACTTCAAAATCGATTCCTGCTCGGGATGGCTACAAATACCCCCATGAGTGAACGCGTGCACTTTAAACTTGACTTCATTCCAGCTACAGCCTGGTGATTTTCTTACCAACCTAGTCGTCATAAGTTTTCTCAGTTCCGCAACATCAGCCCACCTACCTTGAGATGCATAAATGTTGGAGAGCCAGAATTCTCCGTTTCAATCTCTATGAGTTTCTTTGCACAAAATTCTGCCAAATCCAGCTGCGAGTGAGTTCTGCACGCTCCCAATAGAGAACCCCAAACTGCAGCATCTGGTTCAACAATCATACTATCAATCATTTCCATTGCCTCATTAAACCGCCCTGCACGTCTACCATGCAAAGCATAATGCGCGGTGATTGGCTTAACCCCAAAACTGATTCCATAGATTCAAAGATCTTAAGCCCTTCCTCAACCATCCCAGCATAGCTACATGCTGAGAGAGTTGCAACGAAGGTGACTTCGTTAGGCTCAGTACTACCAGACAAAGGCATCTCATAGAAAATCTTTAGAGCTTCCTCTCCTAGACTGTGTGAGGCATAACCAGATATGATTGAGTTCCACATGATAATGTCCTTTGAAGGAAACCTGTCAAATATTAGTTTCGACTTCAAAAGCTCGCCGCATTTAATGTACATTGTCATCAAAACAGACGCAACATACAAATCAACATCAAATTGACATCTAACCAACTGAGCATGGACCTGTTTACCATGGTGGAGGCTTGCTAAGCTGGCGCAGACCGAAAGAACGCTGATCAATGTTGGAAAAGTCGGTCTAACTCCCTGTTTCTGCATCAGAACAAATAAATCAAGAGCCTCCAATTCAAAACCGTTTCTTTCGTGAAATTTGATTACCATTTGCCAAGTTGCATCATTTCTCTCCTTCATTGAATCAAAACCCTCCTTGCTTTTGCTATCTCTCCTTTCTGTCCAAGCCCGGCAATCATATCATTACACGCAATAACTGGCTTCAAAAAGTTCTTCAGCATCCTCAATTCGTCCATTCTGTACATAGCTCATAAGCATGGAAGTCCATGAAACTTCAGTTTTCTCTGGCATCACATCAAAAAGCTTCCTAGCATCATCCACACGATTGTTCCGACCATATCCTGTGACCATTGTAGTCCAAGTAATCACACTTCTCTCTGACATCTCATCAAAAATCTCCCTTGCCTCATCCACTCTTCCTTCTTTGCACAATCCATGAATCATACTAGTCCTTGCAATATAGCTTACGCGCATCATCGATTCGCCCATCTTGTATAAACCCGATAAACATCACAGTCCAAGAAACCTTATTCTTCTCAGGCATTTTCCAAAACAACGACTCTGCCACATCAACCTTACCATTCTCTGCACATACCCTTTCACCAACGTCGTCCACGAGACAACATTCCTTTCAAGCATTAAATCGAACACTTCCCTAGCTTCGTCAATCTCTCCGTTCTTCATATACCCGGACAACAACCCATTCCAAGAGATAATGTTTCTCTCAGGCATTTCATCGAACAGTAGCTGTGCATCTCGGGGCATGCAACTCGCAGAGTACACAGCAACCATTGAGTTCCACGAAGAGACTGATTTCGAGTCACATGAATCAAAAAGTTTCCGAGCTTCATGAATCTGTCCGATACGAGAGAGATGAGTGATTTGAGCATTTGCAGTGGGAGGGATGCTTGAGCAATACGTTCCATGTCGTAGGAGTAACTGTGCCTTCACTCTCCGAGTACTAGCTCTGAGTGATGAACCTTTTACTTGGAGAGCAAGAGTTACCACAAAAACAAAAACCCAAAAAGAAAACCTTAATGCAAAAAGAGATTTAACTAAAAATAAAAAACAAATCTTGATGAACAAGGACCGATTAATTTGGTTGAATAGAAAATTTATAGCCCAATTGTATTTTTCTATACAGATTCTTCGACCTAACGAATCAAAGAGTCAACCAATAATAAAAACCAATAAGAAGGTAAATTGTTACGTATACAAATAAAAAACAAGAGAAACTGACTACTCTTCGTGTCTCTTTAATAAACTTCCTCTGTTTCACGTTTCTGGTAATGAAACTCCAAAATACTCTCTTTAAAATCAGAAAGGCAACACTAATCCGAAGTTCTTGAAGACAACAAGATCGATGGAGAGCCCAACCAAACACACAATTCCCCTTCTCACTCCATTCTCAATGAAAAACTTCAATCTTACTCACAGGTTCTCTTAAATATCATCCACACACACACATCTAATCAGTGTTAATTAAATTAATTTCTCTGTCTTATTAAAAACTCAATCTAAATCTAAATTCCAGAATAGTTATGGCGCCGATGGCGAGAATGAGATCATACGGTAACGTTCCACAACCTCACGTCGCCTTGTATTACTCTCAGAGAACAACTCCGGGAGGTCTTCTCATCAGCGAAGCCACCGGAGTTTCCGAAACCGCCATGGCGTAAGTCTTTTCTAAAACCAATTCATACGAAAAGTTGACTTTTTCTGCTTTTTGATTGACTTTTTTTTTCTCTTAAAGGTATCAAAACATGCCAGGGATATGGAGGAAAGAACAAATCCAAGCATGGAAGCCCATCGTCGACGCAGTTCACTCTCACGGCGGCGTCTTCTTCTGCCAGCTATGGCACGCTGGTCGCGTTTCTCATCGAGGTTATAAGAAACTCTTTTCAAAGTTTTCTCTTTTATGATTTGAAATTGCTGATCTTATGAGTTGTATCGGAGTCGAGCTAAAAATGGTTCATAGAGTTGCGTAAATCCGAGATTGAGTAATCAACGTGTGGAATATCTGTAGATTGTCAGCCAAATGGAGAAGCTCCGGTCTCTTCTACGGATAAGCCATTCGTCGAGGATCCATCGAATGAGTTCACTCCTCCGAGAAGGCTAAGAACTGACGAAATTCCGACAATTGTCAATGATTTTCGTCTCGCTGCCAGAAACGCAATCGAAGCTGGTAAAAATCCAAACTTTCACTTCCAACCCCAAATTTTGAAGTTGATGAAAGGTTCCAACTTTTCCGATTTATTTCAGGTTTCGATGGAGTGGAGCTCCATGGAGCTCACGGGTACTTGCTCGACCAATTTATGAAAGACTCTGTTAACGATCGAACCGATAGGTACGGCGGATCTCTTGAGAATCGATGCAGATTCGCTTTACAAGTTATAGAAGCGGTGTCGAACGAGATCGGACCTGATCGTGTCGGAATCAGACTCTCTCCGTTCGCTAATTACATGGAATCCGGAGATTCAGACCCAAAAAGATTAGGGCTTTACATGGCAAACTCTCTGAACAGATTCGAGATACTCTACTGTCACATGGTCGAGCCTAGAATGAAAACAGCCAGTGAGATTTTCGAGTGCACGGAATCACTTACGCCGATGAGAAAGGCGTTTAATGGAGCGTTCATTGTCGCGGGAGGTTATACAAGAGAAGATGGGAACAAGGCGGTGGCAGAGGAAAGAACAGATCTTGTGGCGTACGGACGACTGTTCTTAGCTAATCCAGATTTGCCTAGAAGGTTCGAGCTCGATGCCCCGCTGAATAAATACGACAGACCAAGTTTCTATAGTTCTGATCATGTCGTTGGTTACACTGATTACCCTTTTCTCGACACCACAGATCAATAAAACCGTGTCTTGTTCAATCAATGTCTACTACTTTAAGACCATTAAGAAAATCAATTGTGATCGATTTTTATATCAGTTCAAGAAACCAAATCTGAAACTAAACAAAAAAAATCTTACTTGGAACAAAAGAAACCATGTGCAATGTCAGCCGCCGCAGAAGAAATGAAACGGAGTTGGTGGCGTAGAGTATTGCATCGACAATACTTTCATAGCTATAACGGCGTTAGCGGTCTCGGTGTAGTGTATTCCGTCCCAGCTTATAAACCGAGACCCTTCCTCGCAACTTTGGGAGCCACCGTTCCCACATGTTATGTTCACATTGTAGTTGTAAGGAGGCCCTCCGTATCCGCAACACGCCATTAAGGGTTTCTCAAAGCCTGCACAAAACAATTGAGTCTTCTAGATAACCATAACCATGGAAACAAAACATAGATTTGATTTTTTAGATACCTAAGTATAGTTAAGGTTTGATTCAGATCAATTGAACCGGATTAAAATCCCTAATCATGCTTGAATCAGGACACAAAAATGCTCAACTAAGTCATATATATGAAAGATTTATGATGACAACACATTTTAACCGGTAGAAGACACTAATGGTGTTAACTTATATGCATCAAAGCTTACCGTAACTGTTGGAGTTTGCGATGAGATCGTACTTGATGGCATAAATGTCGACATAGACTATGTTGGCCTCTTTCAGCTCCATCCTCAGCTCCCGACACATGTGATCCAATCCTTCGTTAAACAATTTTGCAGCTGCGTTATAACTTGCTAGACAACCATGCTTATCAAAAGCTTTGCTATGAACCATTGACAGTTTCTGAGGCAGACAACCTAAGGGTCCTGTGTTGTGAACCCAGAATTTCCTCCCTCCTTCATCATACAATATCTGCAAAACAAATTTAACAAAAGATTTCAACTTTCTCCCAAAATCAAGACTTATTGTTTAGTACTCATGTAGCATGTTTTTCAGAAAAAAAACCCACAAACTCTAGTTTTTACCTTTATGGCACTTTTGATCTCAGAAATAACGTTTGGAATAAGCTTGACGACACGGGAGTAAGAAAGGCCTTTGGAAAATGAATCCGCAATATCATTCTGCCCGATATCGATCATGTACAACGCATTTCTGAATCCGCTGTCGCTTATCAGCATCTCTTTCAAAGGATCTGCACAATGTAAGGGTCCTTCAGTGAATTACTAATGATTGCTGTGGAGTTAATTACGATCAGATAGATACCTGAAGTAGAAGCAAGCTCGAGTGCTCGGGATTTGAAATGGAGGAACTGCATAAGCTGAATGTTTAGTGCAAAAGGAACATATCGGGGAAGAGTGGAAGATCCAACTATTGCGAAATTGGCACCGTTTTGGAATTTTGATCCAACCAATGAGTCTAAGTATGGGTTCAGTAGACTTGTATTCAAACTCTGGCCTGCCAAATGCCAATATCACACAAAAAATGAAGCACTAGATTCATTTAAGGGTACCCTTCATTTAATTTTAAAAGTTTGATTAGAAGTTGCACTAGTTTGATTATTTAAATCTGCAAAAAGTTCATTAACAAAAAATATTTATGCAATTTATAACATGTGATTTGGACAAAACTGTATAAACTCATCATTTTACTACACGGCGCTGTTTGACTCTTTAGTCACGCAATCTAATCTAACGGGTGGATTCACGCGCCGAATCTGATATCTCCCCATGTTGGTAAATGGGGCCCACTTTTCTTTGGATTAGATTTTCATCATTTCAACGAGTAAATTGTGTCGTTTTGTGGCATCACGCAACGCGATCACCGACATCAATTCTCAGCCGTTGATTAAGATTTACATCCGTTTCATCGGACGGTTGTCACGACTTTATTCCACTACCTTTAATCTCAATCGTCTAATAATAATTAACTAGATTTTAAAAAAGAGTTGACTTACAAAGGAAATCGATGACGAGGCGTCCGTCGGATAATCGGCCGGTGGATCTCTCGAAAAATGAGCGACCGTAAGGAAGAACAATGCTGTAGCCGAGACCAGCGACGAGTCCACCCGTGTCGGAGTTGGAATCTCCAAAGTTAAAGATCACCGGCGGCAACCGACATCCTCCGGCAACCGCCAAGTTATGTCGGAGAATGAGGATGACCGGAAAGAGAACAAGGATGAAAGAGTGGGAGTGAAGAGAGACAGTAGCCATTGTAAGTAGAGATTTGATCAAGAGAGTGAAGATCGAGAGCTTTGTAATAATGGTAAGCCTTAGTGTGTGGGCCTTCTTTCTCTTATTTTAAGCTATAGTGTGTAAATGTGATCCTTTATTGAATGGTAACTGCAGATTTAATAATTTTTGTATGTTGGTGCTTGACAGTGACAGACACATAACATATCGAGATCGAATCCAATTTCCCACATATATATATATATATAATTACCAAAGCGATTATATAATTTAGTATTACATTTTTTTTGGTTATTGTTGTTTACGATTTGATGTTCTTTAAAAATACTAGCCGATATGTTAATCTTTTTTCTTGTGATAAGTAATACTCAGGAACAGTTCCGGGAAGAAAATAGTACTTTCTCGGTTTTTCTATAAATAATGTTTAGGTGAATGCATATTGATTAAAAAATCATTTAATTTTTTTTATTTCTAAACTAAAAAATCATTTATTATCTAATCAACTACTAAAAAACAATGTACAGAATATAAATCATCAAATCCAATAAGAATATAATAAGATTTACACGGTAAACAAACTAAATAATAAACCCTTCTTTATTTGTTTATTAGTTCTCTCTCCTCCAACTTAATTAATGTCCAAATTGTCTTTGATTATGTATGCGCGCTAACAGAAAAAATATCGAGGTAAGAAAATTAAAACTAACATAAAAATAAATACTATTCATCTATCATCGGGAACACTGTTCACCATCAGAATCAATTAAAAAAAAAATTGTGGTTATTTATTTGATTAGTACTGTAAATCAAAGTTTATCGCGATAAATTTATATGTTATTTGGTAAACTCATAGTTATCGCGTTAAATCAGTAATTAGATGATTAATATCAACTAACTTATATCTTAACTTGTTTATTTAATATAATAATTTATTTATTACTGTTAACTTATACATTATCATATTTATTTATCATAATAATTTAATTGATAAACATTGATTTTGCGATTATTTAGTTTGTTTACCGTGTAAATCTTATTATATCGTACTAATTTTTAGTAAAAAATTTGTTCTGCTAACATCGAAAACACTATTCATCACCATAGGCAATAACAAGATTGTATTCTTCGTGATTCTTTATTTGA